TGATCCTTTTGTAGCTTGCAAGGGGGTTCCTTCATCAACGATACACGTAGGTACTCCTGGTCATCATTTCGATTAAGCACACTTATCGGCACCGCCACGGCTTTATACATAAAGATCTTACAATCGAGACTACCTAGGTACTGGAACTGGAATATTACGGACGACAAAGCCGGGCGAATAAAACAAGCACCGTAACCCGACGACGACTTTCCAAAAGTTCCAACTCCTTTTAGTCTCTAAGCTACTCTTTCGTCGCAAAACTCATACAACAATCATATTTACTACCCCTTTGCTCACTTCTATATTCCCGAACACACCTGGACCTACATAATATAATATCTATTCCATCTCGACAAGAGGGAAACTCCCCAATTTGGGAGTGGAATACTCTCCCTTGGCTATTGGTTGTCGCATTGTAGCTGGGAATACCAAGGTTTAAGATGTCGACTTCTTTTGAGAAGTCTGTGAAAGGCGCGACAAAGATTAAGGTATGACATGTTCGACATTGTCTTATATCTCGACATTGTCTTATATCTCCATGTGGTTGAAGACCAGATACTGAGCATTATTGTGAACAGGCTGCCCCTCCCAAGTCAAAGTACTTGAACCCGGATCAAGAGCTTCATCACGAACATTGAACTAATAATCAAACAGATACATCGAACACATCCTAATAGCCACTCATTCGGGCGAAGCGGGAGTCGCTGAAGTATTCCGAGCGTTACAAAATCGTCTTCGAGATTCGACATGGACAGTGGTATTCAAGAGTTTGATCACAGTTCATCTGATGATTAGAGAAGGGTCTCCGGATGTAACGTTGGCATATCTTGCGCGGCATAGGAATATGCTAGCAATCAGCAATTTCACCGATGGTGTGTACCCAGAGAATATTTCTGCGATTCTCCGCATAATGGCTTAGCCATGACAGGCAATATCATAGAAACCGTGCTAACAGAGCATGGCAAAGTGCAAACCCAGGGACGAAATATCCGACATTACACAAATTATCTGACCGAGCGCGCGAGATCATTTCGAGACACAAAATGCGACTTTGTACGTGGTGCCGAGGGAAGACTGGAGAAGTTGTCGGTGGAAAAGGGTCTGTTGAGAGAGACGGAATCAGTACAGAACCAGATCACATCATTGCTGAAATGCGACGTATGTTTGATGCCCGTTTTAAGGTAAACTTGTGCTAAGCAATAGTGTAGGTTTTGGATAACGAACTCGATAATGAGATTACAATTACAGTCTTCCGGATGCTAGTATTGGATCTTCTAGCATTGTTTCATGTTATAAACCAGGCCATGATCAACATATTAGGTACTTGATTTCAGAAGCGGGCAATGTGTCATGCTAACAAGATCAAAGGCCACTTTTTCGAAATGTCAAAACCCGATGCAGAACGAGCTATGGAGATATACAGAAATTTTACCCGACAAACAGATTTTGTAGTTTCGTACCTTGGTGTTGCCAGGCAATATGAGCATCAGACGCGAGTGGAGGTTCCCAAACTCAAGCATGCACCTGTCAATCTTGGAAAACAGCTGGAGGACTATTTGATGGATCCGGATTTCGAGGTAAACAGAAGGCAATACCTTGCAGAGCAGGAGTCTACCAAGAAAGGGAAGAGTGGGGCCAGTGGTGCGAGTAAACCTTTTGCAGTACCCTCCAAGAGCGAAAGCGATGACAGGGCCGCTACTGGACGCTCTTTTCCTGATGCAGTACAAGCATCTTCTTCAAACACTACCGCACAACCCTCTAAAGCACCGGCTGCAGATTTGATTGACTTTTTCGACTCTATTGATACACCGCAGCCAATGGCTACCCAAGTAGGAATACAGCAAGCACCCCAATTCAACGGGGACCCTTTTCAAATGCAGCAGCAACAGCAACTCCAACAGAACGGATTCGCTCAACAACAAACTGGTTTCCAAGATCCAGCACAGTTTGCTCAACAGCAAGGCTTTAATAATGTTTTTAACATGCAGCCACAGGCACCTTTACAACAGCAGCAGCAACAACAACAACCGCAACACATGCAGCCACATTTCACGGGTGCTGGATTTGGTGGCTATACTCCACAGCAATCATTCCAGCCATCAGGTCTCTCAGCCATCCCACAAGAATCAGCTGTAAATTTCCAGCAGCAGGGACAGCAACAAATGAATTCACAACCTCCTCAGGAGACGAATCCTTTCCGGCAGTCGACGATGACAAACAATCTAGGAATGACTATGCCTTCATTCCCAGCGTCCCCGCCTGTCGCCTCTCCAGTGATTCGACAATCGACCAACCCTTTTGCCAAGTCAGCATCACCTCAATTACAGCCTTACACCCCGCCACCAGATCAGCAATTCCAGCAACAACCAATAGCAGCTCCTCTCAGAGCGATGCAAACAGGCACAAATCCTTTTGCCAAGAGCTTGTCTGTTCAATCAGCCGAGCGACCTCAAACAAGTGCCGCCAGTCTTGCGCCACAGCCTACTGGAAATACAAATCCATTTCGACAGAGTCAATTTGTCAACACAGCTACGGGCATGGGCTGGCAAAACGCCCAGCAAACCATAGGAGGTGGTTTAGATCATATACCAACGGTTCCCGTCTTCCCTCGACCCGGGCAACAGCAAGCCTGGCAGCAATAGCCGAAGCGAAACCCGTGAAGTAAAAGTCCACATTATTTCTGGACAATATGGTTCACGTGTACATTTTTGCTATGATAAGACAATTTTATTGGTGTTTCAAGGATCATTACAAGCATGGCGCTCTGAGGGTATTGCAATTTGCAGACGGGAGAAACGGTTTTAAGAGCGTAAAGATGCATGATCTGATATTAAATTGCCTATACCTACTGTAGAGGTATTTCACCATAGGTAACTAATTACAAAGGCATGGCCTTTAATGTATAACTATGTCCAAATGAGTTCGGAATCTAGTGACTACGCCATTTCTCTTTAGACTCCATGAACCTTAAAACCCCCCCATCCCAGTCCCACTCTCTATATTACATATACAATCGGTGCCATATCAAATTAGATCATCGATTCCGCTTTAACCGCTGTCTGTTTCTTCTCCGTAGATGCTTGGACCGCCGCCGCAGTGCCAATAGAGGAAGAGCCTGGCTGATGTCGATCTTTAACCTCATCTTCGATGAATATCTCGAGGCCACCCAAGGCATCATGCATGGCTCTTCCATAATAATCATGGAGGCTATAACCGCCAGCCATGTGCTTAGGGTCACGCTTGATACCATCAACCCACTGGTTTTCATAATCATCCTGCAATACGTATCTCGAAGGTGTAAGATCGATACCTCCAAATGGATCGTAAGGTTTCTCTGCTACAGGCGCCGTCTTTTTCTTCAGTCCTCTGATCGTAAGACCTTCTCCATCCGCGCTTCCGGTTCCAGCATTAATTGCTGCATCCCTCTCTCCCAGGGTTCTTCTCGCCGAGCTCTTTTTCAAAATGATCTTGTGGGCTTGTTGTGTGATAGCTACCGCATCCCCCTCGCCGCTGGCCAATTGATCCAAAACCTGTTTTCGAGTCTTCTCGACATCAGCCTTTTCCTCGGCGTCCTCTCTCAAAGCCGTCAACCTCCTCTGTCTCGCCATTTCTTTCTCCTCAATTTCCCTCCTCCTGCCCATCTCCACCTCCCTCAACCTCGCAGCCTTATTTTCCTCAATGGCCCCACGATTCGCCTCTCTAAATCTCCTTAATTTATCTTCTGCCTCCTGTTTCGCTTTGCCTTTCCCATTTACCAGATCCCAGATCAAATCTTCTGTATCTTGTAAATAATTATTGTAATCTAGTAACGTTTCGAAATCATCCTCACTGCGATTAAACACCTCGCTCACCCGACGTCGAATGTCGCATTCGCGCTCTATGGCTAGATCCTCGAAAAACGCAGTTTTGAATCCCTTTTTCCGTAGAGTGCGAGCGCAGTGAAGGACAGGACAGGGTGCAGGCCCAGAGCTGAATATGCGATCCACGCATGTTGAACACATTTTGTGGTAGCATTCTGGATTGATGAGGAATTGGAGGGAGGGATTGAGATAGCGATTGGATTTGCAGATGGGACAGATGTCGTCTGAGGGATCGGATGTCTCGAGCGGTTTGGGCATCTTTTTGGTGATAGGTGTTGCCCACTCTTGAATGCGTGGTTGCTAAAAGGTTATTCAACTGAGGTCAAGATGTGAAGTGGGGTGGGGTTGTAAACCCCGGATTACCTCTTAGTGTAGTGGCGGAGTGCAGAGACATTTTTGCTGTGGCGGTCAAATGTGGCTTTGTAAGCAAGCCACCTCGAATCCTTGTCTACTTTTTGATAAATTAACAAGCTGAATTGACGTCTTGCAAAGCACAAATATTGTACATTAATTGCAAAGATGGCAGACAAAGGTGTGAAGCCCATTTTCCTATCCTTACTTTCCATATTTATATATCAGAAAAGCTATTTGGCTTCTTACCCATACCTCGCACTTCCCGTCTGCTTCATCGCAGCTACCCCGCCATTCCCTCCACCAATAAGTCAACTAACCAAAACTCCCAGAGCAAACCCCCCAACAAGAAGCTGCGGCACGCGCAAAGGAAGCAGCAGAACAAGGCCGCCCTCCCGTATAAATGGACGCAAACAATTTCCGACCTGGACATCACTGTCGAAATCCCGGGGAACCTTAAGGCTAAAGATTTAATCGTTGATATCAAACGCCAATCACTAAAAGTATCCGTCAAGGGCCAAACTCCTATAATTGATGTATGTCCTTTTTCGGTCTCCTTCTCCAATACCCTTACCATTCTGACATTTTGGCATTAGGATGCACTCCCCCACCCCATTCTCTTAGATGAGAGCACCTGGACGCTGAGCACTCTTCCCTCAGGCAGCAAAGCTCTCGAAATTCATCTGGATAAAGTAAATAAGATGGAATGGTGGGCACATGTTGTCGTCTCCGCACCAAAAATAGATGTTACCAAAATCACACCCGAGAATAGTAAATTGGGAGATTTGGATGGGGAGACGAGAGGGATGGTGGAGAAGATGATGTGGGAACAGAGAGATAAGGAGATGAACGGCGGAGTCAGTAGTGAGGAGAGGAAGAAGAAAGAGATTCTAGAGAAGTTTCAGAAAGAACATCCGGAGCTGGACTTCTCGAAGGCAAAGATGAACTAAAGGTTCCGCAATTCAAGGTAGCAGGTGACAAAATGAGTACGGCGAGAGGATTAAGTTGGAGGTAATGATATACATGCGAGCGCTATAGCTGGTTGCAACACTCATGAGGATAGCTATTTATTTGGCGAAAAACGAAACATAAAAGTATTTCTCTACTGTTTATGGAGCATACACGTTTGTAAATTGGGCGGGGTCAAAGCTTCTCGATGCACATTGGCCGTCTCGCCATCCTCTTTTGGTATTTTACATCCGTCCTCATATATCACATATTTTATTTGCAGTCCCAAACATCCTCCAAACTTTTGTACTTCAACGTAACCGCAGTTCTATCTCTCTCCTGCCAATCGTCGACTTTGAACTTCGGACAGTGCTTTGCTCCCGCTCAAAAATGCGATGAGCCCTACAACACCTGCAGCGGGCAAAGTCTGGAATAAGGTCCAGCTTGAGTAATACAAAAAGAAGATACCTTCCATAGCAATGATCGAGCCATAAAAGAGGGCGTGCGAAATTGGTGCGGCCGAGGTAGCCTTCGAGAGATGAGAAAGGTTGGCTCCAAGGTAAGCCCACTGTTAAAAAGGTATTAGTACTCGTGTCAAAGAAGCTGGCACAAGGAATACGCACCGCGCCCAGTAACACTGGAATAGTAGCTAGAACTGCGAATGCGAAGGCGAGGGAGAAAACCTTAGGCCCACTCTGTGGATCGGCACGGAGGATATGGTGAATCTCAGGTAGTTTCCCATATCTCAATGGCTTCTCATATGAGGGAATTGGTTTGCTGGTATCGTGGGACAGTTCGAGGTCAAAAACATGGTTGCTGAATGCTTGTGCATTACCAAAAGATGCGAGAACAAGGGTGGCACGTAGAGGTTTAGAGCTTGTGAGAAGTTGGATTGGAAGATCTTTCTGAGCCTGCATATTCATTAACATACTATTCCATTGTTCTCGCCAATTGTCTGTAATGTAAATACATACAAAGTCAACCTTTCCTTTACCAGACTCCTTCACGGAAAATGGGAAGGCAGTTTCAAGTCCGGTGTCTTGATCCCTGAGAAGTAAGAATGCTTGATGTGGTCGTTTGGCAGTGCGATCCTCAGTAGCCGTGAGGACGATTTTGAGGGCATCAGCTGCGCCAAGAGATACTGGTTTTGCAAGAGGAACATGGTCTGATAGTCTGCAGAGTACTCAATTAGTATACCGATTCCAAAGATTGCATATCTTTGAATAATATGTCGGCAATTCCTTAAAATTACGTACTTGTCCTTAAACCCTCCAGCACCACCCTTTCCGCTCACGGAAACAATAGCTTCATCAAAGCTCCATGATGAAGTAGCGTTAACAATTCCGGCAACAGCAAGTACCAATGAAGGTACCAAAGAGCGTGAGAGACGCATTTTGAGACAAGAACAATCGTTGAAACTTTGAGATTTGTGAATTCAAATTCACAGAGGGGAGCTCCGAGCCACGTAACGTAAGAGCTCCAATTGAGAACACATTTCGGGCGCCAAGCCTGGAATCCAGCGGGTTTATGTCATGCCGATCCGGTGCACGGACACTTTGTCAAGCAGCATTGCTACATGGCTGTGGCAAGGCCAACAACGATATCAAGCTGTAACATCCTCGATTCGGTCTCGCAACGCAACTTTAGCATAGAGGCATGCATATTTTGGTTATGGGGTCAAACTCGGGAGACTTTTAGAAATGGGCACGAAATCATAGCTCGGATAATCAGCAATCCAGTCTTATATGTTCCATTTGATGAGGAGCTGAAAGAACTCGTCCGTCGTAACGAGAATAACTTTGACTGATCCAGCTTTCCGAGAAGTATGGATAGAATGGCCCAAAAAAAAAGTCGGATCTATAACCAGTGTTAAGCATTGGAGGGTAAATGTTCGAAAAGCATGCTATATTAGGCGTAGTCGTGGATCGATTCTTGTGCCTTAACCGATGAAATATATAGAGCGGGTTTTGTGGTAGCCTATTTCCTGTTGATAGTTTTGTGAGGTAAGTGCGGTCCAAGTTTACCAATTGTCGATTCTGCTTTTTGTTTGTCAACGTCTTCAAATGTTATTGGTATTTCGTGACAAATATTCAAAGGTTGCGAAATATACCAATTTAGGCGAGTCAAGGCGTTCAGATGGCTTTAGATGGGCAGGTTTGATGTTTCAATATGCCATTTTATGCAGCAACATTCTGCGTGCCCGCTACATCACACATCGCCTTGGGATGGGATGATTGAATGGCCAATTGCACTGGATAGGAAACCGGAGAAATTCCATGGCAACCTACCAATACGTTGGCACCACTTAATCATCTGTCAGTTTCGCAAAGCAGAGGACTTTTGATTTTCATTATGAACTTTATCTCTATACCAAAGTAAGATAAGCACTAAACATTCACAGAGTCAAAAGGATTATTCCCAAAACATTCTTGATAAGTCATTATTACCTCGACCAATTTTTGGTATCCAAGCGCAGCATCAAGAATCTGGTTCAAGATGTATGTGCTTCAGTGCCCTAATCTCTAAACTGTAAAGACATAGCCCGACAAAGGCTATCAACACCAGACCCAAATCAGCCTTCAACTACTTGTGCCCATACGCCCAACCATGAATTAGACTAATGCGCCCCATTTTTCCTCTCTACACTGCGCGTCACTAGATTACTATTTTTGGTGCCAGGTTCTAGGTCGTTGAGCAACTATCTCACATGAGCGATCGTTTTTTTCATCCAGCATGCTCATGCAGTCGCCCAATTTCTGAAAGGGATTCAGGAATTAAACCTTGGAAAATTTCTCATCCTACTTGGCGGCTACGCATCTGTATCATAAAGGAATAGCGTTACTATACTCCATTTTGCTCGGAAGGTCGATTTGACTACATTGTATAATGTTTAAGTAATTCCCTCGCTAAACATATGCAAGTGTCTATGTTGAGTTCGATATTGTGTCTGCACCTTATTACACCTTTTGAGGAATCCAAGCCAATGCTATTCTTCGTGGCAAGATTGAGTTCAAAAAATCCAAGGACTAGTATATTCCCTTCAAGTGTTAGTTGTGGGATGACAGGTTAACTTTTTTTTAAACTCCACTATTGGCTGTATTGGCTATTCTAGATGAGGTACAAGGCATAATCTGGATACTCCAGATGAGCATAAAAACAGTTAGATATACACGGTGGCCTTGAAAATCCAAGGAAGGGTTGAGAATTCAATATGGCAATGGAGCACCTCAATTCCAAGTGTCTACGCTGCCTTAACCAGGAACGCGGTGCATACTATCAGTACCACTGGGTGAACAGGCCATCCACCCATCACACATATAACATATGGGACGAGAGGATTGGCTTTCTTGAGTGGACAGGGAGTAAATTACTTTATTGGTAATCGAAAATCAGATTTGTCTATCTAGCTCGTCTGTGCGAGTTTTATATGCAGATGAAATATTTAGAGATATAGTATGCAACAGCTCGTAAGATGGTGAAGCTTTTGTCGCTTGTAAGAACGTTGTGCATGAGATAGGGTACGAGTTGATTCTCATGGCCTGAGTCTGGATTCATTTCTGTAAGCCTGACAAATTTGTCGAGCAGGTGAGGGTTTGCGGATTGTGACTAGCCGAAAACAGTTCTTTCATGAGTATTGTATTTAATGGCAACGCAATGAGTAAAAAATGCTTTTATTATGACCATTTACATTTTTATCGACGTGAAAGTAGAATTTAGGCAGTAGAGGTTTGGTTCTGCGACAGGCGATTTTCCGCATGAATGATACCATATTATATTCCGAAGATTTACGACTTTCTCCTAATTGGATGCGCGGATGTGCAAGATCAAGTGTTAAGTGATACCCATGTCTGCTGTTTCTAGACTTATGTCTTGCACAACAGCATCTCGACTTTTCATGTTCTTATTCTCGTTTTTGCAAATATCTGCTGCATCAGTTGAAAATTAAAGGTATTATGACAATAGATAGCTATGCTACTCCCGCCATCTAATAGACCAATTCCCTTTAGCAAAACTTGGCTCAACTACTGAGCCTTGCATCAAAGCCTCACACTTGCGTTTGATGGATTCCTTCGCAACGTTCTCCTCCCAGCTAACCGACTTTTTGTGCTTCGAGCCTTTGGAAGCCTGAGATGAAACGGTTTCCAAAGGCTGTTCAACAACGAAACCAAAGACAACAGCCCTTCTAGCTGCCCGTCGAACCATCTCCCTCTCCTCGGCCTGTCTCTGGCCATCATTCTTTTTCTGTATATCAGAAGCCGATTCCTCCGTTCTCTCGGCCCTACCCCTCTCGCCTCCAATGCTAAAGTTGACATCTGACTCTGTTTGGGGTGGACGTATAATTGGGCCGATTTTATTATCCATGGGCTGAGGAGGGACGTCCTCGCTCGCCGAATCCTCACTACTTTCCATATCAACAGTTTTCCATTCTGCATCAGCATTCGCTCCTCCAATTGCTCGACTTTTTCGGTTTTTCCTTCTCCCGTAAACCTTTTCAGGATCAAATCGACTTCCAAATACAATCTCTTCAATTTCATCACAGGTAACAATAATACGATGATCTCCTTTCACAAAACGATCCTTGGCGCCAGTCTTCTCTAGTCCGGATTCTTTCTCTTGATCTAAAAGTGCCACAATAGTTTGCTCAATCTTTTTGTCCAGTTTTCCCGGTTTCCGATTCCGGCATCTGTCTGAACAGTATTTGACTTCATTATTAGACTTTTTGGTGGCTTTTTTGGTGTCTGTTGAATGCATTAGATAAATATTCAAGGACATTTCATCATGGTGCTAACTCATGACTCGACCACATGTTAGACAGTAAGGGACACCTTCTCGTGCTGTTAAGTAGAGAGGTGGAGGAACGGCGGAATGTTTTGAGGGGCGCGACCATGAATCCATCCAACTCATATTTGAGGATGTTGATACTATTTTTAGATTTCGGTGAGATTGGAAAAGATAGGTGCAGAGTTTAACTTGTGTGGGAATTTTAAGACGAAGGAAATTCATGTAAAATTGTTGGATAGTGATGAAAGGAAGTGAGGGAGTGTGTTAACGTTAATGAGATTAACTTGGATATTTTGTAATTTGATCATCATTGAGTTTCAAGATCAATGTCATCATCGACTTCGACTTGGGGCCCTGTAAGGTTACGCCACTTGAGCTTCCTGTGGCTTTATGGTGTGGCTTGGACCGGATGACCTCGGCTCGACGATGAAGAAGAGTAAGGGGTTTCGTTTCCTTTTTTCTTTCCATTTCATGTCAAATAATAATGACAATGACAAAACGATTCTCGGCATTGGGGAATGGCCAAAAGCCTAAAAAAAGCCTTGCTACTTGGTGGGAAGCTAATCGAGTGGAGTTTTGTGCTTATTGGCGAGAAACGAGTGGCTGACCTAGCTATGATAAACAGATTTTTAAGAAGTAAGATCTTGCATAGTAACAAATAAAATATGAAGAAATTGAAGATTCGTAGTTTTTGAATTTTGCTATGTTCTGGAATTGAATATAAAATTCTTACTAGGTGGGTAGGAGAAGCGGCAATGCTAACATCATTTATAAATGCATTGGCATTTTCTTCATTAATAATATGTAGGAAGGTATTATCAGTGTTGATGACATCGACCTGCCTCAAATGAATGATAACAATCGCAAAGCCAACATGGTTAAGAGGCTGATACACATCTTAGAACTATCCATAACACTAATTTAGTGTCTTGCGGCGAGCTCCGACTTTCTTATCTTCTATTCTGATAAATCCCTTCACCAATGAGCTGGAATTCACCATTTACGAAATACCCAACAATGGCTTATCGAAGTTATATCCCACTACTCTCACATCGGTCGGGGCAAAGGACGAGAACCTCCTTCGACCTTCTATATTCATAGATTCATTCTTCTCCATTCGGTCGTTTCCGCCTCTCATACTTTGATACTTAAGCCATGGACCCCTCCACGATCATTCAAAGCCAAAAGCCGAACAACAAGTTGCCACATCTTCCTTTTCGAATATCCTCACACACCGAATATATCATTTAAACTCGGACAATCAACATGGCCGTCAAGACCTTGGAAGTAAAGCCCATCTCTTCGCCAGATAATTCCTCTCTCAACTTCGGGGCCGAGATCGATAATGTCAACCTAGAAAGCCTTAGCGAAGAGGACTTCAAAGTCATTCGCAATGCATTATACAAATACCACGTCGTAGTTCTCAAGAACCAGGCTGGCCTCTCTCCCAAAGCTCAATATGAGCTTACTCGCAGATTCGATCCTACTGCCGGTGAGTAGTGCTTTCTATTGTATAAAGAACGACGTCTAATCATTTACCCAGAAACATATGGGCATGGCAAAACGCTTGATGCGAAACGATCAGTCCTTCATCCAGATTTGAAAACCATTCCTCATCAAACACAAGTCCAAGTCATCGGAAACGGATTTTATGAGGAATATGAAGGGCTGAAGAACATTACACTTAAGCACCCTCATCACAAAGTCTTCCACAAAACAGCTGTTCCCGAAGAAGATGATCTGGCATTTACCCGTTTCTACAGATGGCATGTTGATGCTGCTCTTTATGCCCTCAATCCACCAAAAGTAACATCTTTGATGGCTGTCAAGGTACCTGCCGGCCGTCGCCAAACTCTTCGTTACGATGATGGTAGTGGGGAAGAAATGGATGTTCCTCTTGGTACCACCGCTTTCGTCTCTGGTCAAAATATGTACAACCAGTTAAGCGAGGAGGATAAGGAGTTCGTTCGCGGGGCAAAAGTAGAATACGCGCCACATCCATATATTTGGATGTCTCCTGCCAAATCTCGCTCCACTGGTCTCGGTATGGTTTCCGATGGAACCGAGTTACCTCTGTCCGAACTTCCTCCGGTTGACGAGAAGGATATCAAGATATTGCCCATGTGTTGGAAAAATCCTGTCACTGGTAATTTGGCACTGCAGATCCATCCTAGCGCCATCAAAGCCATTCATCTTCCGAACGGAGAGGTCATGACCGATCTGAAGAAAGTGAGAGATTTGGTTTACCGCCTCCAACGACCAGCTATCAGTCCTCAATTTGTGTATCCACACGATTGGGTCGAAGGTGACTTGGTCTTGTTCAACAATCAAGGAGTATTACATTCGGTAGTTGGCGCATTCAGCCCCGGGGAGAAGAGACTATTTAGACAATGTAACATGGCTTCTTCCGATGGAGTTATGGGACCCGATGGCAAGCTCTACTAGGTTTGGAAAATGGGGTGGGGGTTGGCTATTTTTTTTTTCATTTCTGTTTTTGAAGATAGGTTACGAACTCGGCGTTTTTCTGCGTATCAAAGCCTCACCATCATCGGGAGGAACTCGGCGTTTGATAGCGTAACAAGCGTATACCCCTTTTTGCTTGGTTACAATAAATATAGCGAGTAATCTTAAGATCTCACATTTTGAATAAAAGATTTTTGGAGTTTTCAATCCTCCCGCAGAAAGCTATCTACGTAAGTCGCATGAGTTGTCACGGTTGGCACTTTCACATGCTAAATATGATGCGTCATAAATTCACATGCTTTCACATATTCTGATCTTCAACGAAACGAACACAGCAGATGATGCATTATCATAGATGGGGTCGATAGAGAGATAAAGATCTGATAGGTCTTGTTCGAGGCTTGTTCTGGGCTGAATCTAGCCAGCTCGTAAACTATGGAGTACTGATTCAATCCAACAGATGCAAGCAAAGATAAAGTCTCATCTGATTTGATATAGAGTAAACAGAAACTCGTGAAAGGTATGATATTTGCCGATGTTGTTGTGTTAGTGAAGAATGCAAGTCACCACACCATGTATTGGTGATTATCTTAGCTGAAATAACCTTATGAATGATGATAGATTTATTAACCTTATAATAAGTAAATAATCCGGCTTTAACTACTTACTTACTCTTACCTATTTAGTGTACTACCGGGGATCTAATGTAAACATACGTAGGCCAATCTTCATTTAATTATCGGTATGCTCATGCACTCGTGGCATTACCATCACATTATTAGGCACTTCAGCTAGATACCACATGATGTCCCCAAGTTTCCCTGGGGTTCATTCAGTGTGGGGAAACGCTGTCCTCAGCAAGTACAAGCATTTCATTTATTATTAGCGTTGCACGCTACTGCCCAGCTTTCACAAGCCAAGCCTGAAATGAATAATACAGGGTAGTCCGGAGTAATAATAAGATTGAATCCCCTTTTACACAACTGGTGAACCCGCAACCAAACAACAAAGGAATGATTGAGTCTTGAGAGGAGAGAGAACGGGCAACTCATTCTTCTATTTCTTCCATAACTCCGCTTCCCTAGTATTTTTTGGGAGAATTATCACATCAGCTGAGCTTGTTCCTTGTCCGGAAATTCGAACAAGATCCATTGACTCGTGCCCTGTGACACTGCAACACTGCGACACTGCATGGACCGACCGCATGGAGATCTGCAGGTAATATAAGATTACGATCGATTACCGCTGCATCAATATCAAAGCAATATAATATAGCTACGGGTACTAAACAATCCGAACGACAAAACTCATTCTTTTCTATTTGTTTTCGTTTTATTCCATCCCCACCCTTATGACTACGGATATATCTCCGCAACCAGACCCAAGGCTTTGTTTGTGAAGGACACTTTAGAAAGCACGCATCGGATGGCGGGCTGAGAGAAGGATGGTGTTGTTCGAATACCTTCAGAAGACTTCACAGTTTTGTGCGCTTGAGAACGATACTCTCGATGGATTTGCCAACATTAATGGATATAAATATGAGAGAGAACAAGTGCCGGAACCTTCGGTGGGCTTATTGGGATCGGCCACGAGGATTTTGAGAACCGGAGCCGATGTCCTCAACAATAAGATACGACAAGCCCGAGATGGGTTGACAGAGAAAGAAAGATTAGCCTTGCGCAAAAAGGAAGAGAGAATGCAAATCTTGAATCTACGGTTGAAGAACGCCGAAATGGTGGAATATTGGAGGGCCGCAGCGAAGGAATTAGATATACTCGAGGATAACGAAGCATGGAAACTCGATTCATCGTCGGCAGATTTCGACGCAGCGTTAATCGAAGCAAGGACCAAACAAATGGATACGGCGAGGATTGATTGTGATATCAAGAAGATGCTTACCTTGGTGCGCACAACCTTGTCGAGAGATCTAGGAGGCATGGGTAACATCAGGTTGTACAAGCATAGTCACATTGGGACGAAGGTTATCATAGAGAGATATATTGAGTCGACATTGGATACGATACGTGCGCTGGTTGAGACTAGCAAATACGCTTTACCAGTTGGATTGGAAACGAAGGATATACTAGAGCAGGTTGTGTATGCCAGACAGGCATTTGGGAGAAGTGCGTTGCTATTGAGCGGGGGAGGAACTTTTGGAATGAACCACGTCGGGGTGTTAAAAGCTCTTTTCGACGCTCGTCTGCTGCCAAGAATCATATCGGGTGCTTCTGCGGGTAGTATCGTTTGTGCCGTGTTGTGCACAAGAACTGATGAAGAGATTCCGGACGTATTGAAAAGTTTCCCGCATGGAGATCTTGCAGTGTTTGAAGAAATCGGCAATGAGGATGGGGTCCTGGATAGGCTACGACGCTTGTTGACAGAAGGAGCGTGGATAGATATCAAGCATTTGACGAGAGTGATGCGCGAACTTTTGGGTGATATGACATTTCAAGAGGCGTACAACCGTTCTCGTCGTATTCTTAACATATGTGTATCGTCCGCGTCAGTATACGAGTTACCTCGACTGCTCAACTACATTACTGCGCCGAATGTCATGATTTGGTCGGCTGTAGCTGCATCATGTTCAGTACCCTTACTATTTTCTGCAGCGGAGTTACTCGTGAAGAATCCGCTCACAGGAGAAAAATCATCTTGGGATCCTACACCTCAGCGTTGGATCGATGGAAGTGTGGATAACGATCTTCCGATGACTCGTTTGGCAGAAATGTTCAATGTCAATCATTTCATCGTTTCTCAAGTCAATCCTCATGTCATTCCATTTATCACCAAGGAAGAGGAGGCGATTAAAGAAGCTGTACTGAAAGAGTGTGATGGGGGACCAGGCTGGGTTTACAACCTAACAAAATTGGCAAAGGCTGAAGCTTTGTACCGCATGCAAGTTTTGGCTGAACTAGGAGTATTCCCAAATCTGGTTACTAAATGCAAGTCTATCCTGAGTCAAAAATACTCTGGGGATATCACAATCCTACCAGAAATCAGCTACAAGGACTTTCCCAGGATATTGAAGAATCCAACGTCGGAGTTTATGGTTCAGGCTTGTTTGGCAGGGGAGAGAGCTACTTGGCCAAAATTGAGCCGCGTGTGGAATCATTGCGCTGTTGAGCTGGAGTTAGATGCTGCTGTGCAGCAATTAAGGGCAAGGGTAGTTTTCAGCCCTAGTGAGGTGAATCTGAGGCGGTTGAGAACCAGTGATGATTCCCAAAAGTCTTCAAGAATAATGGGAAGACAGAGGACCGACAGTGGAAATTTGTTGCTGATGTCGCGGGATGCAGATGGTGAATTTTCAGAGCAGATTAGGGAACGCAGAAGCCCATCTCGCCCACCACTGAGAACAACGGCATCGGTATTAGACATTACACAACGTCAACAGTCTTGCCTTTATATTGAGCCTCGTTCTTCTCAGACTACTCCGCAGCGTACGCCACGACTCGGACGGGAAAATGAGATGTTTCGCTTCCCCGTTCTTGCAAAAGACCTATTTCAAGCCAAGAACCAAATCCCCGAAGTATCATCCGCCGGAGAAACAACACTTTCACCTCCGAGCTCTGACGTTGACGTTCAATCACAAACCGATGAAAGCAGTACAGAAATTGAGACCGAGGAAGCTTTATATGGCATAGCTAACACCCGCGAGAGGCAGCTTGATTTCTTTTCTAGGAATCAACCTGTTACTGCGGGAAGCGATCGGGTTCTTGCTACATCCCCTTCATTCATAAGAAATGGACCTGAACTCACGTATTCAGCCACGGCCATTGCACCAATTGAGAAGAGACCGAGAGGAGAAAGAAAGAGTGTAACTGAGCCGAATAGTCCCGAGTTAAACTACAAGAGGTTATTCCATCAGTGGAAGGAAGATGATATGAGAGATGCTGCATAGATGGCGAGTGCATGTGATACCATTCTCCGCGCAAACTAGCGTGGTATTGATTTAAGTTTGAATTTGTTACGAATGATTGGGATGAACAATGATTGGAATTTATGCATGGAATTGGGGTAAACGGAGTCTCTCTATAGGCCAACAGAGGTCGGCCTCAATTGTTGAGTAGTGATGATGCACTGGATTGGCGTTTTTATATTCTTTGCATCAAGAGCGATTGGTTAGAAAGCATGGTTTGACTGTTTATTTAGAAAGAGCTAGCACAAGAGATTGATTATAAACTTCTCGGAATCATGAATGGATATGTACATACACATAATCGTACGTTGGGGGACAGTATATTTAATACCTTGGTATAAATCGGCCAAGTTTACCTATCTTTAGGAAATTCTACTTGTGAAGGTACTGTGCTTACAATGTATTCTCTGGCTATTAATGAAGGAATCTAAGGGATGCCTCGGCTAACAACACCATAAGCTTAATGTATTACGTAACCGCTGACTAAACAGATGAGGTACGTACCAGCACACAACCCATCCCACTACTAATAAATTTATGGTGGGGTTTCGTTTCATCATAAGAGAGTCAAGGACTGAGTTTCAGTCCCTACAAACAACAACAATCCACCACCTTGTTAGAATTACAATCTTTTGTTCCGGTATTTGAGAGGAAACATGGATTTCTATGCAACTTCTCAATACCCTGAGGGGGTGATCAGTTTCCTCGACACTGATCTTTACAAATTAACTATGCAATGCGCCGTCTTAAAATACTTCCCCAGCGTGAAGGTAACATACGCGTTCAAGAATAGAACGCCAGAGAAGAAGCTATCAAGAGTTGCATTTCGTTGGCTACAGCTTCAAATCAGTAGTACGTGCTCACCATTCCATTGCCAATTCAGAAAGAAGCTAACGAAATTAGAGCTGGGAAATATTGCGCTCAAGGATGAGGAATTCCGATTCCTTCAAAATACCTGCACGTACCTAAATAAACCTTACCTCGACTTCTTGAAGGAGTTCCGACTGGATCCGCGAAACCAAATTGAAGCTAGCTTTGTAGCAGATGACGATAAGGGAAAAGATGAGGATTTGGGAGAAATCAATTTGGTGGTCAAGGGTTTATGGGTTGACACTATCTTGTACGAAATTCCATTATTGGCTTTGACCAGCGAGGCGTACTTTCGATTCATGGATACGGACTGGACATATGAGGGACAGGAAGAGAGGGCATACGAGAAGGGAATATCGCTTTTGGAGGCCGGATGCATTGTATCGGAGTTTGGAACAAGAAGAAGAAGAGATTATCACACTCAAGCTCTTGTATTTCGCGGGTTGGTTAAGGCTAAGAAGGTCGGAGAAGAACGAGCATTGCCTGGAAAGATTTCGGGTACGAGTAATGTTCATTTGGCTATGCGATTTGGAATCCCTCCTATAGGAACTGTCGCACATGAATGGTTTATGGGTGTTGCGGCTATTACGGATAACTATAAAACTGCCACGGCTACTGCGTTGGATTACTGGGTTGGATGTTTTGGTCAGGGTGTTTTGGGTATTGCTCTTACGGATACTTTTGGTACTAAAGACTTTCTCCGGGTCTTTTCTCAAAAAATTCCATCCTTCACAACCGCTACTTCAGGAGCTGCTGCTACGTTGCCATCGGCTGATGCGCTCACAGCCGAGGGAACAAGTAGTACCAAGCCACCTCTAAATGCCGCGGAACACAAAGCAAACGGAGATGTCCCAACGTTTGCACAAGCCTTCACTGGTGTTCGACAAGATTCAGGTGATCCAGCAAGCTTCGTGAAAAAGATGCGTCAGTTTTATGATGAGCAGGGCATCAAGGAAAAGAAAACCATTGTCTTTTCTGATTCATTGGACGTCGAGCTTTGCAAAAAGTACAAGCAAATAGCCGAAGAATCAGGATTTCAACCTACATTTGGTGTGGGTACATTCTTCACGAATGATTTCGTTCATCAATCTACAGGCAAAAAGTCGACGCCGTTGAATATCGTCATCAAATTAAGTTCTGCTAATGGTAAACCGGCTATCAAGATTAGTGATAATATTGGGAAGAATATGGGCGATGAAAGTACAGTTTTGAGGGTTAAGAAGGACTTGGGTTATGTGGAAGAGGAATGGCAGGGAGGTGATGAGACAACGAGATGGGGAAAGGAAGGAGAGGATGTTGTGAAGAAATGAAAGGCGATGTGCATGTTAAGTCATGAGTATTGTGATTGTGCTAATGGGTAATGGAAAATATACCATCGGCATGGATGGCGTTTGTTGGGTGGCATTTTACTCTTCTTTTTGGGTGTGGATGGAGATATCAAAGCACCTTTGGGATAGAGAAATTGATTGGATAATGAATACAATAGATTGGTGGATATGCTCTAATGAGAAATGATTTAGGATAACAAAGATTTTTATTGCTCGTTTCCATAAGCTATAGCCACTTGTGACTATTTGGTGAAAAGATTCGTCTTGGGAAATAGTCATTGATATAATTGCCTAGTGGTAGAGAGACTTTGAAATTCCGCCTCCCTGGTTTGGATCTCCTGGGGAAGCGAACTCAATCATAACTTTCTTTTCCTGCTCAATTTTTTTCTCATAGGACGGACACGTCTGACCTAATTGATTCTAATATTTTACAATTCTTAGCTCTCTCTCTCTCTCACTAACTCTCTTTGCTCGAACCTCATAGAATGGATCTTAAACTCAAAATTATCATCCCACTTTCTCTTATGTCCGATTAGAATCCAAGTTCAAATTCGCTTCCTCCCCTATTCTCTTATATTCTCTCTTATAATTTTTATATTAATTTATTATTTAATTAATTAGTTGTTACGCCGCATAACAGGAAACTCTCACGTGCAATCAATATCACGTGACTGGCTCAGTAAGGATCAGTGAGCTCAGTACTGAGCCGCATTGATCCTACTGAGTAGCCATCGGTACGAAGGTCTATATAATCTAGATGGATTTCCTTTGTATAGAGCTTCGTACTCAAGATCAATCATTTAGTATACTCTACTATTAGTTACGAATTGCATCATTGTCATTACTTAAGTCCCTGCTTGACGCCTAGTTATAAACCACCTCGAGAGCCTAGAGCACTTCCACGTGATCTAGACGGCAAACCTCGTAACACCTAGCCGCAATGGCTAGGCAAAAAGAAGTCATATTTATCCCTCCAATGATCTTACTTTACCGATAACCATTGATACCTAGTACTTGTTCGGATCTGATCCTCAGACCACCTAAATCGTATACTAATCCCGAGTAATCGTATCATGTATGGACATGGTTAATGTACCTGAGGTTTCTTATATAATAAGGGTGGGAGGAAAGCAGGGGTTTCCGTCACAATAAATAATAAATCTATAATTAAAATTTCAAAGAATTATATTCACAAATAAAAAAGTTATAAAAGTAATCTTAGATTTTCGTCATTTTTGATGAGGAAAAGTGGTCGGAATTAGGGGTGGCCGGAAAGTAGGGTACTAGACTTTATAAGACTATGTTATTGTGCCTCACCTTTTAGAGCGCGAGACTATTTGTATTCATTGTCGAAGATGAACATTTATGTAAAGCTCTATTGGAGCCCGAACTTTGTCAGCATGATACTAGTTAATCTTCGCCTCCATTACCCCCATTACCTTCATCAGTTTCAGTAGAGTTGGAAAATACTTTTGTTGTTTATCAGATCTTTGTACACTCAATACAAGGTTAAGGTAATTAAGCGAAGTAAGGTCTTACTAAAGTAGCGACCCCTCTTCGACTCCTCGATACTGCTCAAGGCAATTAGCTTATGATCAATCACAGCTCACCATTATATACAACTATATACCAAACTAGGTCAGTAAATAACACAAAATCCACACGCTTTAGCAATGTTGTAAAAGAGATTCCGTCTAGAGAAATCTCATAGGTGTTACTTCGCAGCATTGAGAGGGGCATATCAATGACAAGTCACGAGAAATTATACGTACTACCGCATTCAAAGTACCGAAAAAGTACGGAAACGAATATCCCGGTGGCTTTCTGAACCCATGGTTTATATTCGGACCGTTACGATTCTTCTAATGATTGTGTCATTTTTGTTGATTTGATAGCCGTTATGTTCAGCTAGAACGGTGGCAATATATCGATCTGGAGCTGCCGCGGTCACAAACTATCCATATAAAGCCTCGGGAGAAATAGCTGCTATGAGATTGGCCCTTATCATTGGGTTTTCGTCTTTCTATCAAGAAAACTATCCATCGCCAGCGTTTGACCCTCTATTCCAGAAAGAGTAAGCATTTCCATCAACGCTGATGTAATCATCAGCGCAATAAGCTTGGCTTAGCATGTTTTCCTTTTCTCAATAGAGGAAACATACTTTAGGTACTCCTGTGGTACGATAGCCTATGACCACTACAATACTAGAATCATCAGAAGGAAATCTTCTCGGTGGCTTGACATCAAGCTGATCTGCAACTTCATTAATCAAGACTAGAAGCTTGACCTTGTTCAAGCTAGTTCAACCTTCCCAGGCCTATTGAAAGTATCGCCTATTGGATTGGTTACGCTGAAGTTTTTTCTAACTTCCTATGGCATACTTGAATTTGGCTTTTTTTTTTCGGACAGTTTAACACGACTTAAAGATGTATTTTCTTCCCATTACCTCCAAATTTTTTAAATACATAATTTTTTTTCCTTAAAATTGGTACGTATGTAAGTTATAGCCATGCCAACTCTGCATTCTGTGTAAATTGGGTTTGAACCGAAACATTTCCTTTTGGATATTTCGTTTTGGACCCTGAAGAGACGTTGAAGATAGCTAAGATTACACTTTCGAGAATCATATATTAAGACCAAAGTTTTCCCGTCAGTCGCTTCATCAGCTCTTGCATTATTTGACCAATAGAAAATGTCGAGAGGGAACAGTCTACGTTATCCGCAATGTTCGTGCCAATGTGCCACAGCCTCTATTGACGGAAGGGTGCATATAGGGAAATTGATCTGCAGCTGGTGCATATTTTCAATTTTTGTGCTTCCATCCGAGATTACACGTTATCTTGGCTCATGACTTGGACAAGTTTTCGACTGGCAGTTATGTGCTGAATGATTTTCTACTCGACCTGCTTTCAGCCAAGCTTTGAAGATTATCTAAATAAGTATGTTGTTGAAAGATCTTAGATGATTCATACTAGGAGATGTTTGAGTCTGGATTATGTGTTATATATCGTATGCGAGCTTCAAGATTCTTTTCATGGTACACACTGGTGAACCCCTGAAGACTATGGGCATATTTTCTCTTACATCGGGTAGCAAAGCTATGCACCGCTTGTGGAAAATATGTTACCCCTTGATCGCATAACGAACACGCGAGGTCATAGTATCGGATCATTTGCGTGTGACGGGTGTGGTCCCGATATTCCTGTACCATTGAAAACGAACATAAACTATTGATGAACTTCTGTATCAACACTCGTATTCCACGAATTTGTGTTACTCGGAGTGAGCTCCAACTCGTGGGTATGGCATGTTCCAATATAGCGTGCTGACGGATAGGCACACCAATTTTCACGACATTTGTATATTTGACATCTGTCCTCACAACCGAGGTTGAAGATTTCCTTCATTTCGTGTTATTATTTCCGCTTCTTCATAAAATTCATATATGAATGGTTTCCGAGACACGTTTACTCTTCTCTAAGTTCTCGTCATACTATTCCCACACAAAGAAGTCTCCTGCTTACATTCAAACGGGCGAGTATGGTGATCAAATATCCGAATGTACCCTGGATATTCCTGGCAGTTTTTGTCTTCATCAGTCATAGCAATGCTCAGTATTATCCCATAACCGGCGTGACGACTGGTATCAATTCGAATACAAAGGCTCGACCTTTCAGACAAAATATTAACGATTTACAAAATAATACCCCACAATGGTAAGCTTCTCCACGATGTATGTTTTGGGCATGCATCGTCTTCATGGCGCCTCTCGTGCTGATGTTACGTTAAAGGTCGATCTACATTCAAGCGCTTCAAGCCATGCAAGCTGAAAACGAATATACTAATGGGCTTTCGTACTTTCAACTGGCAGGTAAGTGGCTTCCAATATCTTATATGAGTTAATAGTTGAAGAGCTCTTGAAGAATCTACTTTTGGTATTAACTTTTGAAATATCTTATAGGTATTCATGGTAGACCATATGTTGCTTGGGATGGTGTAAATCAAGCTATCGGTGCTCCAACCACGGGTTATTGTACACACGGTATTGTGTTCTTACTTAACATGTGGAAAAAAAGTATTAATATACACTTCAGATTCGGTTTTATTCACTACATGGCATCGTCCATACCTCGCACTCTTTGAGGTATATCCTGCCTCCCCTAATCAGACAAAATCGCAGCTCACTCACTTTCCATCTCTAAACACAGCAAGTCCTCGCTAGCTATGCTCAAAAAATAGCCAAAACTTACATTTCAACGCTATATCCCAGCTACCAAGCCGCTGCAGATAACCTACGCATCCCTTACTGGGACTGGGGATCCACCCCAAATATGCCCAGTGTCGTCAACGTCGCCACTGTCTCCATCGTAACGCCCTCTGGCGCTACTACCTATGTCAACAACCCTCTTTTCAGGTACAATTTCCAAAACAAGCCACTAAATCAGCAGCAATTTCCGCCAGGAGATAGTGACGGCATGCTGGCACAATATAATTGGACTGTGAGAAATCCAGACTATCTCGGTGGACAGAGTGATTTTAACGCCGCGAATACGAATTTGCAGAACGCGGGGTTGGGAGATCAAGTGGTGAGTGTGCTACTGACACCTTATTTTTGCCTGTGGCTCAATATGGTTGGATGGACGATTGATATAAGTTTGGAAAGTTCAGAGAAAAGAGATATATATGCTGATACAAGTGAGGTGACAGTGGACGGCAGTTATGAAATCAAAAAATTTCAACAACTTTGCCACGATGGCTAGCTCGGGGTCGAGTATAGAATCACCTCATGGTGCCGTACATGTTCTTGTAGGGGGTGCTTATGGACATATGTCTTTTTTAAGCTATTCCGGATTTGACCCAATATTGTAAATTCTTGTTTTTTCACTCCTTCCTCAACACTTTTCATTCTCTGTCTTCCCCTCCTCCTCTCCCGTGCATTACAATAGAACTGACCTAGCTAGTTGGCTCCACCATGCAAATGTTGACCGGGTCCTTTCCATGTATCAAGCCATCAATCCTTCTACATATATCACGTCACTAACCGATTACTATGGCACCTACACTATTCCCCCAGGTTCTGTTGACACCGCATCCACAGCACTCAAGCCCTTCGCCATCGACAGCTCTACCTTCTTCACATCTAATACCTGTAGGTCAATGTCACAGTTTGGGTACAGTTATCCAGAGATCATGGATTGGAATATGACATCCACACAAATGACAAGCTACGTAACAGGAAGAGTGAACGCGTTATACAATGCCGATGGAAGTAATTCGAAGATCAAGAAGAGGAGTTTCAAGAGTAAAGAACCTTCATCGATACACCAATTCGAAGGGTCAGACACGAACAAAACACTACGAGAATGGACAGCAGCACTCAGCGTCTCCAAGTTTGACCTCAAAGGTCAACGTTTCATTATTCGACTTTTTCTAGGGGTGATACCAGACAATCCAAAGACATGGGGGAGCAGTGAAAGTTTGGTAGGGAGTTTGGTCATTTTACCTCCACCGGGATCTTCTGCCAACGATGCGTCGACGGCATTGGCATATGATGAGATTGTTGTTTTGAGGGAACCCGCTATTGGAGGGGGTTATAAAGGGTACGATGAAGATGGGGACGGGGAAGGAACGGAAGAATTCTTGAAGAGGAATTTGAGGTGGAGGGTGCAGCTTGTAAGTGTTTCTTTGATATTTTTATTTTGATGATTTGGAAATTGATCACCGTGCTGATGAGGATCAAGGTTGATAATACTCCGCTACCCTCGAATTCACTAGCCACTCTGAAAATTAGCATTGGCGATGAAGTTGTAGCTATTCCGCACGATATCACGAAAAAACCGGTTTATGGGACGAAAACTCTGCATCCTGACATTGTTGTCGGTGGGGATTAAGCGGGATTGGATTGATATTTGTCGTTTTGTGTCCTGTTTGTTTGTTTGCCTTGATCATGAAATGAAAGAGGGGAAACGGAGTAAATTAATACGTTATCGTAGTTATCGAAGGAAAGAAATTGTATATAGACATAAGATCTTACAATCCAATCGCCGAGACAAGTTCTTCTTCCGATTCTCTACCCCTACCCGTCCGCATCCCATTTGTGAGAGATACACATTCCCCTCTTTTAAAATCTTACAAAACAAACTCATGAACTCCATAACTGCATGAGTCAAACTCAAATTTTCAGACGTGCAACAAAAGGACTCTTCAGGAATTAATATTATATTAAAAACTCGGCTTCCGTCGTGCGATTCGGTGCATGGATATGCAACAATCATGTAGAGCAGCATCAAAGTGACTCAAATCTCCCAAAAATGTATGTGCGAGTCAATCCTGACATGCAACAAATACTCCATTTAGACAATTTTACCCATAATCCGGGTCCCTTTACGGAGTCTCCCTCAACAAATCATGGTGAGAGTACGAGGTACGAGTACGAGTAAGTTTATTGTCCGGGTCCATGTCCAGGTTCAGGTCCATTATCCGGGTACGTATCCGCCTTTGTTGCCGCCTTAGTTCCACGTGCATGATTCTTTCTACCGCTCTCCCCATCCGCTCACGAACACCATATTAATTATCCGACGAGGAATTCTTCTCCATATCAATTCAATTATTTCTAAGATGTGCCGAGAAACCATCGCGGTACAGCTGACTTTGATTGTTGAGCACTTGTGTGCGGAGTAGGCACATTTCTTCCGACTGACTGCTCACAAGTTTCGCCCACAGATCTCACCCCAGATTGCTAGAGCAGGTAGTTCCTAAAATGATATAATATCCCTTCCTATTACCCTATGAATAAATCTTTTCTACATTCCGCCATATCCCTTCGTCTCGCCTTCATACCACAACGTTCATCAATTGCAATAATTCACCGCACTATGTTGGGGAAAATCACCATCGAGGACCACTTCAACCTTCCTGAGTTCGCCGAAAAAGCTAAATGGTGGGCCGGACTCTTTGCAGTAGACGCAGATAAACACGTCCGAGAAATCAGCGATGTGAAAAACATACGTCTCGAATATGCCGATAAACATGGCGTCGGTTTCCACATACTCAGTTACACTGCACCCGGAATCCAAGATATCGTCGATCCGGCTGAAGCCCTTCGTGTCGCTGCTCTGACTAATGATTACATTCACGACCAGATTAAAGACTATCCCGATCGTTATGGATCTTTTGCCGCACTACCCATGCACGATCCCGCTGTTGCGGCGAAAGAGCTGAGGAGATGTGTAACCGGGTTGGGATTTAAAGGGGCGCTGGTAAATGATAATCAAATCGCTAGTGATGGAGAATCGATAATTTTCTACGATCAACCGGAATGGGATGTTTTCTGGCAAGAGTGTGTGGATTTGGATGTTCCTTTTTATTTGCACCCCAAACAGCCTACGGGCAAGGTGTTTGATACTCTCTGGGCCGACCGGAAGTGGTTGATTGGACCTCCGCTGAGTTTTGCGAATAATGTTTCGTTGCATTTGATGGGGATGGTGGTGAATGGGGTTTTTGATCGCAATCCGAAATTGAAAGTTATCGTTGGACATTTGGGCGAACATATCCCGTTTGATTTGTGGCGCATTAATCACTGGTTTGAGGATATTAAGAAACCATTGGGAATGCCGATCAAGAAGAGTATTTACGATTATTTCAGGGAGAATATTTGGATTACTACTAGTGGACACTTTTCAACGTCGACGTTGAAATATTGCATTGAGGAGCTGGGGTCGGATCACATCATGTTCTCGACGGATTATCCATTTGAGTGCTATGAGGATGCGTGTGCTTGGTTTGATGGGCTGGATTTGAGCCCCAAGGTTAAGATGGATATTGGAAGAGATAACGCTAAACAGCTCTTCAAGCTTGATGGTTTCAAGGATCAAAGTGAGGAGATATAATTAACAAAGTATGTCTCGGCAGGGAGGAGCAATGGGGCTTTTTTTGTTTTCTAATGGTAACAACGGACGCGTATTATCTTAGGAGAGTAACTTGCTAGTTTGCATGGAGATTGACAATACAAGTGATGGTCAAATCTCACTTGAAATGATATGTTTGAATGATGTGATATTACATTATATCTATCCTCGCCCTCCACACTTTGTTCTGCAGTCGTATCAACAACAAAAATTACGTGCAGACGCCGAATCAAAATTCTCAACCTTAGTCAGGTGATTGGGATTGTGTGGGGGCCCTAATGTAGCGTGCGCTTTTCTCGCATTATGCATGCAAAGCTATGTCTCAACCATCAGAAAAATACCTGGGGCACAAACGTTCCATGAACTTCCGCTATCCATCCATCTATCAATCCATTCACGGGGCACTTCCACATGTATTGAAACTTCATGAAAGTCCGGAGGCTGGGTTCCGTCTCAATCTATTGCACACAATACTTAGGCATGTCGCATGTCTGATAATATGCCTGGCGATTAAACGCAAAGTAGTTACAGGAAGACTCTACCCGCCAACTGAATACGCTGGCGACGGAGTGAGCGCATAAGCCTTGTTAGGTGATACATCAGCAGGATTCCATTACTTCGGCATTGCATATGGGAGGGTCCCTTCTACAGCTCACCTACCTACTCTCATGTTTTTGTATTTCAGGTTGCTAATGCATTTTTCGTATGATGGATTCTTCCAAGTTCTCAGTTTATGCAGGAAAACCTCTTCTACATCCTTATCGCATCTGGCCAAACGATGTCTTCTCTCATGTTTTTGTGTTTTCAGGTTGCTAATGCATTGCCTGCATGATTATGTGCATATTGGGGACATGATATCTCTCCGTCAAACAAACGGAGCGTTCTCTTCCTGAAATTAGTGTACGCCCTCTTGCTCTCTAACGAATCATGCGATTATATGATTGCCCGTTTAATCTACACGATTCTCTCCTTCCAAAACACAGGAACACACAGATATCCTTCCGGCATCATACTACGTGCGCTGCAATGGAATATAATCACTCACTTCGATTCTAAGGTGGACAAAGGTAGTAGTATATCGCGAAATATGTTAAGTCTTAGATTTCCTTGTCCCAAGATTGACACCAGGCGCACGCAGAGTTAACTCGTATGCAATGTTCGGTTCTAGCTTCCAAAAGTTTAACCATAGATCGTTTCAACAAACACCTCTGTGTCTTTGTACTGTGATTCATGTATCGTATTTAACTGTCCCATTTCCTAGACCTCTTTCCATATTCAGGCACAACCTCTTCATTACCGCCAGTCTCCTCCAGAGTAGGCTCAGATCCACGAATCTTTCATTAACAAAACCATCTAACTTTCATACAGATAACAAATCCTCGAGTTCATTGCACTAAACACCCTTTCCTGCCAAGATCAGCAAACACACCAGGAACCCACCATAATGAAGTGCGTATTGTGCAACAACAATAACATTACAGACGATGAGGAATGCCAAGTTTGTGGAGCGTTGTTGCCTGAACAGCATAGGTTCTTACAATCCTTTACCATCGAATGTGGCGAAAAAGATGGCAAGATGGTTGTGACAGCGAAAGTTGGAGAAAGGGTTGAGCTTATGACAAGTGAGCCAAATGCAGAATGCGAGTGCGCTGTTATCTCTATCAACTTCAAAGGTAATCAAATAGCCGTCACGGTGAGCGACAATCCTAGCAAACCTATCTTATTTTCCGTGGCACGTCAAATTGTGCATCCCCAACCAGAAGAAAATGTGGTGACCGCAAAAGTTAACCCAGTCTATCGGGGCTAGGCAGATGAGGAGGTGCGGTGGGATGAGGAAGAATACAGCATTTTTGTTTTTATTGGGGCCAGACAGGAGAGGAGGTGTGGTGGGATAAGGAGGGAGAGAGCATTTTTGTTCTTCTTAGTCACCATCGAGATAATAAGATGAATGAATTGCTGTTAACTACAATTGTGACCATCTATGAATTCTTTTTCCCAAGCAAATCTTCCCTCTCCTTCAAGCTTAGCGTTTTGAAAGCCGCTAAAGTCGCGTCTTCCTTAGCCTGTCGTTCCCGAAGAAATTTCTGATGGGACACGGTCTTAGAAAAGCCGTCTTCATCCTCTTCAATGTAACGTGCATAATTAAGGCATTTCGAATAGAAATAATGATCAAAATACCTATTTTCCCCGATATTCTTTTTTTTGCTTCGGTCACTGAATCCAGTTTTGAATTCTGTGTAGAAGTTTCTCTCTGTTTGGAATGTCCCGAATTCTTTATTCATTTCCATTTGAAGGAGATACCCCCAATCTCCCAGTTCTATTCGACGAGTTTGGACGTGCTCCCACCATTCCGGAAGATACCCCCCATGTTCCCAATCGATAATACCGATAACATGTCCATCTTTAACGAAAATATTAGTCGCATTCAGATCGCCATGCGTGAGAACGTACGGTCCTTTCACGGGGTATCTCGACTTGAGGCTCTCCTTCCACTGACCCGAGACTCGCTTTCCATCCCATTTATTTTCGAGATGAGGTTCAACACTAGCCCACCATTTTTCAGCATCATCAGTCACGAACTCTATTCGTTTTTCATTATTTAGTATTCTATCCCTAATCGGCGAACCATCTGGGGCTTCTATTTTCTCCGATGTAAACTTGCGTAACTGTGTAAGATATTCAACGACTTCTCTGACAATAACTTTCTGTTGCTCGAGACTTAGCGTTCGCCAGGCTGACGCTAATGTTTCTCCCTCGACTCTTTCCATGAAAAAGAAATGGCTCGTATTATCCTTCCAATAGTGCAAATATTTCGCAACAGGAATGGTCGAGTTCTCCGCCAGGAATTTAGTGATTGAGACTTCCGGACCCAGATGGCTGTTGCGCCCATGTTCTATAATCTCTCTTTCCTTCAAAACATAATTCTCACCAACGGACCATATGCCCCTCCTCGCATTACATGTACATTTGATAGTACTAACGTAAGAGTCACACTGCTGATTCTCGGCATTCCATCCGCAGTTGTGGCATAGCAAGAAATCCTTTTTCTCAATATGGTGAGCATTGAACTCTTCTAACGTATCTCCTTCGAATGGCTTAAAGATTGTCATTGTGCTTGGATAGGCTTGAAGGTTCAGGTTGAGTTCGATGTTGGGATTGAATGGAAGTTCTGTATTTGATATGAAGTGGCAATAGAGTGAATCTGATATAATCTTTAGAGATGGATGGACTTAAGTACACTATTGAGAACAAAGAGTAAAAAAAAGCTCAATAATGAATTAAAATCTATCCTTTATTCAGAGAAAGTTGGATTCTTTCCTGTGGAGGATGAAAAGAATTGTACACAAAGATATCTAGATATAAATTGTACTTACTATTTGCGGACACACTTTTGATAATGGATATCCTAGCCAAAGACAAGGAGATTAACATTTAATAATGAATATATGTTTTCGTGATACCTAAAGTAGGTATTTATAGTGATGCAGAGAAAACTATTCCCACAAAGGGAAATCCATTCGATGTCAATACTAGCCTCGCAAGATGGAAGAAGTCTGTCTTCTCATTAAACGTCGGGCTTTCTATCTTGGATAGAGCTATCCTAAATACTCATAAAAGTATGGAGCTCAGCTAGCGCTATGCCTCTTTCAGGTGTGCAATACACCTTTGTAATTTTAAGAAAGAGATTTCGAATGATGGGAGAAATATACATCTTTGTCAAAAGAAAAAAAAAAGCTAAAAGAATCAAGAACGCCTTCTATGAGATGTCTCTTGCGCCCAAATATTTCAAAAGTCCCGGTTTTCTTCCTTCGGCATACACGCCAATCACTGTTCCCTAATTTGTATGTAATGCTTCAAAACATCATCATGCATGTCATATCTACTTCAATGTCAACACAATTCTTGTCATATCAAAGGAATGGGGCTTCTTACGCATTCATTTCTTCAATTGTCAATTTTGCACTTTCGTCAGAAACTTTGTAGACTGATGATTTGGTGTTGCTTGAAAACCCTAGAATCAAAATAATTTGAATTAGTCTTCGATTCATGAATAAAAACATATTGTCGGCCGGGACTTCTTACCAATGCGTTCATTAATGTTCTCCCGTGCTTTAGCAGCAGCGGCTTGGACGCGACTTGCACGGGGCTTTCTGACCTGTTCATAGACTCTCAAAGCCTCTTGTACGTCGCCGTTGAAGTGTTTCTGGCCGAAGATAATGCCTAGAGCCGCAGCATCCTCAATCGCCATACAGGCTCCTTGACTTTGATCAGGCATCATCTGCAATATAAATTAGTTCAAATGATACGGTTCGAGCTAGAATGTCGCTTACCGGATGAGCTGCATCCCCTATGACACAAGCAGTGCCCTTTTGCCAGTATGGATAAGGTTCATGAATCCATAATCTCCAAGGAGCGATATCCTTCCCTATTGACAAATGCTTGTAGACCTGAGGATCCAGATCAGGGAAGGGGGCAAGTAGCTCTTCTACGGTTCCCTTCGCGCCCCATGTCTGATTCGAATAATCACCCTTTTCTCTTGGAAAAAAACAATAGTAAGAGAGCAATTTACCACCGTTGCAAGGTGATAGAACAATCTTATAATGAGTATTAAGGCCCCCCCAGTATTCGAGCGCACCGTTTTTTGAATAATCGACCAAGCCAAGCTTAATCGCCTCTTCGGTGTCTACATTTGCATGGAGACAACTAGCATCGGCTGCTTTCCTCTCAACTTTGATGCCGATAAGAGAACGGACCGCAGATCCGATGCCGTCAGCTCCGATTACTACATCATGAACTGCAGTATTGCCATTTTCAAAAGTGATTGTTCCAGATTCGACGTCAAGCCCAGAGCACTATCATAAAAGTCAATTTCCAACCCTCGCACTTACCCTAAAATCTGCTTGGGTTTGCTTACCTTGTGATTTACAAGCAACTTAGCAGGTACACCTGGCTTTTCTGGTTCAGCTACAGCACTATCCATAAGCATGGCGTGCATATATTGCCGGTGGAACATATTGTAAACCTACGCGACCACGTTAAATCTATCTACCTAGAATATTTGTGGCTTGTTTGTGTCCAGAACTTACATATCCCCATTTCTCCCCATAATCATCGAGGTCATAAACAGAATCAGGCTCTCCAGTTTTCCAATCATGTCGAATTAGCTTCTTCAAGATGACAGGATCTCCCTTTTCGACTGGGACATCCCATTCATGTAACCATTTGGTGCCGTTAGCCGCGCAAGATACCGATGCGCCAACCTCGCTAGCGTAATCTGCACGCTCGTATATTGTGACTAGATGCCCAGCACGACGTAGAGCAATAGCAGCACTCAATCCTCCGATACCTCCTCCTATCACTCCGACATCAAGAGGCCTGAAGCCGGATTGGGTGGGCATTTTGATTGGAGGATGATTGAAATTCTTTGGAGAAGAAGTTGCAGTTTTTATCTTTTGAAGCAGTCGTAGGAATGAGAAGTGCAGATTAATGCATTGTATGAAACAAGAAGTATCGAGTCAAGCTGGTATGATCGAGAGTTTTGAAGGCGCACATTAAGTCTTGTAAATAATCGACGGCATCACGCTTTCATGCGGCCCGTTCCCACCCGCGTTTTAAAGGGGGGGGAAAGATAAGGTATAGATATTGTCACATATCCTTGCACTCCAGTAATCACAATAGCTGGTGGCATCTTTCGGTTCCCGTTATCAAGAATCCAACGTCACTAGAAAGTGTTTGGCAACGAAAAAAGAACACAGCCGATAGGGTTAACAATGGGAAGCACGTGCGCGGAACGTTGCGGAACGTACCCCTGCTTTGAGATAGCACTAGGCATTGCGTCATGTGATTTTCATTATCTGGGTCAAGTGTGTTCAAAACACTCAATCAAAAGAGCATCAAAATCCGGGCAGAGGGCTAGGCAGACTCACAAGTAGCTGGTGCCTTATCCGATCAAGGATTATCTAATCATAGGTGGTCATTTTCTAGCCTCCTACAACTACCCCGCATTTCCCGAATGTGTCTTGCACGTACTCCCACTTCCGAATATTGAGAATATTCTTTCCGACTTCAAATCATCAGCAACAATTATTTCCGACACAAAACCGCCTACTCGCTCAATCATTCATACTCTCTCCATACCTCATCTCTCGCACCAACCTCGATTAAGGTGACAAGGATTCTGGGGATGGAGGAGCAGCTCAATGATCTCTGAACGAATTGAGCAGTAACTTCCGCCGGCGATGCCTCGTCCTAAAGTACATCCCGATAAACGTGCACGAGCGGCTAGAGCTTGCATCCGGTGCAAAAGCTCGAAGAAGCGTTGCGATGCAAACCTTCCCTGTACGACCTGTGTCACGCAAGGCCGAACCAACTCATGTCAGTATCCACCATCTTCAACACTGACGTCGCCAAGCCCGCCACGGCTGAGCCAGGAGACATCGGGACATACGCTAGATCCCGTCGCCAGAAACGTTGAATCACTGGCTTTAATGCAACATCAGTCCGAGCCGCAGCCCTCAGTTGAGAAAAACAACTTCGAATTTTCACAGCCCACTATTCATGCGGCTTCCATTCCATGTCCTGAGTCATTAGTAGATCCCCGTCTTTCGGGCGGGAACGCTAACAATCTCACCTATTCACGTTCCAGTACTCGGGAATCTTCACCTTGTCAACGCTCTACGATGTTACGGAGCTCTCAAGGCGAGCAAGGTAGGTGGTGATTCTTTTCTCCAGGACTTACTTTGATGCAAGGATCACCCGTTGGTGTACCGACTCATAGAATAGGACCAGACTTCATTGTATTTTAACTCTTGTAGTATCTGTTTGCTCCCTCCAAAATCTAACTATATCATTCAATGGATTTTGAAAGCTCAGAATCGTTTCATGAACCCATGCGCCCGATGATGAATGGACTGCACCGTGTCCCTTTAGATTTCAAAAGTGTGTAAAATTGACAAATTTGATAGTCTATATTGGCAATATTGCCGCTATTTCGTTCCTACACTTTCTCCAAACTACGCTTAAGCGATATATCGGAACTTCGGTTTTCACTGAACGCCAGGAGAGTAATGTGATGTTGGAGGTGGAGATATCAAGAAACAACAGCCCTTTTGAAGATGATTTAGATGTTGCAGAAAAGCAAGATTTAATTGCTTGCTTTATGAGAGTGGTATGACTAACTTTGTACGTTCTTTGGCTTAGCTAGGAGACAGCATTAACATATTGCTCAGTCGAATGGTATTCTTCACCTTTTCTCACGAGATGACACATCGAGATTGTTAAATATCAAAATCAGTGCTACCACTTCATCTTCAAGCTCCCGTTCCGAGCGGGAAGACCTCGCGTGCCTTTTTCTGATGATAGCAATAGGAGCTCAATCTCGAGGCAAAGATTTGTTCGAGATTCAACTTGCAAAAAAGTATTTCGCGCAAGCTCAGCAAATGGCATTTCTCGATATGCTAGAGAATCCTTCTCTATCCATGGTTAAGATGTTTTTATTGATGGCCATGTATATGCTTGGAGCTTGTCGTAGGAATACGGCTTTCATGTATATTGGTATTGCCTCAAAATCCGCAACCATTCTTGGGCTGCACGTTCCATATCGGCATTCTCGAGAATCCTCCAAAGAGCGTGCTGCTAGGTAGGTGTTTATAGCCATGATCACCCGGCGCTTAACCACGTGATTTCCTTGTACTAATTGTGGTGGCAGGCGCCGTATATGGATGAGCGTACGCGTTCTTGATCTTTTATGCAGCTCCATTCTTGCGCGTCCCAGTAGTATACCTTCTATAGAAAGAGACGAGTATGAAATAGATAGCTCAAACCGTGAAGATATGGACCATCGGACACTGGCTCTTTATGCAACCTATGAATCTTCTTCTATCATCGAAGCTATCGTACAAAAGTTCACTAAGTCTAGCAGCGTGAACACCGAATCGGCCGATACTTTTCTGCAAATGCTACGAGACTGGAGTCAAGCTCTACCTTCCGCACTTCGCCGCGTTCCGGACGTCACGTCTGGGGAGGAATTTTGTGAGACTACAATCGGCAATATCCATGTTTCTTGCACATATTATGTGGGCATCATGATGGTAACGCGACAATTTTTAATTTCACATGTCATGTCTCAACTACGGAAGAATAGCTCTAGCAAATCTAAGAGAGCTGTCGAAGTACAGGAGAAGACTCCTGGCGAAAGAGAGAAAATATTTCAATTTTCGGATGCTTGCGTACAATCTGCTCATCTATTGGTACAACTATCTTACGAAGCGCATCTTATCAATGTCCTTCTTGACAATATGTGTATCCTTCAAGCATGGCTTTTCTCCGCAGGACTCGTCCTTGGCTTCTCCCTCCTCGTAGGAGGCGAAGGCCCTGCTCATATTCGTGAATCTTTTGATCATGCTTGCACTGTGCTCAAGAGGCTTGCACGATTAAGTCCCCAAGCAGATCAATATTTCGATATACTTTCTCGATTCCATACCGCGATAGAATTGTATCGGCAACAAATGCTAAAGGCACAAAAGGAGAACAGTAACGTATACGTCGAGAAGCTTATGAGTATCGGGTCGTTCAACAAGGGATCCAGCTCCAATACTGAGTTCCAGTCGCAATCTCAGCCTGTGGTCACGGGCGGCCAGGAAATGTTAGGGGGAATTGAAGCACAGGGAGATTTGGCGGAAATGTATGCGACTGATTTCTTTGGGATTGAAAATGAAATCCAGATATGCGATGCTCAGATTGGGTATGATGCGGGAGTTGCGGCTGATCTAAGGTGGCTGTGCTATGCTGCTGGCCCTTCCTAACTTCAGATTCTCTGGTTTCCGACTATGATACGGCATCGGCTGCCCAAACCTTCTCCAAAATTACTTGTGAGAAAGAGCCTGATTCTGATAAACCTTGGCAAGGCCACTTCTGGGGTTCAAAGCTGTGGCGATGAAATAAACAGCCAGGAGTTGCGGGAGGTGTCAGGTGGTGAAGTGGGTGAAGGAAACCAGCATGGAAACCACATGAAATTTGAGCCTTTATATTGAGGCCGACCAGAAGCTATGCGTTTGGGAGTATAGGAGCGAAGAAGAGGGTATAGAGGCGCACTAGAGCACACTGGAGTGCTAATCAAGATTGTACTCTTGCCATTCATCTTCTATTAGCTATGGTAAAATGGCCATTCAAGTACACTTCGGTCTCTAGCTCCAAGAGGGTTTGTTCATATATCTGAATTTTCAAAACCAGGCTTTATCTTGACAAGTGTAAAGTAGGATACGTAGTTTATCTCAATGTGTTTAACAGTCCGGAGGTAGCACAATTTAAACTTATCAAACATTGAACATTTAAAAATCTTTCAGTCATTTTGTTAAAGAAAAGACATTAAATGGTTATAAATCAATCAATTGAACGCTTAAAATGGGTTTAATGATTTCAATGGGTTAAGAGCTAATTACTTTAAGACTGCGATCCGGACTATTAAATGCGCTGTTTATACCAGTGCCTTGTCTGCTGGCTGAAAACTAATGTTTTGTTTTCCTAATTGCGGTAGACATTGTTATTACTTGGGGCTGTCTCAGAAAACTCTCACTTCTGGGGCTTCAGTATACTTTTCAAAACTTCACATCCCTTCGACGCTCTATCCTGGAGGTTGATGTATTGTGGTAATTTGTGGTTTACGTTGGTACTCTAAGGTCATCAGTGGCGCACAATTGGAAGGGCGACGGTGCATTTAGGTGGTGCGGCAGCTACGATTACCGTTTTGAATGTACACTAGAGGTTTCGATACTATTTCTTGAATGTGATGATGCATGTCCGTTTTTCATGGTCATCCTACTAGCTAATCTATACTAACAGTACCTAGACATACTTATTACATTAGTTCAAAGTCTATAAGTCGAGGCCGGGAAGTTTAATCCTCCGGGTTTTCCTAGAGCCGGCCGTTGTAACTAGTTTCTCAGTCGTCTCCGGACAGTTTCCAGTCAGGACTCTCAAGTAATATTTGTTGCATATCTACAGTTCCGTTTTGCAGGCCTCATCCTGGTAAGTTTGTGAAAATAGTGCGTGTAGGTTATGTAGCCACTGTCGTAATGGAGGTCCCAGGTTTTCTTAGTTCGACAGCTAGAATTGGTGTTCTAAATCGTCAGTATTAATCCTCCATTCAGATTTCTCAAAAATCCGCGTGTTGCATATCTACTTTTCCCATTTACTGGCCTCTTCCCTACAATTCAAATCATTAGGCAACGAGCTATGAATATGTGGACGAAGAGGAATCACTGGTTTTCCTAGTTCGACGACTATGATTTAGCTCCGTATACGGTTAGTCTTTTCTGCATATCAGTGCATATTCCGATTTAGTAGAGAATTTGTAAAAGATATCCCAATTTATCATCTTCAGACTATGAGCTAGCATAATTATCAAATTATGAGGTATGGAGTTTTTTGGGTTGTGTCATTCTTAGATGTTTGCTTCTCATCCTATAGCAAGATCTTACCATGACAAAAACTAAAATATTCTGAAATTTAAGGTATTGAAGTATGAGTTTAGTACTTGAATACGTCTCCAGAAATACCATTTTTGGAAACATCTGCAAAGATAGATTTGATATGAAGAAGAAAGGGTAAGGCCCTCGATAAAGCCCATTATTCCACTAGCGTACACCGGTGAGAGCTTCGGCCTACAGAACCTCACTTTCCATTTCATGTTGCACATCTACATCTCATCTCACAGACCTCTTCCTTTCCATGAGGCGATCCAAGAGCTGTGTCCGTTTTCTTTAATCCCGGTGGTTAGGAATAAGTATTCTGATCCTGTCCAAGAATCTACCAATTAGAAGGCTTAGAAAGCTAATGTTGCATAGCTGTAACTCCATGATACAAGGCGAATCCTGACAAGCATATGTATTGGATGGTTGCATTTTGAGGCGGCGATGCGGTAATCGCTTAGATACTGTATTTTATCGTGAATCGTGCTAGTCATACGCTATCGAAGAATTCCTAGCCAAGTTTTGCACAATGTTGCTCTGCCGGTCAAATTAACTATGCAAATTATGAGAAAACATGTCTAGTTAAAATGATAATTGCAGAATCAAATAGTCGTGATATAGAGAAATTGAGTTGTTATTGTAGGATAACAAAAGATACACTACTCTACGTTGCGGCAATCAGTGAAATCGCAATTACAAAAACCCCATTTCCAAGGTCACCCACTAATACTGCATGCAACTTTTAATAAAGCTGCCGTGCATTTCCAAGCACTCACTTGGTTTTTCTCCTCGAACATTCCATTAACCAATCCAGTCCACACTAGGTGAACTCATATCACTGCCACGCCTGGTACACGTATCGCAGTTATGCAACAAGTGCTGACAGTCCCTCGAGCACTCCAATTTGTCTCTCCTCTTAATTCCCGTAACCGAATCATATATACCACTATGGTCCGGTTTCGGTGGCGAAGGATACCTCTCTTGAATTTTCAATAGACTTTCGCGCGCAGCAGACATTCCTGGCGACGAAATCTTTCTCGTTCTGGAAGTATGCGACTTTAAATCTGATTTCTGAAAGGAAGGATATTTGTCTTGGATCATGGATAAGCTTTGCCGAGCCGATGACCTTGGTGGCGAGAACATCTCCGATATGCTCGAATATGTCGTAGGTTGGATGTTATGGTGATTCGCTTCGTTCTTCAGGTTACAGTGAGGGCTTGCAGGGGGAGAGGGAGTTGAACGTGCAGCATGATCTTTGCTAGCGTGACGCGTGGCAAGCGTCGACCAAAAGCCTGCTGCTTCCGTCTCGCCCTGTAGAGTCAATCTAGGACGGGCTATGTCTTGTATAGATTGGAACCATGTTTTTCGTTCTTGACAGTAATCGGATTTTACCAGCGGATTATCAAACATGGCGACTTTCCTCGATTTAGACAAGTCTTGTGAGGTCGCTCGTCTTCGAACTCTTGTGAACGACCCAATTGAGGATCCAATCGCAGCAGCATTGCCAGAGCGAGCTGGCGCTTTAGGGTGTGCTTTGACGACACTTTTTTGGCGAGGGAGATGGGTTTCGGATTTCTGCCGTTTTAAAGTCCCGGATTCAGAGATTGGCAACCAGGGGGATATTCTCTCTGGAGGACTGATGGCCGTTTCATTTAACCAGGAACTTCGCGTTGTTGGGGTTGTTGCCATGCCGCTCATCATAGGCGGACTTGGACCTGGTGCAGTCCGAGCATCAACTCCAATACTATAGAGGGAATGAGAGTGGCAGCTTCCATGCACCTGAGGAAGCATACCACCCAAAATCTTGGAATCACGGATAGGAATAGACATATCCGGAAGTGGAGAGCGCCACTCATTGGTTGATTTCCTCGGTAGTGGAGGAAATGAGATTACATGATCTTTGTGTGGTTCTTGCTCCGTGGTTGCGATGAGATTACCATCGTCCTCATTTGCTTGTGATTCACATTGCCATGACCATTTACTTATTGACATTCGTGCATTTTTGGGATCAAAAGCACCTTTTTCTTCCCTAGGTCGGTGGTCTTGCTTAGAAGACTTGAGAAATTGAAAGCATGGCCTTGCGTCGTCATTTCTAGCACTGGTAGTAGCACTTAGTAATGGAGTGTTGGCTTTGCTAGAGCACTCTGAGGAATCAACCTCGGAATGGACATGATCTCTCTCTGTCAAATGAGATTCCGTTGAGCCACGCTCCTCCCAGATTACTTCGTGCACACTTCGTTCAGATCCCTCTTCTGAAAGTCTATCAAGCCGCCCAAACTCCGTTTGAGAGATCTCCAAGAACTGTCCTGGATTGGCAGGATCCAAAATATTTGTTTGAGAACGAGATATAACAGGGGATAAATTTGCTGAAGTAGTATTTCCGTTTTGAGATGCCTCTCGCGAATTCTCTGACTGAGCTGCGTATATTTGGATTTCACAGGGAGTGTGACGAACTACAGGCACCATGCCTCTGTGCGTAAAAGACAATGATGGTAGTCTGGTACCCCGCGGGGACTGTTCTTCAACGCTCGATCCGTGTGGTGCTGAGACTGGGGTATGAGCTTCCCGGGTGTTAAGCATATTTGTCTGGAGCAATTCCATTACAACTTCAACATCCTCACGAGTGATGATGTATGCTTCCGAATCATGTGGCTGGTTCTCCGTGAATGTCGCCTGGCGACTTGAAATGGAAGGTATTACAGAGCCGGTTCCTGGAGTTGTTAGAAATCCCGAGGTCGCCATTGTGCTACTCATATCGGATCTATTTGATGCACTTGGTCTTCTCAACGTTATGGCGGACGGCATCAGTTTCTGACTATTTGGCAATTTGCGAGTAGTCAATCTCTCTCGAAGAGAGCGCACTACGTCATTGTACTCAGCACCGGCAGTGAACGATGAACTTCTGTTTCGTTCATTGAGGGGGGTGGTGTTGAAAATCTCATTTTGAAAAATTGGCCCTTTTGCCTGCATATGTTTTGCAGAGTCCTGTTTCAATAACGGAGGAAGTTTCACTTGGCGCGTTCCAACCTCAACCGAACTCCATCTTCTTGAAACGATTGGAGTGGCTGGCTCAGACATAAGTCTTCTTCTATCCCGTCTCATCGGCAGGTACTTACTCTTACGAGGGCTTGGGACTTTTGTGTCTTTCAGGGCTGTTGGGACGACCTGACTTGGAGGCCATGGATTTGGGCTGTGACTGCGCTCTTCTATAGCCATTTTCTCAGCCGTCTTTTTTCTCCCTCGACTGCAAGTACCTCCGCATCGTCGGTGCTTCGCGCCTTCAGTCTTTCTCCTCTTCTTATGCTTGACCATGGTGAGACTGTCGGAGCTTGGCCTGCGTGCCTTGTATGGAGTCTTTGGCCCACCTAAGATTGAGGGCAAACTATCCGTGGTACACGTATATCCATTCGAAGTGATATATGAGTCTTTCGGTGATGGGCGCGTCGTGGAGTATTCTTCCCTGGGCAGTACAGGTGACACCCCGCCTGATGCTACATTGAGCATGTCATGACCGCTGCGTGATCGGCTTGATCCGCGGGAACGGTGTTCCTGAAAATAATCGCTGTGTGACTCACTTCGAGGCAAGGGTGCTGTACTCAATGGTGACATTGTTAAATAGATAGATGAAGAACCTTGAGGTGGTGTGCGAAGTCCAGGACTGTCCAATACACACAATTGTCGTGAATTTCGATTGAAGGAACGATCTCCACATGATGCCTTCAGTGCTATGGCCGGAGGGATGCTTGGTATAGGGGATGGAAATGAAGATGGTGCATTTGGCCGTAGGGGGCGTTTTGGAGAAGCTTGCGTATCAGGAAGGGGTTGATTGCCAGTTTTCGTGTTTGAAGTAATGATAGATGTTGTATGAGGGATAGGTTTAGAATCCTCAGAAGCTGTAGGGTGTACTGAAGACATTTTGAGAAAAGGGACGGCAATAGGCTAGTCCGAAGGCGTAGAAGTAAGAATAGTACAAGCAAGAAAGACGTTGGATCTAGGAATCAATTTCCATACTTATATTGAAAAAACAGCGAAACAGTAAAAGCTGAGGTACCGATAGTAGAAGGTTAACATAACTACAATCGAAGAAAGAACTACTAAGCACCCACATTTTTATTATGAGGAGACGGCTGTCTAAAGGCCCATCACCATTGTCCTTTCCCTACTGATGGAATTGAACCTTGAGTATGATTCAAGTGATATGTAGCTTTACCCTGACTTATCATCGTAAGTCTCTCGAACTTTCGCGAAACCATAAATATCACTTAGTGATCGAAATTAGAAGATGTAGAAATATAGTGGGAGAGCAGTGTGACAAACTCGACAAGATCGAACAAAGCATCAAAATACGGCGCGATCAAACCTTCCTGGATCATTGAAAACGAAAGCCAAAGACTCGGGGCTACAGGATGGTATTGCATGGATTATATAGCCGTTTACAGAGCAGATCTGTATATTCATCACTTCCATGATTCCAACTCCACAGTATTTCATCATTTCCTCTTTAAGCATATGCATCCCGAGCCAAAAGACCTTACATCCGACGACGGGTATTGTGTTCTGGGATATTCATCACCATTAGGGCACCCATTAATATTTTACACGCTTCGAGTCAACTAGCTTCGATTCGACATGTTCTTTCTATTGGTGAACCATTAATTTCCAGTTGCTCGATGGGCGTTTCGTGAGCCAAAATTTTGCTGATGATGCTGGATGGGTTTTGTGTGGGATCAGGTAGCTAGATCAGTAGCACCATCACCGAGCTTTCTAAAGATTTCCCCTCTTTTCTCCCAAGAAATAAAGCATTTAATGCCTACTTAGTCGCAACTCTCATAAAGTCATAATAAGTTTTGAGTATAAACTCTTAACTAAAATACAGGAGGGAAATGTTGACTTGAACAATTAAAGATCTAAGCGAAAGTTTGTGAACTGTGAGCACGTGATTATGTGACCTCGCCAAGATCGATCCTGTTTTGCATTTTGCTGTTGCAAATAGTAGAAATGTTTCGCTGCACCGCAATGAGCCAACAACAAATGAATGCCAACCCAATTTATTCCTCGCAAATCAGGTCGCCACCGTATAGCCTGTAAGCGTTTTTCTTCAATCCGTAAATTCGAGGCTAAATGATGATGCAAAGGCATTGCGCTATACAGGGCCCTGCTTGAACAATGTCTACGAGTTCCTATTCCTGCTGAGCTACAACCTAAAGGGCCCATTCATCCACTTAAACATCTTGTCCGCAAACAATTTCGACGAAATGTGTGGGAGCATAGCCCAAAGATTGTCGTCGCAGCCCTGAAAACAGGATATGAGGTCTGTTCTCATCACCATTATTATTATCACTATCATCTCTTTTCTTTCTTTGGCAGTGCATTGATGAGATCCTTCTTCAGGCAGAGAAGCTTATTCGTACCGCTGGCGATGGCGACTCGGAATCGAGAAACCAGATATACGAATTGCTACGCTACCGTAAAACTGTAGCTACTACCTCCGCGCTCGTTCCTCAACCTCCCAAACCCAAGATTCGCTATCCAGAAGCCATTCCTGGTGTTCCGAAACTTCTCGAGGCGCGTCCTTTGCCATTTGAAAAGCTCTCTGGGCTTCGTCATGTCCCTAAATTTGCGAAAGCAATGGTATCAAATTTCCTACGAATACAGAAACCGCAAAGTCCATATCTGAGTCGGGTGTTAAGGGACAAAATCGAGACGAGACAAAAGCGCACGGATTCTCGGGATAAAATAGAGTATTTGGAGGAGATAGCAATTGCAGAGAATACCTGGGAAGATATAATTGAGGATCAGTTGGAAAACGAGGGCTTGAGTGTTGACGAGTGGAACAAGAAACAGCCAGGGCTGGGCTGGGGTGTGGGGTTTTGGGAGAAAGACCTGCAATTAGCCGATGCTTCTGTGAAGCATCTAATGGTGCAGGAATCACTCAGGGTAGTCGACTTGTCCAAATTACAACTGGAATTAGTGGACAAGGAGAGAGAATTATGGAAGCAGGAGAGGGGCCTGAGAAGGCATAATAAGAAATTGGCCAAATTGGAGAAGAAATTTCAGGACCGAGTATGAGCCAGTTTCGCTTTTAGAAATATGATAGCTATTAAAATAAACACATCAAATTGCTCTAGTTGCATTCTTTTGTGTGTCAATCTATCACGAGTATTGGCTCATAGAGATGGCCCACAAAACTTGATAAGTCATTGTATTTCTTGCAAGAATCATCATCGCTCGCTTCATTCGTTCGTTTCTCATTCAGAAACATCATAGCCGGGATAGGAAACCAGTTTCGCCGCGCTGATGCCCCCGTGTTAACATAAAGAAAAGTCATATGCATCACCAATCTCTCCTCGACCCAGTGAGCCTTGTGATCTCGAAGTATGTTCGTGTCATGAACCATCCGTAGCTTCAAGTGGTATCTAATCGTACGTGGAACCCTCTTGAGGCTGAGGAAGCTTTTTGTTGGCTGGAGATGCCATATATCTGAATAAGGTAAGCTTCTGTCTCCGCGACGCGAGTGTAGACTGCGTAATTTACCTTCTCAACTCAATCAAGACAGTTTCCATTGTATTGTGGCGTTGCCAATTCGCAAGGCATGCAATCTTTGAAGGGTCAACCTAGAGCATCAGTCAGCTCCGTATAGTCCCTATAACCATCCATATAATGTAACGACCTTGCCATCGTCCTGCACACCCGGAAGGTTAATTTTATTGGTAAATCTTATAGTGGGTGGGACATCAGGGTAGTCCTCTCCGCAGTGCATGGTGAGAGAATAGATGCGATTCTCGTGGACGCTCTATCAGTATCCTTTATTAGTTTAAAAACAAAATATACAATAGGCGCGAGAAGAAGCATACGTGTGGGGGACCGAGGATTGTGCCATTCCAGTTAGACATGTATAAGTCGTCGCCGTCGGTAAGACCATAAGAGCAGGCGTCTTTGAGTAACGAAGGTCATTAGAGCTTGTCAAACTTTACTGCTTGCTGATATCCGACTCACCAGCTCCAAGGCCCTTTTCGCCCTTCTCTAGCTCTTCTAGCAATCTAAAGTTTCTTGGCACTTTTGCACCCTGAGCAGCCATCTTGTATTGTTGGGTATCTTGTGCTGGAAAGAAAAAGAAGTGTAGATTTTGTGGATTCCAAATATTCTAAATTTGCGCAACACGGTAAAGTTGGTAAGAAGTATGAATGGGTGAACAAAGTTTTGTTAAGGGGAGGAGGGCTGATTGATCGCGGGGTCATCTCCATCCAGGATTCCGGGCGGTCAAGAGCGGCTAAATCTCGGCAATCTTTGTCTATTAATTGTCCATACTCACAAAGGACAACTGAAGCTCATGATAAACATCATGCCTCTTGTGGAATAATGAAAATGGGCTTGGCCATGCTCATATTGAAACCTAATTAATATGACGGCGCAGATACTCGCCTCAGAGCTTGGAAATCTTATACAGGAGAGCAAAAGAAAGCATACAGATCTCCGAAATGTAAGTTCAGTTCCACGCGGCCGCCTCCTTCAAGTTGGTCCCTTTGCTGATTCGCGATATCAGGCCGCGGAAAAGAGTTTGGATGAGATTAGAGGTCTGCGATCAACATCTGAAGCCCAAATAGCTGCAGGTCAGTTTTTAGAAATACGATGTTGTCATCACATAGTACGCTAGAATTATTCACTGATGCACGATTAGACCTCACTCAACGAGCCAACTTCGTTACACCTTTCCTCATTGCCTGCGGAACCAAGAATGTCAAGTTTACTGGAATTGCGGTCGTTTGCCTTCAAAGATTGGTTGTGTCACGTGCACTTCCCAGATCGAGGCTAAGAGAAGTTTTGGAGGCATTGCGAGAAGCTACATCAGCGGGTCTGGATGTGCAGCTGAAGATCCTCCAGGCGTTACCGTCGCTTTTACAGAATTATGCAGATGAATTGAAGGGGGAACTCTTAGCTGCAGCACTCAACATATGTTCCATTCTTCAGGCAAGCAAGAACGGCATTGTGCTTAATACGGCTGCTGCTACCCTTCAACAGTTAGTTGTTTCTGTATTCGACAAGGTTGTGGCAGAGGATAGTTAGTTTCCAAACCGGTTACCAAATAGAAACTCGCAGCTAATGATGGGTTAGAAATTGCTTTAGAAGTGCCCACCATTGGCGAAGCACCAACTGGCGACGGAGTCATCCAGCTGCGTGCTGCTGCCCTGGATGCTTATAGGGTTTTCAACGACATATGCTTGTTGACGGAAGCCCAAAAGCCTCAATTTTTGAATTCCACTGGTCTTCCGCAAACGTTTGGGCTCGAGCTGATTGAATCTGTCTTGACCAATCATGCCGATATATTCCTGTCACATCCCGAGCAAGCAAATATACTAAGAGTCCGAGTTATGCCATTCATCATTAACGCACTCTCAGAGAAGTTGAACTTTGCAGTGACTGTTAGAACTACAAGAATTCTCTATACACTTCTCAGAAGACACTTGAGTATTCTTTCTTCTGAAGGCGAAATGGCACTCGGTCTACTCACCCACATGCTTGACCATGATACTGCTTTGTGGAAGAGATCACTCTGTATGGAAATATTGAGAGGCATCTTTGCCGAAGCAGCTTTGATTAGAAGAATATTTTCCATGTACGATGCTCGAGAAGAGAAGAAAAATATCCTACGAGATCTCGTTGCAGCTTTTGTCAGAGTCAGCACGGAAAAGCCTGCCGTTATTGGTCTTGGTCATCAATCTACTATCCCGATTGCTAGCCAGGGTAGCACTTCAGATCAAGCAATGCTTGAAGCTAGCGGAGTTCCTGGTATCATCAGTAGCACGGTAAGTACGACTGAGCCAAGCGCTGGTGTCAGTACGCAATGGAGTACAATGAGAGTACCATGCATCGATCAACTAGACAAGACGGATGCACCATCGATACCCGAATCTTACATCTACAGCCTCACTCTTGCATGTATTAGTGGATTTTCCGAAGGACTTGCGAAGTTCATACTGCCCCTAACGGTACCTGAGCGGCCTCGAAAAAAAGGCCCTAGGCATTCTGAAATCGAGTCAAAAGCTTCAGATTCTCGTCCTAGTACCCCTGATATAAGACCAATCGAGAGGGGTTCGTCTTACAAAAGGAATCCCATTCCCATCAATCCATTAACTCTCGAACATCATCATCTATTTCAAGAGGTCAAGATTTGTGCCGGCATCGTGGACGAATGCTGGCCTGCAATCTTGGCAACTTGTTCAACCTTTCTCTATGCAGCGTTAGATCAAGAATATTACCATGGCTTGGTTAGATCATTCCAAAAATTCACTCATGTAGCCGGACTTCTACGACTTGCGACACCTCGAGATGCCTTCCTCACAACCCTAGGAAAAGCCGCAGTACCACCTAATGTCTTGACGGCCACGACGACTCAAATTCAGAGCCCAACGACGCCGACGGTGGACTCGCCTTCTAGCTCGAGCATTTTCAACAACGCAAGAGGTCTCTTAAGTGTTGATAGTTTGGTGAGCAATTCGGAACGAAACAAGCATGCGCCCATAGATACATCCAGTCCGACCCTCAACACACGCAATTTACTTTGTCTTCGCGCACTATTGAATTTAGGGATTGCATTAGGACCCACACTCGACTCGGCATGGGTGATTGTTCTTGGTACGTTGCAGCAAGCTGATCTAGTAATATTTTCTAGTGCCAAGTCCGTCAGAACTCCCACCACACAGAGACCAGAGAGTCAGGATGTTAATAACACCTCTGCATTATGGGCGAACTTTGGCACCGAGATCAAAGCGGTTGAAACAGCAGCTACCAGGTTACTAGAAAGTACTGTCGATTTCCCTAATGAGCCATTTGTGGCTGTTGTCTCAGCTCTCTGTGATTTGTTCAGCAAAGAAGAAATTCTCAAGATACCAGAAAAGCCAGTACCTTCTAGCCCATCATCTCCTGAAACAAGAAGGCCATCTTACGCTCATAAAAAAGTCCATAGTATTGTGACAGCACCAACTACTCAGAATCAAGAGGACCTATTTGCGCTGGCGAAGTTGGGCGATATTGCGAGTATCAATATTGATAGATTAACGACACATGAGCCCCACGCTAGCGGGTGGCAGATGCTGACATCAGAGTTGATTTCTGCCTCTTCTTCCCTTACTGCAACACCTTCTGTTCGACTGAGAGCTGCGGATATTCTCGTTAGGATTGTGATTGAAGCCGCGACTTCTACCTTAGCAGACTCCGAAGTTCGACGCAATGTCATACAGACCATGCTACTTCAAGCACTGAGTCGTGCCTTAGGTCCACTTCAAACGGAAGAGAGACAAGTTACCGTGGCTATACATTCAACGGACGTCGAAGTCCATAAGGCTATTCTTGAAGGCCTGAAAAGCATTCTCGAGCAATGTGGAGACAAGTTGATCAGTGGTTGGGACATCGCATTCGAGATCATCGGCAGTGTCTTTATGAAGTTTGACTCCGACGCAAAGATAACCGCTACTCGATCTGCTAAATTAGTCCGCTCTGCTTTTAATTCTCTCCAGCTCGTTTGTTCGGACTTCCTTTCATCGTTACCCAATTCTTGCTTTTTGATACTCGTCGACACTCTTTACCATTTTTGTACACAAGATGATGATCTTAACATTTCACTGACGGTATAAATCACCCCTGGCATTGTCCTTTCACTATTTCTAATAATTTTTAGACTGTCACCTTCTTTTGGGTACTGTCAGATTTCATTTCTAGCAGAACCAGCTCCTTTTCGCTTAGTCCTGATCTTATCGAAGATTCAACCGAGGAAGCTCTGATAGGAAAGGCATCTGGTGATGATCGTGCCGTTTCAGATGCAGCTTTATGGATGCTTCTCTTACTACGCCTCACGTCGGTTACGGCAGATGAAAGACTAGAGCTCAGAAATAGTGGGTCCAAACATTATTGGCCAAGTACTTTATCTAACATTGATGTAGGCGCAATTCAGACATTACTAAGAATCTTCGACGCATATGGGGATCAACTCAGCGCAGTAGCATGGTCTATGTGCCTGAAATCAGTGATCTTCAGATTGTTGTCTTTGATAGAGGCACATCTGCAATTTATCACTGACCCTGAGCTTACTGTATCTGATAAAGACAAAACAGGATGGATTGAGACTACTGTCGTGGTTTTGAGTGGCATTACCAATTTGTTGGCCGACTATCTAGATGTTCTGACTAGCCATCCCACGTTCGAAAGCTCTTGGAAAACCTTGTTAGAACATTTCAAAACAATGCTAGCTTTCGAAATTCTCGACATCAATACTGCTGTCTTCAAGGCTTTACAACAAATTCTTTCTCGAGGCAATGTCAAAGAGGCCACGAAAACCAATTTCACGCGCATTACGATTGATTTGGCATGGGGCCTTTGGTCTGATTCTTTACCTTCAGTAAGAATCGATGCGTTTGATAATCGCGTCGACAATCAAGGTTATCTAGTTGCTTACGTGTCTGCTCTCCCTGAGATTTACCGTCTTGTGGAAGATGATCTTGATGCCGATCGAGTCAAACGAATGCTTACCCTACTTCGTGAAGCTATGCAACAGGCGAATGCTTCTACCTATTCCGCAGATATTGAGTACCTCACTCCATTACAATCTCAGGTATTAGAGTCGCTTAAGATGATTCGCACTGATATTGAGGGAGTTCCTGCTACCTTGATTAGCCAGGTTGCTGAATTCGTTGCATTGGCTTTCGTGCCGAAGGATAATACTTCTAACGTCCAGAGGCCCACATACATAGCTTTGTCGAAAGCCTCTATGGTTTTATCGGAGAAGCTCATTATATCGCATTCCTCGGAGCCAGACATCTACACCAGCGGTGCAGTATCTTCTTCCTTAGCCGCGCTTGCCAATCCAATTGTTTTAAAGTACTCATTTCCTATAATATCGAAGAGTATATCACCATGGCGCCAAGCAACAATATCAGCACTCGCTATTCTGGGCGCCATTTTGCCGATAATGCCAACTATCACTTTGAATGAAGAAGCCGTTCGATCTATATGGACGTCGATAGTAAGCATAGCTATTGGAATCACCTCTGCAGACTGTGATTTTGCAAACAAAACAGTCAATATCAAAGATGATCAGGAGTTCGACATTGCATCATTCCTAACTTTACGCGAGCTCATCACCCCCGCTCTTGGCGCCCAAGTCATACCGGACCGAACGCGTCGCACGTACACCGAGTCACTTTTCCACATGTCCATCATCCACCCCGTACAATCCAGCGAGCTTCCCCAGCCCAGCCAGGAACTACTAGCCACATTGTACCAAATTCGCAAAGGTTGCACTGTTGATCCAATCCCCTCCCCTCGTGCAAAAATGAGTTACGTTTGCTTCGATGAACTCATCTCCCTCGTCACTCTCAACGATGGCTCTGTACCACGCATCAAGCTCGCTCAAGCAGCTGCGCCATACTTGATTCTCAGATGTGGCCTCGTTCTTCGCGCATACATTGCTGATCAACCACTTCGTGGCCGCATGCCGCAGCCATTATCTCAACGCAAAGAACTTCTATATATTCTCAAGAAGCTTGTAGGGTTAAAATGTGAAAGCGAGGCAATTCCCGACACACCTGGTGTCGAGAGTGAGGGAAAAAAACATTTACACAGATTGTATCCGTTGTTTGTGAAGACCATGGGCGCCGCGGCGAGAGATCAGGAGGTCTTGGAGTGGATTGGGAAGGCTTTGGAGGAAGTGGGGATGGAGTTTGGCCTTTGAGGCGGAGATTGTGACGGCTGAAATAGATGAGCTAAAAGGGGGAATGCACATCAGAACAGGTTTAGAGAGATGGCGTTAGTGGTTGATTTTTGTTACCTTTTTGATTGGGACAGACTAATGTAGAACCATCTTTAGCTTGAATTAGACCCTTTTTTAGTTGCCCGTCTCTTTCCTGGTCAAAAGTCGTGGGGTTTCAAAATAATTTTATTGGAGATTTTAAAGTATTTGGGTTTGCTTGAGTTGGAAAAACTACCTCTTCAACGTTAAGGTAGGTAAAAGGTATTTTGTGTCAGCATCTGACTCCGCCCTAAAAAAACAATATACAGTTGTTCGCTCATGAACACATATCACCGGTAATCATACATCCACTTCCCTTCCTCCATTCCCACTTCCGATTTCGATTCGCCTTTCAGCGCATCGCTGCTTCATATCATATCACATCATATAGTAAGTTTACTTTTTGGTAGCGTTTTCGAAAGACGCCAGCATGCTTCTCTTCATCTCCTCATTGGGCGACTCGTTTTCTGTACTCGTCTGCTCAGTGCTCTTCTGTCCTTTCAAGATCTTAGCGGCCATGGTTTTTGCTTGGGCATCACCAACTTTTCCATATACAGCCATGGCGCTAGCAATCATACTTCCAATATCTCCCACATTTCCAGGAACCACAACTGCTGTACCTTCTTTAGCAAGCTTGCCAAACGCCTCAACGTACTTTTCAGCTACACTGAGACTAACAGCTCCTTGCGCTGATTCCTCTCCTGAAGCGATTGCGTGTGCTACTGCCTCAATACCTGCAGCGGTTGCCTTTGCCTTTAATAGAATAGCTTCGGCCTCACCACTCGCCATGTTGATTTGTTCACTTCTCAAGGCCTCAGATGCCAAGATTACACTTTGCTTTCGTCCCTCGGCGATATTGATGGCACTCTGTCTCTGACCTTCGGAATCGAGAATTTCCGCTCGCTTGCTGCGCTCAGCAGTGACCTGTCGATGCATGGCCTCCATGACTCCTTCGGGCGTGTGGATATCTCTAATTTCGTAACGCAGGCAAATAACACCCCATTCTTGCGCGGCTTCATTAATGGCTGCTGTAATGTTGGTGTTTAGTGCGGCGCGCTCTTTGAGTACTTGATCGAGAGTAAGCTGTCCGATTTCCGAACGCATGGTTGTTTGTGCCAGTTGAGAAATAGCATATTCGGCGTCCTCGACTCCATAGCTTGAAGGGCATTAGCATATTCACTAGCAAGGGAACAAGGAGAATTACCTAGCCTTATATGCATCAAAGACTCGAGTATAAAGTACACCATCAAGCTCCAAAGTAACGTTGTCAGTTGTGATTGCACTTTGGCTAGGAATCTCGATAGCAGACTCCTTCAAGCTCTTGACATACGCTATCTTATCTATTATAGGCAATAAAATAGCGAGACCGGGTTCCAGTATTCGGTTGAACTTTCCCATGCGCTCCACAATCCATGCTGTTTGTTGGGGAACGAATCGAATAATGGTATTTGCGGGTAATGAAGGTCGTTGGAAATATGAAGTCGGCACACTCGAGTTATTAATCCCCATCAACCCACTATTCGGCGCTCTTAGTCTGGAAGGGACATGGAGCTGTCTTTGCTGTTGTGTGTATGTCTGTGAGAGAATGGTTTGTGCTCTAGGCAATAGAACCCGAGAGGTGATTTTTGGTAGGGATGCCGAAATACTATGAGATAGTACTGGCGCACCCCTGGCTATGCGGTAGGTTGCCTCTAAGGACATCGTTTCGATTTGGATATCTGGATGGGGACAATAGCTGTCGTATTAGCCTCTCGCCTTTCAACATCATAAAGTAGCTTGTGGTGGAGTTTGGTCCGGAGAAATTGGAGGGCTAGCGGCCGCGTCGGTCCGTGATGATTCGAAGCTTCCTCCTCTAAACTATCAACGGATGCTTCAGTACGTTTGACGTAATATAAGCTCATGAAATCCACAATAGATAGATTTTTGGCCTGCAATTCTAACACCCGTGTCTTCAGCTTCAGTAATCAGGTCAGGTTTCCTTGATAAGATGTCCGAATACTGGAAATCAACAGTAAGTTTCGAATCTAGTCCCGGTCTGCACCACTCTAACCATCATTTAGCCCAGTTATTGGTGCAAGCACTGTAAGCAATATGTCAAAGATACCAAGCTTGAGAAATCAAACCATGAAGCGAGTCCGCGGCATCAAGGCAATCTCAAACGTTTCCTGCGCGACCTACATCGTGGCCATGAGAAGGATCAAAGGGAGAAGGATCGAGCGAAAGACGAAGTCGCCCGATTAAATGGAATAGTAAGTGGGAGTGGTGAAGCAGGAAGTTCTTCACAAGCCTGCATGCCTAGTGCATCAACGCCGAAACCGCCAGCAACAGCCGCGCAGCGAAAGCAACAGTTGGCACAATTGGCAGAACTAGGCGTTAGTGTTCCAGATGAATTTAGATCTGATTTAGCTATGCCAGGAGAATGGCAGGTTACTTCTGAGCGTATCATTGACGACGGAAATGGAGAAAAAAAACCAGATGCACTTGCGCTGGGCGTTCGGAAGAGGGAAGCCGAGGATGAAGATGAAGAGGCGAAAGAAGCGAAAAGGAAAAGATGGGGCACAGCGATTCGCACATACCCCACCGAAAATAACGACAATGATCTGGACGCTCTATTGAGCAATACCGGTAAAGGCAAGGGTCCGGGTTTGAAAGCCGAAACGGACAATGGTATCAAGATAGAGATCAAAAAGGAGAACGATGAGGATGTAGAGCCTCCATCGAATAGTAAAGGAGCAGAACCAGCTGTGAAGCCTGAGACGGAAGAAGACTCAAAAATCGACCTAAACCAGGTACCGGAAGCCACAGAGCAGAATAATGAGCCCGCAGCGTCAGGGGTCGTCTTCAAGAAAAGAAAAACCAAGAATATTCGCCAAAAATGAAAAGCCACCATCTGAACATCTGAAAGAATTCATCCAAACTAAAGTCAAACACTGAATCCCAGCAATCGAAAACCCACTCTTCAGAAATGCAGCATGCTGAACCTACAAGGTTCCTGCGAGATTGTAATTATAGTGGGCAGAGTGGGGAGACGCCTATGTTGCGGGGCCCGGGTGCCTCAAACCTACATCAGTATCGTGGGGTCTCCAAATCGATCTCGCGCTAGGAACTAGCACTTCCACGCTGAACTCCAATGTTATAATCACCCCCGTCTGGGTCTCCGAGAGAGACTTGCAGCACTCACGTTTGCGCTAGCGGGTCGACTGTGCTGGGAAGTTACATAACCAGCTAGCTACTTTTAGGGATTTCGAGCGAAGGTGGAGGGAGGAAGCTTCCTTTCCAGATTGAGCAGAGCGAATGGGATATGGAAAATATAACAGTGAAATAGAAGCAGCAGTAGTTGGGAGTATAAAACCATCAAGATCCAAACTTGTTAAATCTATCCCGGCCAAAGAGAATAGCAGGGGATGCGCATTTCTTATTAATCTATACGTCACATCTTGCACCCAAGCACTGTACAACAATCACTGTCGAAATGACAAGTAAATTCAAGTATTTAACTTTATGATGAGATTCTATCGCTATCCATAACGTAGAAACCCCTATTCCCTCCCCACGCCCCATGCCCCAGCCCAAAAGAGCCTCCCTACACCACGAGTCCCATACCCATACGTACAAGCCGCTAAATTTCGGACCGCCCGCACACTGAAAAAGCATACTATATTGGTCCCTCAAGAGAAGATTCCGCCGCCAATTACGCCTATAAACAGTTGTAATATATCGCCCGTCGCATTCATCTCCATCACATTCATCCCCAATCTCGCCAGTTGAAAGAAAAGCCACCACGTACATGCATGTAAGTGAAGTGTACTGGTTGGCATGCAGAAAAGAAACCCATCGCTGCGTCAATCCGGCTTCGCTAATTATCCCATGCATCGCATTCGCATCGTCTCTCCATTGACTTATCAACCCCCTACCAGTTTGTCCTTTTCTCTTTCTACTGAGTTATCTCGGCATTCGTTCTGCTCGTAAAACTTGATCCTAGCTGTTTTCCATTCTCCTCCGTTGGGTTCATGACAGCCGGGGTCTCTGGTGTAATCGTTAGCTGCGGTGTAATGATACTGGTGTCGATCTCTGTATCTAGCATCTGGAGCCCAGTTGTACTCGAGTGGTTGCGGTCTATATTGTCGACACGAGCAGGAGAATCTGCAGGTCGTATAGTTTCCATGCTTACATCCATATCTTGAGACGCATTTTCATCTCGGCTTCCGTGTCTAGAATCCGAGGCTTCGTGTGCGTTTTCGACATGATCTGCACTATGCGTTTTCTCATTATCATCCTCCTTTTCAATCAGGGCTGTGAGGCTTTGGAAGTTAAACATAGACTCCGTTCCCGAATCACCATCTTCGTTCCCCTCAGAGCTTGCCCCATTAGTGCCAGGATTCTCGATGCTTGTAGAGGAGCCTTGAGCATTAGTACCATTTCCAGACTCTACTAATGAAGATGCGGCACTAGAAACGGTGCTCATCTCTCTGATATGAGAAAGCTTGTCAGGGCTTGCAGGAGAAGTAACTGACTGATGGGTTTCCAACAAACTAGAGCTTGTAGAAGGATCCGAATGCTGACCGCTAGGAAGCCCATTATCCGTGGAACTCCCCTGATTTGCCAAAGAAGGGCGATCTACACCTTTTCCCTTTCCCTGTACAGGCACTTCAACTTCTTCAGGTGTCACCTCTATAGCCAAGTGGCTTGCGGTGCTATCACCTCTTCTTCTCCCAGTAAAAGTGGCAGCTATGCTGCTGCCTAGATTCAGCATACTCGAGCTCGCCGAATTCCCGTTAGCACCATATATTGACTTCCTCTCTTTTTTTTCTTTCTTTTTATCTTCCTTGGCCTGCTTCTTCGCCTGCTTTACCGCCTCCTTGGCGGCTTCTTTGTTGGCTTTTTTCTTCCGCTCCTCTTCGGCCGCAATGCTAAGTCTAATAGCCTCAGCCATCATCAATTCTTCTAGGTCGTCCCTTCTCATCCTTCGCGTAGCATTGGGATCTTGATCTTCCCTGCGCGCATGACCAGATGACTCTATAACAGCTCTGGAGCTAGCATCACGATTCGGAGGTGTGGCAGTTCCGCTCGCTTCAGCGCTGTTGTCGCTCCGATTATTTCTACCAAAGCGGCTTCGGCCAAAGGTATAAGTGCGGTTCTCCGAGGTACCCGGAAGCACAAAGGCGGCTGCATGTAATGCCGAAGCGGCAGCGTTCTTTTTGGCCTTGCGCAGGTTGGCAGCTTCAAGCTTTGCTGACCAATCCGGTCTGATACGGTCTGTCGTAATGACATGAGAATCATTAGCTGACAATGACGTAGCCCGGCGTCTGTCTCCTCTTGGTGCGGCGAGTCCCGAACTCGTTAGAGGCGGTGAGTTGATCGACGACGACGATGACATGGCTGAGGAGAAGTTGGCTACTTCTGGAGAGGGTTTAGCATAGACAAGTCCACGACGAAAAGGCGGAGGCTCGTAGGTGACGCCAAACTCAGGTCGTTGACAGTAAGGACAAGCCGCTGGTTCTGAAACTAGCATTTCTGTATCCTCGGCATTCTCGGATGCGATTGGTGGTGGACCGTGGTGTTCTGGCGTATGTGGTTCCGGTCTTTTAATCTGCACAAAACATTCAGAGCAAATACTTTGATCACAACATCGAGTCCTGTTGAGATACGGGGGATACCAAATCAAGCATATCGAACATTCTACGGCATCCTTATACAGGAAAGCCTCAATAGCCTGACCATTTACTTGGGTATCTCTAGGTAATTGAATTTCGCGCGGCGCGGGATCCGGTGCTGGCGGTTCTTTGGCTGAAGATCTCAAGCCCAACGTTTTAGATCTAGGTCGAAGCAGAGAGGTGGAAGTGGTAGGGGCGTTGAGTGGAGGTACTGAAGATGGCGTACTGAATGCCGGGTGTGACGGAGAGAGGCTAAGCGAAGTGTCGTAGGAGGCAGATTGGGTTCGTGAAGCTAATGGCACCATCAAATTTTGTAAATTCGAACTTGATACATTCGCTGAGTCGGGAGAATGAGGCCCGGCGATATCTTCGGCAGGTACTTCATCTGCGGCGGGAATGGGAAGGCCTCTACCAGCAGCAACCAATTGATGTTCAGTCCAATCATCCTGGTAATCATCTAAGCCTCTCCAAAATGGTGCGACTCGTCGCTCAATCTTATGCATGTTAGTATAATGACCGGTTACCAAATATTATCATCTCCAACATACCATCAACTGCCTCACTATTGCCTTATTGAAATCTTCCGGTCCGGTGTATACGCCCATTGTAACTAAATATCCGCCATCAACATGCTCCTCCTTGATGCTCCTCTCTCGCTCTTCTATCCTCGCAATCCTCTCCCTTTCCAGTCTTCTCAGTTGTCGCTCGGCCGCTGTTTCCTTCCTCTCTGGTACCTCATTATTCGATCCGCCACCAACGATAGCTGCTACTAAATTACGCCTGCCGCCTCTGCCATTACGAGAAGCATATGGATCTTGGTCGGATGCAGACGTTGGACCACTCACACCAGCGTCATAATGTCGATGTCTGTCCCCATGCGAGTCTCCCCGCGATGGGTTCATAGAACTTTGCTGATGACCCATTTTGCAGTCGCAATGTCTGCAGAATCAGGAATCAACTATTCATCGAGAGTTGGGGCGGTAAGAACTATATCCAAGATAAAGTCGAGTGAGATTGTGCCAAATTCTCGAGAGTGAGTGGATGTTGTGAATTTATGCAGGTTCTCGGCAAGCGTGGGGAACTGTGATTGTAAGGTTTATTTCGCCTGAGCCACAGTGAAGTTTCCACTCTCAGTTTGGATCACACGAGCCGGTTCAGATAAAGACGAGTTGAATACCCTTTTGTTGTCGACAGAGGGGAAGGCGATACAATCAGCTGCGACCTTTACGATAAGGAAAGGTCATCCGCGTTGAACGGTATTGTACGGTATTCCTATTGTCGTCCGGACGATGGATTTATTGGTAGAGAGAACAGATGAAATATAAATGAAGGGAGAAGAGTGAACGAGGAAGATTAGGTAGGCAGTTGTTTTATTTGTAGTTGTTTGGTATCCCTAGGGAAAATGCGTAGATCTCCTTAATTGTATGATGGAATAGTGGGTAAAGAGAAGCAAAGTTAAATATCCATGAGTATTCCGTATGTGTTATGACGGCAGGACAGACAAAGCCTGAGTAGCTTATGATAGGAGAAAAGCTGGAAGGCTGGAAAGGTGGAAAGGTGGAAAGCTGGACAGACTGGAGAGTATTTCTACTCTTGGAAATTGGAATCGAGATTGAAATTGAAATTAAAGTATTGAAGAATTTGTATTCAAAACAATGCATCTATCAAGGACTAAAGAATAGTTACCTAGGGACCTAGGTATGTAGGTATGTAGGTATGTAGGTATCCAGATACCGATACTGGCGTACTAGGTAATTACAGCTCCGATTTCATATTACAAGGCCATAAGGCCACAACGCCATCAATCCTTGGCCATCAAAACGACTGATGGCCGCGTTTCCCGAGTTATTAAGCTTTTTTATAACTACTATCTCCAGCTAGTAGGTATTGCTCCGTAGAGGAGTAAAGCAGGTACGAATGCATCTTTCTTCAACCTCCCCACTCAGAGTGATAAGTGATGTCGAATTACCTAGATATCATTCTTCCGTTCTCCGTTGAGGGTGGCTTTACATTCAATGCATATCTTACTCAGTACATTCAAGAGAAAACAAATAATATTGATTAGCCTTACTATTTAATCAATAATATATATACCATATATATATGTATACAAAAATACCTCTTTCCATACAGCTCCCTTCCCTACTAGAGAGATAAGATGCAAGATACATTTCGGTACTCACTTCATGCCGTTCTCAGCCATGTGAAGATCGCAAGCAAGCCATGATATTTACTGGTCCGTGATAAAAGTATTCCAATACAAACGTAAGATCTTATTTTGCTATTTAATAATAGATTGGGCTACCTAATTGCTCTATTCTTTGATTTTTTTTTTCCTTTTTCTTTTTACTTCTCCCTTTTATCATTTCCTACCTAGGTAAATAAGTATTGGTTCCCACTACTTACCTACCTAGCTATGTACTAACATCCCCCAAATCCCTCAAAGCACGCTGGAACTCATTGATCTCGATCTAGAATCTGGCTATCCACATCGTAAGACTACCAAGCCTTAAATGAAAGCGTCAGGCCGTTAGTGGCATTTCTGCATTCGTACCTGAACATCAACGCGTGACCATCATTTACTCGGGATGTATATACATATAGGTATATATAGAGTACCTACTAGGTATTCTCCTCATTGCTCTTATCTCATTGACTTGAAATCTTACCTTGGTTGAAACCGACGTTCACAAGAGACAATAACGATTACTTATTGGTGATGTAAAGATGCGTCAAATATCAAGTCATATTTTTCTTACTATTAATAGGTACCTAGGACTTTCCATGGGATGGTGATTATATCGTATACCAATGGATTAATAAGTATTTCTCCCTCGACTTAATATATCATAATTCAGTCCGTTTAATTGAGATGGAAGTTTAGCCATACAATTCACTAGACTTGATCACACAACAAGCATACAGGACAAAAACACTGATCTGAACTTCCCCATGTTTCGAGACAACTACTAAACCGTCCGAGGACCGACTAGGCTCATCCCACCTGTCAAAGATCTAATTATCGCGCTACCTGCCATGTAGTCGGCTAATAATAGGCAAGCACTCCGTGTGGTACATCATTGCTCCGTACTTCTGTATAGAAGATCAACAGGATCTTCGACTCAATTGGATGGTCAAAACGTGGTTGCGGCAGCATCATACATCTCATCTCGCCATGTTCATATTCTCTTATAGAACTGCGCAAGTGCTAACGAGAAATAAGAAATCAAATAAGAATAGATGGAGATGATATACTGCTGTGTAATCCTGACCAGAAGTGCCGACTCTGACTGATTCTTATCGCTAGTAACCTTATCATTGGGGAAAATCCCCAGAAAACATCGACCTCGCATAATAATGAGGGGTCACAGGTACGATTTTAATTTTGCATTGACACTTTCTGCTAAATAAGGCTTTTTTTTTATTAGAAAGTTTAAAAAGGTCGAATTGGTTCTGGTATTTCAAATCATAAACACAAATAGGCTAAATAAATGAATTCTTTTGATTGGTCAATTCGTGTCATTCTTCCTTTGAATTCTTCCAACCAAATCAGCCAAGGTGCATTGATTCATCGATTGATAGTGCAAATTGTCAAGGAGGGAAAAAAGCCATCGAACCCCACTCACTATAACCCCATCCCCCTCCAAGCCTCGACCATGGCATTACACTGGCAATTCTCACAAAGTCAACTAACTCATTCTTCTTTCCATTATGTTATAGTTCTCCTCCGAATTTCTTCTCTTCCTTTCACACCTTCATCCACCTACATTCTTTTTGTGTATACTCTCGAATCATTCGAGCATCCTCACCAGTCTCATTCACACCTGTCGACAACCTTCCACGGCTACTTTCACCCTTCCCCAATCAAGAAAAATGTCAACTAGGCCACCACTCTCAACAGTTCTTCCACCTCTAATCTGCGGCACCGCCACTTTCAATAACCAATACAATGCTGATCCTTTCTCCCTTCCTACAAATGCGATTGTGCAAAGGGCTTTAGGATCGGGCATAAATGCCTTTGATACGTCTCCGTACTATGGCCCCTCTGAGGAAATCCTCGGCATGCATTCCCCTTCCCTTAACCCCTCCTACGTTAAATCTCATGATCTAACACATTTCCAGGCCGCGCCCTCCAACAACCGCAAATCCTCACCAATCACCCCCGCTCCAGCTACTACCTCATAACGAAATGCGGACGTATCGGCGGTTCTGAATTCGACTACTCCCCGTCCTGGATCAAACATTCTATTTCGCGCTCCCTCACCCGCCTCCACACCTCCTACCTCGACGTTGTCTACCTCCACGACGTCGAATTTGTTTCTCCCCCCGAAGTCCTTGAAGCCATAAACTGTCTGCGCGAGCTCCAAGCCCAGGGGACAATCCACTATATCGGTATCTCGGGGTATCCTGTCCCAGTCCTCTGTTCCCTCGCCGAAATGATTCTGCGCGAGACGGGTAGACCTTTAGATTGCGTGATGAGTTATGCAAACTTTACGATTCAAAATCACTCTCTCTATACCACCGGGCTTTCCCGTTTACGCAAAGCAGGCGTGGATTGTGTGCCCAATGCTTCGGTGTTGGGAATGGGGCTCCTGCGCAGCTCAGGCGTTCCGGATAATGGAAAGGAAGATTGGCATCCGGCGCCCAAGGAACTACGTTCTTGTGTTCAGAAGGCTGCGCGATGGGTAGAGGAACGCGGGGAGAGATTGGAGGTGGTGGCTATACGATGGGCTCTTGAACGCTGGGCCCTCGACGGCAAAGTCAGTTCTGAACCCATTGGTGTATCTGTAATGGGTGTGAGCAATATTGGAGAGTTTGAGGAAACGCTCCGGGTGTGGAATAGCGTATTAGATGGAATTGATATACCCGGACGGCAAGTGACGGAAGCAAAAAAACAGTGGAGTTTAGACAGGAGAGCAGAGAGTCAAGAGTTATCGGAAGGGATTAGGAAAATCCTGGGAGAGTATTGTGATTATGCATGGGCGAGTCCCGATGAGGGATATGTGAACAAAAGGGTTGTTAAGGGGGTTATAGACGAGGTTGCTCCATTGCCGAAGGCAGAGTGAGTGCTGTTGCTGAGTAGAATGCTTATGAAATCCCAGTGATCTGAGATTTTTGGGAAGCGTTAGAAGACTTTGGTCGTCTACTACATTCCCTTTCCGCCACTGATTTAGCAAGAAGTCACGCGTGCATGAAACCATCAATAAAACAAGCACTGCATGAACAGATTGGATGAGCAAGGAGGTTATAGTTATTGCTTTCAAGGACATTTTAATTCATTTGCAGTTGTCTGATGCAACCATCAACCCCCATCTAAAATCAAACCCACATCTAAAATCAAACCCACATCTAAAATCAAACCCACATCTAAAATCAAACCCAATCTTCTTTTCCTTCTGTGGTGCATGAATACTTAAAGATCCAGATAACACTCGAGAAATGGTCGAAATTGATAAACCACCAGTGACCACCAGAAATCAGAAATACATGATGAAAAAGGAAACTTTTGTCAAACGCGGTAGAACTTTTCACGATATCAAAGCTCTCAAGGTCCACAACATGTCCAGGAGAGAACCATTTCACCATAGTGACGAGGGGCAGTCAAAACTCCATTATACGCCATACTCTTATTTTCCCCAAAAATATCACCGAGCACTTTCCATTCGTCTCAACATAAACTTCATGAAACTAAGCAGAAGAATGCTTGCGACGTTCTCGGATAGCATCGGCGAGCTGCTCGAGGACTTCGACGGTGGATTCCCAGTTGATGCAGGCATCGGTAATGCTGACGCCTTTCTTGAGACCGGATGGTCCCCCGGCAGGGACCTTTTGGTTACCTTCATTGATGTTGGATTCGATCATGACACCGATGATGGATTTTTCACCAGCACGCAGTTGATCGCCGACTACTTGGGCTACCTTGGGTTGGTTTCGGTGGTCCTTGTTTGAGTTACCTGGGTGTTTTAGCGGGATTTTCAATGGAGGTTGTGTAGGGTAGATGTACCGTGAGAGCAATCAATCATGATAGCTTGCTTTTGGCCTTTCTTACTCAAAGTCTCCTTGGTGAGTTGAACATTCTCGGCATCGAAGTTTGTACCTTTGGTACCACCACGTAGAATAACAAATCCGTGCTCATTTCCACTAGTTCTAGTGATGGCAGCAAGACCTTGCTTTGTGACACCCATGAAGTGATGTTTAGCAGCCGCGGATCCAATAGCATCAATTGCGACAGTCAAGCTTCCATCGGTACCGTTCTTGAATCCAACCGGGAAAGATAGACCTGATGCAAGCTCACGATGTAACTGTGACTCAGTGGTTCTTGCACCAATGGCACCGAGCGAGATCAAATCTGCGAGGAATTGTGGGGAGATGGTGTCGAGCATTTCAGTGGCAATGGGCATGCCGATGCTGGTGAGGTCGCAAAAAAGTTGACGACTGATTCGGAGACCTTTGTTGATCTTGAATGACTCATCAATATCAGGGTCATTGATCAAACCTTTCCATCCAACAGTCGTGCGGGGCTTCTCGAGGTAGGCACGCATAATGATGCACAGATCGTCCGACAATTTCTCGGAAAGATCCTTTAACTTTCTTGCGTACTCAATGGCGGTAGTAGGATCATGAAGCGAGCAGGGTCCGACGACGACCAAAAGACGATCGGATTTACCCATTATAATCTCGACGGCGTCTTTTCGTCCTTGAACGACGGTCTTGAAAGAATTGTTCGTAATTGGGATCTCGGAAACGAGTAGTTGAGGAGGGATCAATGGATCTTGACCCAGGACTGCAAGATTGATAAGAAGATTAGTATTTATATCTGAAGGAAGAGAAGGTATTTGAAATTTTGGCGGGGTCATACTTCGTGTATCGTCAGTGACGAGGGGTTCAAAGTCAAGTTGAGGCATCTTGTTTGAATGTGAAATAAAGAAAAGCCCTTGGAAGAAGAAAAATGAAACGTGATGGATCTTATAGATCTTGTCTGACACTGGCTTCACTCCTTATGTCGACGATAATGTAAATATTATCGTCTTTTGTTGCGAGTATATTGAGTTGCTTCGTTGTCTGGCTGTTGTGTAAAGTGAGTCAAAAATTGTGGTGGACCTGAGAAAAAAGTGGTAAGCTCGGACCCACAAGTGTGATTGTCCGATATTTCCCAATGACATTCTTCAGCCAAGACGAATGCTCGGATTTATGTTCACGGCAGATGCGGCTAGTAATGCCGGCCGGCGAGATATATTTAGATTTTAGAACGTACAGACAGTTTATCTATGTCTCTCTTGAGTGTATCGTCTGGCCAGGCACAGTATTCAATCTAATAACATAACAGCTTGAAAAGCTCACTAAGGTCTGAAGATACTTGCATGTATATGTGTATGTCTAATCTATATATATATATATATATATAGATGTATATATAAATGTTCATTATGTAGATATCTGTTATATACTAGGTAGTTATATAGTTCCCGCTCTTTGTAGTATTGATAATTATAAAGAAGTATATCTTCACACCTGATATGGGACAAAAGATGTCATCATTTTCTTGAAAGGCCTAGCAGGGATCCTCAAGTTTAGAGGTTGGTGTAAAATCCTCTCTCACACGCTTGTTGAATGACATAATCTCTAAATCACCTCAAATTCTAGTCAAAAATATCCATCTTCAGCTATGTGAGGCTCCCCTCACTAGAATGGCCCCACTTAAAACTACTCTAATTAGCCCTAAAAATAATAAGCAGCCTTGCTAGGCCTGCCTATCCGAACTCTCCCAAATGAAGATGGGGGTGCCTTCATGGCTATTTTTGGCTGCCGATGGAGGTTACTACTAGGTAGGTATGAACTCCCGGGCTAGCTATCTAGTACTCTGTAATAAAAATAGCAAAAATAGTCCAAATGGCTGGATAGGAAGTTGAAAACATATTGTTCTGTTCTCGGTATGACGAGAAACAGAAACAAAAAGGCAATGTACCCGAGTATATTCTGATGTCAGTTAGCATAGAGACAACTATCTCATCAATCTTATCAGATTTACCACCGGAGCAATTTATTTGTATACCTCACCTATTGGCATGGAGGCAGTCATCTGTATATCCTCCGTTGGCTTCGGATAGAGGAAATTAAACTTTGATGTGATGAATGAATCTTTGTGGATGAACAAGATAAGCGGAACTGATAAGAAGATCGATCGGCTGATAAGATATAACGATAACAATAACGGTGAGCGTTGCAATATTTCAGCCTCGTCTCATTTGATCCACTCATTATTTGTAGTGCTAGCCCGTATTAGTCTAGCTTTATTATTTACTATGGAAACCCTTCATTTATCAGTGTCCCGGTCAGCCTAGTCGCAGATTCTCAAAACACCAAAAGTGCACGATGAAGCATTTATGAAACTCAACATCATTTTACGCCTACACACCCGGGTATTTACAATGGATGATTTAGGTTCATTGTACTAAGTAATCAAATCGAGTCGTAAAGACCTTTACCGAATCTTCTCAGAATTCCAATCTCATTCTCTCCCCGTTTCTTGCAGCTTCATCCTTATGTCTCTTGAGTCCACTGGTTAGTTATTATTGATCATCAGCATACAGCTTCCTCGCTGCGGCTGAATTATCTCCAGCCTGTCTCACTACTCCTTCTTAATCACCTGCCGGTCAGACATAATAACTTACATCAATACGTTTCACATCAACAACACATCTTGAAGATAAGTCATCAACATGTTCGCGCAACAGTGGCCGAGTAGAAAGCGCGAAAGAGAAGATGAGGATGAACTTGGTACATCAGGCTTTAGTGCTCACAGAAATGTAAGCACTGCAGTCACTTCAACTTCAACCCATCTATAGGGCTCCACGTTAATCTATGACTTGATTAGAAACGACACATAGCCAATTTACCCCATCGAACCTCACCACATGCCAAACGTCAAATTGCACCCACTTTTACATTAAATCACTCCACTCCAGCGCCGCCCGTTACCACTCCATTGGATTCGGACTCGGATATAACTCCCACCATTATGGAGCCGACCAATTCTTTCTATTCATGGTCGTCATCATCTTCATCGAGAAAGATCATACAAGCCCATGATGAAGAGGGGATGCACAATGGAAACCAAACGTCCTTTTCGAGTCAGGTTTCGGAAGGGCCAATTTATTCGGATGATTTTGATATGGCTGACAGTGGCATACATTCAACTCCTGGACCATTCCAGTCAGATCATTCTATGACTCTAGTCAACCGAATTCCCACGCCGATCCATAGTTCCTTCTCGGCATATTACCGATCCGATGAACCCCTTCACTCCTCTCTCTCCGAACCCAATCTTACTGACGAAGCATTCATCGACCGCTTCCGCCGTGGTCGACGCCTACCTAGTCCCATCAGCGAGGGAGAAATAAGTCCTAGTGTCATCGTCGACGGAATCAATGATATGCAAATGGAAGTCGAGCCTTCCTTTTCCTCTTCTGAATTCGAGAAAGAAATCACGGCTCCGCACAAGAAAGGTCACACTCGCTCTAAACATAGCTTGCGGAACTGGAATGGATCCACTGGAGATCTCATGGGAAATTTAAATGGAGTCGGGATGAAGAAGAGCTTTAGTATGGGGTATAGGGCGGACTGTGAAAAGTGTCGGAATAAGGTTCCGGGGCACTTTAGTCACATAATTACGTATTAAGCGTTGATTGCTGGATCATGCTAATGTAGGAACGAATTCAATCTGGGAAATGGATTAATGAATGATCAAGGAATGACTAAGAAATGGGCAACGGAATGGGATGAATGGCTGCAGGCACTTGGCTGAATTGGCCGAAGTGATTCTAATATAAGTAGCTATTAGCTATTCAGCGTGGCGTTTAGGGGTCTCGGTAAAAGCAGATTACAAATAGGAGTAAACATTGCTAGTAATAATGAATATATTTATGAACCTATACTCATACCTCACCGTCGTCTAGAAATTGTTCTTTTTCAAGAATTCAAACGAAACGAACCATTCTATTTCTTGAATATTCCGACCTGCTTCCTAATCGAACCAAATTTGCAGACACTCTCTCAAAGCCATTGAATGATTTGAACCTCTTCAAGATTTCCCTGTATTCATGCCACAGTGACAAGAACAAATAATCTAAAGTCGCAAATAACACTCTCTAAAAACACCCGTTTTTTTCTGTCCTCTGCGGAGTACACAGTAAATTCTTGCCTCAATATCAAAGCTAAAGGTTAACATACAAGACAAACTCATTTATGCTAGGTGATGTACAGAGTATGTACACATCGGTTTCCGCTGGGAGGACAACCAAAGTAAAAGTGGATCGGGAAATGTGGATTACGGAGTGCGGAGTAGGGAGTAGGGTAGGATATTGGATGTAGGATATACATTTTGGTTGATTCTTCTAAATCGAGTTGAGAACGAGATGAAATGACCTTGTTTGGAATAGGATTAATAAGAAAATGTAGAGTTGCGATGTGCAATACTTAGGTAATGTTTTAAGTTTATTTTAATTTATTCTTATTTTTATTTTCTTTGCTCGGATTCTTGCTTTTACTGGGCATATGTAGAGGGAAAGAAAAGCTGTGTATCTGCTAGAACCTACCTAGTTAGGCTCTTTGCCGACTGTCTAGCGTGAATCTGTAAATGCAGTAAGTAGCCCCGCTAAATATTGATGGGGGAGAGATATTGATATCATTGACTATATCTAACCTATTCTTCTTCTTCCCGTAGCTTTTCTTCGCTGGTTAGGTGCTGGAATACTCCTGTGCTGGTAGATTATTGTCTACACAGGGTACTTGTCAATTGATTAGATGTGGATATGCTACTCTGTTTAGATGTTATTCGTATAACCCCTGTCCCGCCGCTTATTTCATCCTTATGCCGCCAAATATCAACACTAGATATTAATGTTACGCACAGATTGACTGTCCAATTACTTAAATGCACTCAGACCTCAAATAATAACACAAATGTATATATATACTCTGTATAGATGTTGATGCTATATTATCGCGCCATTCGAACCACCTCAATAACTTCCCCACTCTAAACTTTCTCCACAATGTCCTTCCCCTCCTTTCCAGAAACCCGAGCTTCCTCAATTAACACCTCCCCCGATTCCCCTTCCATCTCCTTCTGACCTTCCCACCTCCAATAAAAACCAAAACCAATACAAAAACATATACCACCCACCAAAAAAAGCGACTCCTTTCTTCCATAGACTTTTCGGCGTGCAGACATGGGGGCGTGAAATTGGTGTGGGCGTCGCTGGTGTTTTTGTTGGTAAGTCAGGCTTGTGGAATGTTTAGCACGATATTGAGGAGGAATATTAGATGTAGATTTCGCAACTTTAAAAATAGTCGCACCATATCGGGACGTGTGAAAATTGGTGCTGAAGTGTGGTCTGGCGGTTCTATGCACGTGGAAGTTGCGGCAGAATGGCGCGCGTTGAAACGAACGAGTGTTCGGGGTGAAGGATGCGCGAAGCATTGTGCTTGGAATATTTGTGTTCATTTTGGGTTGCGATAGGTGGATACAGTTGGGTTTGTATGGGCATGCTGGGAATTATATGCGGACTTTGAGTATGTTCTTGAGTGGTGTGGACAGTTGGAGGTCAACCGAGAGCTAGAGCTAGTTTCTCCAAGTCTCACACTACCGCAGTCTTTCTTCCAATGTCAAATTCATCGCGGCTATTTGAAGTCGTTAAATGCTGCTGGAAAGGAAATGTTCTTTTTACTGAGAACTACGCCTGTTGCTATTGTTCACACTATATATATACTGTTTCTATCTCATTCGATTGGGGCAAGCTAATGCTATTGTTATGAAGCCATGAATACTGTTTTAATCTCTTCTTCCTAGTGAGTGATTTTGGGGTGTAGGTTAAAGGATGGCTTGCTCAATACAAAGAGTTCGATATTGTCATTGATACTCATGCAGTCACAGATATACGCGCATACTAACATTGCCAATACTACGGTGTGTGCAACCACCTTTTAGGCTTTGATTCTCCTTGGTATATTAAATAAGGCCGGTAAGATCTTAATCCTTCATTTAAATTGACCTGGATTATTGAACCCGTTTAATACGTCAAATTCACTTAGGACATTCAATCAATTAGAGACATTGAATAAATTTGGAACGATTAATTATTAAAAAATCATAAATCTTACAGCGAACTTTATCTCAATATCCCCGTCGCTACTCAACTTTTAAAGCAGGACAAATGGGCTTATTCCAAGAGGTAATTATCTAGAGCTGAAGTAACATTCTAATTACTTGTAGTTTGATCAATAATTAATGAGATACTCGGATAAACTCAAAGATTGTGAATGTCCTACATTAGGTACATACATTCCACTTCTCAATAGTGAGTTTTGTTATCTATTCAACGTGCTTCTTAGGCGCTGCTCTCCTATACTCTGTAGCCGCTTTCCATTCTCGTTGCATATCCTTGAGCTGTCCATCTAAACATCTGCAAAGACCATTGGTTACGGATATAATTACTTCATACTTTTTGTTTTAAAACCTGTATTTGTATTAGATATTGAAAAGAAAAGTAGATTGAAATAGTGTAGTTATTTGATATGAAGACTTGAGAATGATGTGGATAGGAATAATATAGCCATATGCATACGCGGCCGCAAGCTATCAGCCGATAAAAATATCACGGTCCCTTAAACAGCGGAAGTAAATTTGACATCTCCTCTACCTTCCTACCGATATCCACCGCGCAATTTGCATCAGACTGTTATCACGTCCTTGCAAATTACTCTAGCTGTATTCTCGCCCACTTCATCAAAGCTCATCACCCCCTCCCACAATATGAATTTAGCCTCATCAAAGAACGCCCGTCTTCAGAAAAAACCCATACTCATACCCACACATTATAAGTATCCTCCCCTCCAATCTCCCAAAAATGACAAAAGACTATAAACAATCAACAAAAGAATCAATTACAAGAAATGAATAATTAAATGTACCACACTAAACATAATCTACATCAATACATGCAAATTAAAACCCCATCTCGATCCTCTCCTTCCTGACCCTTTCTTTCACTCCCAAATATAGAATGAGATAATTGCAAAAGCAGAACCAAAACAAAAGCAGAACCAGTACCAAAAAAAGAAAAAGCCTACGTCAAGCATAGTAATAACTTACTCCTTTACCTATATTTCCTAAAAATATCAAGGATCTAAGGACATAAGGATCTAGATATGTAATTCACCCTACTCGTATTAGCCGCGAGATACTCTGCATGTATACTATGTATTACATAATAGCAAGCGGGATGTACCGAGTACATATGTACGTAGCGAGGGGTCTAACATGTAGCGAGGCGCTTGTAGATATGGAGGGTAGGATTTGGAGAACTAGATAAACTAATGTAATTATTATCATTTGATGTTTGAAGTGAACGGAAAGTTTAAAAAGGTTTAAATGAGATGCTATGTTATTGTAGATAAGAAAAAAAGGACAATCATTCGAGAAGGAGAATAAGTTCATATAGTCCCTAGACAAGAGGAAATTTGAATGATACCACTGCGCTCCATGTAACTAAAGTTTTACATTGCACTGAGCAAATACTAGAATATGAATGGTATAGAAGGTATAATTATTCACCTGTCAAAGAAACCAATAACGTTAGGGTATCAAATATAATAATCATTTCACTTTCTAATCCATCATGAAGACTCTGCCATAATAAGTCCTACAGTTATTCTTAGAGCTCCCAATGGTCCTTTTTCCTTGACCATTTTTCCGAACATATCTTTAATCTTACTCAGACTATTGCGATCGTCTTGTTTATGCCCTGTAGCTCTGTTAGTATTATGTTTATCGACGAGAAACCCAAGAGATGGGTACTTACAACTACTTGGCAAGTCCAGATCAATATCTAAATGACTCTCTACATCACCCATCCAATCAAAGCCAATCCTCCATCCAACTCGGATCTCAACATCATCTCCACTGAGGTTCATACTCGTTCGTCCCATTTGTCGAAACAATTCCTTTCTAGTCCATTTTCTGGAGCTTTCTTCTCTGTCCCCCTCATCTTCTTCATCACCAATAGCCTTTCTTTTTCGTTTCCTCTTGCCTTGCTTCTCCATGACACTCTTTCTCGCTTCAGATGTACCGAATTCTCTTTCCGCATCACACCAAAATTTTGCTCGTGCCACCGATACTTCAGTCCATCTTCCCATGGCCCAACACACTATACCAATATCTTTCCCTAGTGGCCCGCTGCCACTTGCTCGCCGTCGGACAAATGGTCCCAGTTCAGATTCAGCGTTTGGATCTAATGTGTCCACATTGAGCGAAGATATCGTCAGAGAGGAAGTATCCACGACCATAGAAAGACGAGCGCTGAAAAGCCCAGAAGGATGGGATGCAGAGATTTGATGGTATTGCAGAGTCGCTTTCGGGATTTCCATAGCAGATTCATCGGGTGAAATTGGTGTAGGCGGGAGGAGAGTAATATTAGATGTGTATGTTAAATAACTGAATAGTTGCAAATGCGGAAGTGGATTGCTAAGTGGTATAGGTAAATGGGATGGTAGAGGCTTCTCAATCTGTGGCACGGCTGTTTGTCGGGCTTTACGCCGTCCGGAGAATGGTAAAAAGAGATTAGTAGCTTTCAATGCACTTATTGGTTCCGGCTTCGTCTCTTGTTTCTCAGCTGCAGTTGATCGTCTGAGCAAATCTAGTATCTCCTCCGGGTTTGATGCTCTTGCCGACTTTGTACCTTTCGACTCATGGTGTAAGCGTATCCTTTCATTCTCTTTATTCGCTAAACTGACATCGGCTTGCAATTGTTGTAGTTCCTTAAGAAGATCATCCCTAATTTTCTTCTTTGCTGCAAGGGGATCATGTGGGATGGAAAATCTAGCCGACTTCCTTCTCTTAACGGGTGGTTCTGGGAGTATATCTACTTCTGGCGCAAGGTCTGCACGCGGTTTCAATGGAGATGACCTTAACTTTGCTCCGAGAGTCCTATTCCTCCTCGCACTTTTGCTTGGTGTGTTGTGAATTCCAACTGGGCGTGTTGTAACGACTGGATCTGCAATACCTCGTTGTGTAGGCGTCGGCGGTAATTCAGGCTCTTCTAATGATGTAGATTGCTGGAGCCTTTTAGATGGAGATAGGAATGACTTTTTGAACTGTGGGAACATTGACCGCTGTGCAGGTTTGGACATAGATAATTGTCGCGCTTTGCGTTGGGTAGGAGAGTCATCGCTCATCAAAGGATTCACATCATCAGACTGTGGAAGCTCGGAAGCCTGAGGTTCATCCTCTAAGTGCTGTCGCTGAGGTACATCAATTGCAAAGGCTTGATCCGTTTGTAAGGTACGTGGCTTAGCTGGTATAGGATCGCTCGGAGTGGTAGAGGCAATTTCATCTGCTGCTTGCAAGTCAACGCCAAAATCTTCCTCTTCCGAAAGTTGAGGGGGCTGGACAGGGCTCGCAGGCGAAGCTGGCTCGACAGGTTCTGCAACTTGCGGGCCGGGAACATCAATAGACCCGAAGGCCTGAGAAGAAGGAAGTTGACTTGAGCTTCGACTCCTAATAACCACCTCTTCTGGTGCCCTGAGATATGGCTCTAGAGCTTGAACAGGCACTGGATCCTTTGGTGTAGTTGAAGCATATACGGGCGTGGGTTCCTTCGGCGTGGTTGAGGGGTATGCAGGGGCGGGGTCCTTTGGTGTAGTAGAAGCATGTAAAGGTACTGGATCTTTTGGCGTGGTGGAGACAGGTTCATCTATCTCCAATGGTACTTGAGGCACAATTGTTGCCGAGCTCGGCATTACAGCAGGTGGTGATCTTCTTAGCCCCGTCTTCTTGAAGGGATCAATATCGTCCTGGTATTCTTGCGATGCTGTCGCAGGCAAGCTACTTTGTCCTGGTACGGGTGATCGCCTCAATCCCGTTCTCCTGAAGGGATTTGCAATACCCTCAATATTCTCAAATTCAACAGCGGGCTTAAAATTGCTCTTTGGAGTTTCTGCAGTGATTGGTCGTTTGGAAGGAGATCTTGACATTCGCCTCGGTTTTGATGCCATTCCACCTCCCACAGATCGCGCTCTTGTAGGTGTGCGAGTAATCGCATCATATCTTCCTCCCAAGGTTGATCCTGCAATTGGTCTTTCTGCACCACTAGTAACACTCCGTCCCCTTTCTCCTTGAGGTGTATTCCTTAGTGCCCTATCAAAAACATCCTGTACTCTCCCTTTACTCGGAGATCTGCCAACCTCTGGTCCTGTAGAGGTAGCTCTCCGGAGTAATTGTGGATTATGGCGAGCTAAACTTGCCTTTGTGGGAGATGCAAACGAAGCATATCGCGACGAGGATTGTGTAGGAACCGGAATGCGACTCGGGGTTGGTGGAACATTGGTGGCGGGAATTGGAGTCTTCGAACGACGTGAGGGGGTATTGTCTGCCATGTCCACAGTTTCCCTATACTATCCCATTGCCGGTTAATTGAAGTTGTTGCGGAGTGATTTTCAGATACAGAATCGCGTGTTGAGGGACGCGACGAGAGGGGCTTCGCGAGACAGCCAGGAACAATATATACTATTTCAATATGAACATGAATTTGAACACAAACGACAACAATAATAGTATTTCCGTGGCTTTGTGATTTATGATGCTACGTATGATTTTTAAAGGTTTAATCGCAAATGCGATTACATGCTTTGAATGAGTCCTGCGATCTGGAATTTAATAATGCTATTTTGATTCTCGGTGCTGACTATTCACATCAATGACGTTTCTCAAAAACTTTCCGAACTTTTGATCCCAAAAATAAATAATGCGCCGCCCGCCCGGTTCTTCACTTACACTCAAGCATATATTCAAAAACGAACAACTCTCCTAATGATTTCCCGATAACATAAACTTTACAAGGTACTCTATAGAGTATATTACCTATTACCTATAACAACAATATGAAGCAAAGAAGTCTCCTCCGACTATCACAACGTCTCAAACTTCCCTCCTCAGTTCGCTACCTCCCCTCCTTCCCACGCCACAAATCCACGTCCAATAAGCCAGGTCACCAAGCTCACCCCATAGGTGACTACTACGCCTCAATCCTCACCTCCTCCTCCCCAGAAATATCCTCTACACCTCCCACCACCGCGTCTCCTTCAAATCCACCCATAACCTCATCTTCAACCCCTTCTCACTCCTCAGCAAGTGGCGCAGAACCGGGACCCTCAATCCTCTTCTCCTCACGTCTATCCTCCCCTTTAGAGCGACGCTCCGAGATCCTGCGCAAAAGTCAACGAATAGCCGGAGTCCTTGTTCCGCCACGCCCAGAAGAACCAGATAATTGCTGTATGAGCGGCTGTGTGAATTGTGTGTGGGATCGCTACCGGGATGAGATTGAGGAATGGGCTGCTGCGAAGAAGGAGGCGGATAGGGCTTTGAAGAAAGAACGGAAGAAGAAGAGTGCTGCCGCTCTTGCCGAGGCGGCTGCGAGTATGGATGATGATGGGGCTGGGAGTGAGGGGAATTGGGATGTGGGAGGGGAGGAAAAGGGCGACGATCTGTTTGAGGGGATTCCTGTAGGCATAAGGGCTTTTATGGTGCAGGAGAAGAAATTGAAGGAGAAGCATATGAGGGAAAAGGCAGCGGGGTAATGGAGGGTTGGAGAAGAGGGGTCAATAATGAATATTTTTTATGGGCGGAGGCCATCACTTTTCCTAACTTGGATGCCATTAAGTTAGAAGATAAGAAGAGGAAGAACTATCTGAAAGATTTTATTACACAGGCAGATAAGGGTGTTATCATGGAGTTTGGTAGACACTGGAATCGTGTTGCACAAAGCGTAGAAGTTTAGAGGGATGTGGGACATTTCACGGGCGTCCCCATATCATATACTGTAGATAGAGAGATTAGATTATAGATATGGGCTTGTAGACCACAGCCTCCACTTGTATCTCGGAACTCATGACAGATGAAACGACAAGTAAACAATATCCCTTGAATTATTCGACAAATTACTCCATCCATTCAACCCTTCGACTCCGACCCACTGCCAATATAAGCTTCGATATCCCTTGGCAATGCCCTGCCTTCTTCTTGAAATGCGTCGTCCTTCACCACCTAGTCGACATCCACACCTTTGGTCCTAAGGTCCCTTCTCGCCAACTCAATCTCCTCCATCAACTCCGCGTGCGCCTTCGGCACATCATTAAACGTGAAAACGCCATAGCCCAACTTCCCCAAAAGATATGCTCCAAACGAAACCAACATCCAGAACGGTAACTATTTCCGCAAGAAAAATACCAAGTCAGCGATGATATTCTTGATATGACTGACGATCGATATTGTGGCTATAGATTTGATCGAGCCATCACGACGCGAGAACAAAGTCGAGGAGGGAGAGGCGGGTGGAGGGAACGGAAAGGATTCGTATGTCGAATCACCTAAGGATGGAGAAAGAGGAATTTTCTCCCAACTCTCGGGAATGGGGAGATCGGCATCGTTCGCGGGAAGAGATGTAATGGTTATGGTGCAAGTAGCCATATCCTTCTTTCCCTCGGTGCGTTGCTCGTCAAGAGAAAGAAGAGAGGAGCAGAAGGGGTAGAAATAAAAACACACGCATAACGTACCACAGGAACAACCTCCTCAGAAACCTTTCCAGGAAGAGGAATTAACTCCAAATAAACCGCCAAGTATAACTAAGTAAAATCACCGGATCAGCAATCATTCGTTCATTTCTCTTTTCAATTCCATGTCGACCCTAATCTGCCGTACATCGTGCTATGTGTTTGCAAATTTTGCACATTTGCACACAATAATCCCAACGCATGATGACCAATTCAAACAATCAGAGGCAGACAACATACCGAAGTGACAAGTAAGCCAATAGATATGGTTTGCTGTGCGCGGGTCATTTTTACGATTCCGTGTGCGATTGCTCAGGTTCGGGGTTGATGTGTTTTATAAGGTTAGGACTCGGTGGATGCGATGCGTGTGTGAGTTGGCAGATTCTCAAGGGTGGGCAAAGGAGCGTGGTTCGTAAGGAAAGTGGTGGTGTTGCTTCTTTTCGGGATTGGGTTGTTTTGAGGACAGCTGGAGCTCGTCAGTCAATCACGATTGGGTTAGAGCTGCGACATCAGTGTCACGTGTCGCTCCTTAAGAATCCTACCTCCTATTTTTCCGAGGGGTTTCTTATCAAGTCTGATATAATAAGGTGATGAATATCTGATGAGAAAGTACTTTAGAAGGCTTCCGAATACTACATACTAGTCCATGAGGACAAACTCGAATTACAAAACTATACGATATATTGCCAACCAATTCCCTACCCCAAGGGAATATTTACTCCTCCAACCCGGTATCATTCAATTACCATTTAACTATCTTAATAATTAATAGAACAAAAAAATTTACATTAATCAACATCCGTAGGATTAGTTTCCTCCCCGGGTATTTCTGCAGAAGGTATTCTATCTCTCAACCATGCAAGCGTAGCTTCCGTACCCTTCTCCAGAATCGTATATTTTGGCACACGGAAACGATTCCCACTTACGTCCAGAGTCTGTAGTCCGTTTGGTCCACCCAAAAGCCCAATACGAGAATTAAGGTTGTTTATCTCATTGCTGCTGCAATCTAGAAGTCTCAGGCCTTGAACGGCTTCTGGCATCAATTCACGGATTGTGTTGTGTGATGCCATAAGAAATATCAAGCTCGGGAAGTGGGGTTTCAGAACAGGTAGTGAAGTTAAACGATTGAAACTGATATCAAGCTTCTCTAGGTTCGGGGCTTGTAGATGTTGTATCAGTGGTTGTAGGGAACTGAAAGTGTTGGAGCTAAGGTTCAGTTCCTTTAGTGCAGGTAGGTCTAAATCATCCTTCAGAAACGTGTCGCTAGTCAACTCATTGTGAGCGATACACAAGGACGTGAGAGTGGATGCAAAGAAAGCAATAGAGGTAGGTATCTCTTTGAACTTATTATGTTGTAAGTGTAGGACTTTGATCGTATCGTGTGCAGCAACTTCTGCAGCTATCACTGGATTGAGGGAGTGTGAACTCGTGCTGGATCGATCGAGAATTCCTCCTGCTTTGACTGGCCAATGAGAAGACGTCGGTCGACTCGAAGTGCTTGGGGTGCTCGGCTCAGATAAGAACTCGTCTTTCTCTGGCTCGGCTGATGTAATTCGGGCTCGCAGGGCGTTTTTCAGATCTTCGGTAGACATGGCTGAGAATTTCTTTTCTCTTAGTGGGTTTCCGCTTACTCGAAATATGTCAAGATTTTCCATTCTACCAATTCTGTCATCCAGAATTTTGATATTGTTGCCGCTAAAATTGACATTTTTAACCTTGGGAAGCTCGACAAAACCAGCTGGTAGCTCAGACAGATTGTTATCCTCAGCAGTGAGTGTACGTAGAGATACCCAGGAAGTCAAATCCGGCAAACTTGTAATGCGGTTTGCGGAACAACTCAACTGATGAAGCGAAGGAAGATCAAGCTCTGATTCAGAAAGAGACGTGATAGCATTACTGGTGACATCCAAAACTTGGAGTTGCGATAACTTCTCTACAGCCCCAGTAACAAGAGTACCGACAAGCCCGTTTTTGACAGCTATAAGCTCGATAAGGGGCAGACGACTGAGGATGTCGAAAGGTAGCGATCGAAATCTGTTCTCGGTTATATTAAGAACCCTCAATCGATCTAACTGTGATAAACTATCCGGAAATGTATCAAGAGCATTGCGTTGTATCTCTAGAACCTCAAGGCTTTTTAAGTTTTCTATATCTGGACTTAGAGTTCCACAGAGCCCGTTGCCTGCCATTTTAAGATCTCGCAAACATGTAATTTGTGTAATAATTTGGAGACATTCATTGCCTAATTTATTGTTTGACTGTTCACCATTAGCAATCAGTCATTTTATTACAATGTTTGTTGATTAGTTAGCTTACCAAGTTCAAAGATGTCAAATGCTCAAGTCTACGAAGACCCATAGGAATCTCTTTCAAGAAATTGCCGTGTAGGTCCAATGTTTCAAGGCCGCCAAATTGATTACCCGTATACTCATCATCCTCCATTGCCTCACGTGGGTCGACATCAGGGAAGATATTTTCATCAAGTTTCTCAAACTCATTGTCAGCCGCAATAAATCTTGTCAGATCAACAGCTTCAGCCCAAGATCCACCCTGATCTCCGAGTGCCTCAAGATTGTACATGTTCATTACCTCCTCGGGTATTTCTTTGAAGCCCATGGCGGCGATATTAAGGCGTCCATCGGTTCGCGCAGCAGCAATTCGCTTGCGCAGAAGGCCTTTACTGGCGTTTGGATCTACTTTTTGATTGAAAGGATCGTCTGAAAGACCGAAATCAAACGTCGCCGTGGGAATCACAGGCGTTTCTTCATGATTGCTTGCGGCGCTTGTGTTTGCTGCCGCGCGCTTTGCTGCTTTGGCTTTTGCAATCTGATCTCTAAGAGATGAAGAAGATTTCGGGGCTGTAGATTCCTCCGTCCTGTCTGAGCCTAGACCAGCTTCACTGGGAGTTGATATCGCAGATCTGTGAGGAATACTCTTGAAGTCTATTGACCTGCTTCTGTTAACAGAGCTTATACTGTCTGTTGCGGTTGACTTTTTGATAGCATCCTCACTAGGAGCAGATGTGACCGATTTGGAAGGAATGTCCTTAAAGTTCATTGACTTCTGCCTTGTGACAAAACCAATGCTGTCTGTCTCAAATGCCTGGTCCATTAAAGGCATTGATGGTTTGCGGAATAGACCTGTCATTGAAGCACGTTCCTTCACTGACCGGGCACTGAATGTCTTGCTGCCAGATTTGATCGTAGGGAGCTTTTCTGGTTTTACCGGGCTTGGAGATCTCTGTAAGGCATTGCCAGGAGATGGAAGCTGTGCTATACTTCCGGGACTGAAGCTGCTTCGAACCGTCGGAGTCTTGAGTGTCTTTGCAGGACTTGGTCGTTTCATCGGTGTAGAAGCTTGGTAATTTGTAGGTGGGGGTCGGAAGGTACCCGAAGACGACCGGAAGTCAAGAATTTTTGGCCCAGAGTCCTCGCTCGACGTCGGTCTTGAACTGGCAGAACGGCGGGATGGTGGTCTCATAGACCCATCATTTTGATAACTGGATTCAGGTCTGGACGATGAACTCGCGCGCGATATGGATCGTTGAGGAAGTTGAGGGATGAAAAAGTTTGACTGTCTTCTTCGAACGGACGGTGATGGTGGAATATGCTGTAGTGTTTCCATTGTGCGTTCAGATAAGGAGGGGCGCGAAGACGCGCTCCCACTACGCCCTTCGTCATCATCAGATATGACTGGAGAGAATCTGTGCCCTTTCAAATCCTCCTCCTCACTCGAAGCTGGCCGATATTGTTCTTCGTTGACTGTTTGGGGCTTTCGAAAGGAATTACCGCTTGGCTTATGCTGTATGGCCCGCGGAGGGAGACGACTTGCTGCAGGTGCTGTAATACGTTGTCTCGAGGGCGTCGATGCAGATAATTGATCCCTCGATGCGGTGCTTCGTAAACGTGGGTTGACGATACTATTCGTAGGTCGGGCAGGCTGTTGCTGTAAGTTTTCTCTGGAAACTGACGGCCGTGGAAGACGTGAAGGTCTAGGTAGACCGGATGGTCTTTGCTTGTTGACTGTGAGGTTGTCCATGGCTGTGATTGTGCTCGAGGGAGCAGTATTATGTTCAATAATTAATTATACGCAGCTGGAGCTATGTGAATTCGCATAAATACAGAGATGACGCTCAAAGTAAACAAACAGGTTTTCCCTGTAAACAGATGAAGGCTCGGCAGAAAAGGAAAGGGGCAAGCACAGTATTAACTACCTTCTAGTGACACAGATAGTCGTCAGTGTTTCGAAAGGAACAGACACTTTTCTTTCTTCCGTTCTTTCGTTCTTTCTTTCTGTTCATCGATCAATAGATAATTAACTGAAGTGACCGTGTCATGAGCTGCTTTTAGAACGGATCATTTATTGAAATCTCATTTCCCAGTCGGCATAGAAGCTCACGGTCATGCATGGCTCACGGTTTTTCGGAGAATAGTTTATTTTATTACCTTAGTCCAGGGGTATTTATCGCTGATTAGGAGGAACTCGGTTGCCCGGTGGGGTTCGCTATTTCATGATTACTGGGTACAAGAGTACTAGATAGGTTGGGCTGGTATATTCACAGGGTGCTTCACAGGGTTCATTACAGGGTCCTTCAAATATGTCCCATTCATAAATCAGCTTTATTGAGTAGTTCATCTGGGATAGATGATAGATGCATGCTTTGTACATATGTGCCGGTATACCTACCCCTACCCGGGTACCTACTAGTTAGATACTGATTATTACTCGTATTGCTAAAAGGTACACAACTTCAACTCTTAAAACACTAAGATATTCATCTCATGGTTGATTAGTAGTTCTTGATAGATACCTATTAGTAGGTATACCCAGCTAAGTATGTTCAGAGCTGCATACTTCCTGTCTGTATAAATACTATTGTATCATTTGGGGATTAGGTGGAGTGACTTGAGAGAAGGAGCCCGATAGAACGAAATCTTTTGTAGTGAGAAATATATAATTATCAATAACAATAAGAATAATAATCTTTTCTTTCTCTTTCTGATTGATTTAAGAATATAAGAACAACTTTGATTAAATCAGAAGTCATTCATTATATCCTCACAAGGTAAATCATATTGTAATAGCTAATTTATTATTATTATATCTATGTCTACTCCGTACAGTAGCTACTAAACAATCATCAAAATAGGCTTAGGGCAGCCTCAGCCTTCTCTCACCTTGTTCAAACTTCGACCCCACATGACCATCACCTTAGCAACAGAGCAACCCCAGCCATTTCTCTCTATCTCTGCAAATAATCGCATTGCGCAAAATAACATCCCGCCTTCAATTCATCCCTCTCTTACCCCAAACTTGACTTGCAACATTAACATATTAGTAAACATACCATATGTCATTACCATATATCAAATATACCCTAATTGCGATCGCATCTGCTACCTCGACATATCAACAGAAAATACTTCACAATTCGTCGCACGCACACTTCGCAAACGAAATAATCGCAATATCAATCCCTTCCGAACACCCACCCACATCTACCTCTCCTCAAACCGGCGCACCTTATCCCAACATCTTTTCATCTGCGATACCCAAGAGAAAGGCAATATCGGCGATCGTACAGACCTGAACAAGTTCGTGGGTCAATTCTATTAGTATTCATCTCAGCAACAAATTGAAATTCTGTAATACGTCATGAGTTGTCTATGTACTCACATTTGCTAATGTTTCAACAAGATATCCTTTCTCTATCATTGAAACCACCCACGATGGCTCCTCCTAGCTTATGCGATGATACCTCAACTCCGCCCGATGGGCCTGCCACCTTCACTCAGAGTACTTCCTCTTCTCAAGACGAAGATCTGGGCCGCCCACCTTCAACGTCCCTCATGTTAGCCAGCAACTCACAAGGAGATGCCACAGAATCCAGTCCAAATGTTTCTACAGGAGATAGCTTGGGGAATAACGTACTTGGAGACCACATATCGTCATCAATGACACCTCCACCATCATCCCAGGTGTCAAACAATCGTCATTCGATCCCAATTCAAAGAGCCGCACCAACATCTCCATCTGACCTCGGATCCCCACTTGCCACAGACTTGAGTGGAATAGGAGCAGCTTCTATTCCCGGTATCACTCGACCGCCGACTGCTCAAGAGATTGCCGACGCTTCTACGGAAGAAAAGACAGAAATGATACAGAAGTTGATTGTCGATAATATCAAGCTAGACAACGCACTTCGAGAATCTCGCATGGAACAGGCACATTACAAATTGCAAAATACCCTTCTGACCTTGGAATCCGAGGAAGATATCAAGCATTTGGAAGCAGAGCATGAACTGACCCGTCGGGAAGTTCAAGTGTTGAAGCTTGCGTACCAGGGAAGAGCTGATCCTCATGCACCAAGTCCAGAGTACGTTTCAAAGCTCAAAAACATTTGCAAGAGCCTGGAGACAGAGAACAAAACTATCAAACGTCGACTTGAAAGAGCCAAGAAAGTAATAGAGGCAAAAGAGGATCAATTGGACGCTGCTAAAGATACAAATGATCGTCTCACACAGCGTATCCGCGAGAATAGAGAGCACGTCAACAATATGCGTAGTCCCGGTCGCATATTCCATGTTTCGACACCGAAGCTATCGACCAATAGTTACCCAGTTACGCCGCAGCAATATCGCCGTACACCACATCAGACTCCCGTAAGCGGAGGTTCGATCCGTGAATCTCGCGAACATGGTCAAGAACCTGGATTTGCTGCTCTCTTAGCTGCCGCTCACCAGGAGAATAATAGTGCTCCGTCCACGCCTCTCATCGGTCAGCGTGCTGTTCCACGCACCTCGATTATTAGGCACAATCGTGGCGTTCAATCCCTGTCTTCGTTGCCTACCACACCTCCTTCGGCTCGCCCAGGCACTGCCAATTCAACACTCCTTCCCTCTGCACAATTCATCCCGCATAGTGCCTCTCGATCAGCTTACACCAGCCGCACCTTGAATATTCCACCTCACGCACGTCGACGTGAAAGTCGCGACAGCACTATTTCGGCTGAGGATGTTGAGCAGTTTAATCATTCTGAGTTCGAAGGACGTGGGCGTGGACGTGGAGATGGAGAACATGAAGGAATCCAAGAAAGTCGAGCGGCTCAAAGTGCAAATGAAATGCTCCGTGCCGATCCCCGTGAATCGTTCGAGGTTGCAGCTTCGAGAAACAACACACCAAATCCTGTTACAGCAAAAAGTGAACTTTTACAATCCAAGATCTGGGCAACTGTCACTAAGCCTGTAACAGAGAAGAGGAGACGGGATGATTATTGTGGCATTGATCATTCGAACAAGAAACCGAGGGCCACTGAACCTATTGGCCTCGCTATTGGGTACTCCGCACCCCGAATCTAAGGTCTAATTCCTTGAAATTCACCGTTTCTTTCGTAGGAAGTCATTTGTTTCTGGACAAGTTCGGCTATTTCAAAAGATTTATACAACATTCTCATCACCCGGGCACATCATGCTTTCTAGAGACGGCGTCAAAGGAAATACTAATGTATCATCATGATCTATACTAACAAGGCGTTATATCCCATCTACCTCATATATGTCCCTCTTCCATTATTTCTGAGGAGTATAAGCGTGTAGAAAATTAAGGATGGCTCAGGAGCATTATCTATCAGCAGAAATGTTCAGTTCTGATTTGTTAATGGGGATGGAAGCAAACATTCACCTCGTGAGAAATGAACAAGCGTATTTTGGCAATGAGTCGAAGTTTTGCGTAAATCAAGGAGAATTTTTGCGAAAACATTTACCAAGCAAATGGATAGATATTGATTTGAATCAATACTTTTAGAAAACTTGTGACCTTCCAAGTGACTCCAACTTTATGGTGTGTATATACCAGGTTATTATTCCAAGCTTATCCCTTACATTTGGACATGTAATACTGCTGCCATCTTTCAAACCTTTCCTAGAACATTTTTGTGCTGCTTATCTAATTATCCTGCGAACAAACGGTATATCTGAAGATTGTATTGATGTTCAATCTATATGCGTGTTTGGAATAGATAGATATGATAATGAGGCTTATTCCATACAATGCTTGATTCGATGTTTTTATAGATTTTATTAGGGCATCTTTATAAGTTTCTTGATTTCGAAATTTGTATAGGGTAATTGTGATTCGAGTTTTTGTTAAGATTCTTAATTGTTCCGATTGGGAATTAATAATTAATTATCATAATAACTTTTAATTTTTTATAAATTCAAAATATTTAAATAGTATAAGTGTAGTGGTGCACGGTTTACTGTCGTTGGATCCATAACTAATCAGACGGAGCTAGTGAATATCAATTCTTTTTGTCAGCAAGTTATTCCATCTATCTCCTTTTTATATCTTAACCACATTTAAATATAATTCAACTCCAATTTCTAAAGTACCTTATAAAGTGATCATTGTATTTTCATTCTAGATTGACAAATCAAGTCACATATTTAGTGGATACATACTCTTATTTCTGACACGTCGAAATAAAGTGTTTGCCATCTTCCTTGTCGCCCACTTTTTCCTACTAGTATCCTTATTATCATTTATCAAATCCATCTAAATAAAAATTAAAGGTACAAAACAGGCCTTTGCATTCAAACCTTTTGCATATCGTCCTACTGTACCACTTGATTGCCTCTATAGGTATCTCACTACGAACGAGTTTGTGGAGCATTATTTCTTGGTTCTACGTACCCAAGCCATCAGACTTTGCTCCCACAAGTCTGTAAGATTGTAGTCATGGAGGGCAGAGTAAATACTGGCGGGCATCCTACGAATGGGATCTCAGCTATTGATTCGATGACTTCGTTGGACGGGAACTCAAATACAGCGGCTCCTCTTCCGCCGTTTGGAAACGGGAAGGAGTATAAGAAGTTGAGTGAGGAGGAGCAGAGAAATATGTCGGCGTCTATTGCGGATATCTTAAAGCTAGAGGAGCAGGCTGGAGGGGTGGAGGAGGTGAATATGGATGATGATGCTGAAGTGGTGGTGGATGTGGAAGATAGGCAGAGGAGGACAGAAAAATTAAAGGGGGCACTGGGGATATTGGCGCACTTATGGTGGCAAGATTCAGTATCAATCAATGAAGCTGCGGAGAAACTGGCAGATTGTAGTAGAGATCGTGAGTTAGCTTTCGACTTGCAAAAACATTCCGACACGTGAAAGTTCGCGGTCTCACGTGGTCAAGTGGCTACAGTGAAATGATCAAGCATTTTGAGAATTGTATTTAGTGATCTAATATCGTTCTAATTTCGGAAATAGCTAAATGGCGAGTTCCTGTTGGAGACTCCGGCATTTTAAATTTCTTCCTCGAGTTATTGAGTACACATACTTTACGCCACGCTCTTAAACTTCAAATATTACGGTTAGTGGGAAACTCATGTGCAGATACCGGTAAGCTAAACCTCGCTGTATAATTGCACAATACTAATATCGAGATAGATGAGAATAGGGCACGTGTTGTAGGGTCAAACTACATTCCCTTGATTATCACTCAGTTATCCGATGCCAATTTCCTCGCCTTTGCAATACCAGTTCTCTTTAACGTTTGCGTCGATTATGGTCAGTACATTTGAAGCTCCAAATTACTGACCAATTACTGACTCCGCCCAGTCCCTGCTCAACAACAGGCATCTAGTTCATACTTAAGCAGGGAACTCATTACACTAATTGCGAGCCCCCGATTCAAAGGCAGCGTACATTTCCTCGGATATATTTGTAAATTGCTTGATTTGCTCATACAACAACGTATGTTTGACACTCAACCGATTCTAATGTTGAGACTGACCAAATCAAGCTTCTGAGCCAGATATGGCATCGGAGAATACTCCTATTGTTCTTTTGAAGTTGGCTTCAGATCGTGAAGATCCAGTGGACATGGAAGATTACATTGCTCTTGTGAACACCGCTGTGGCATATCTAGGACACGAAAAATTCCAGAAAATTTTGGTCAAAACCCCACAGGCGCTCGACACCGCTCTAGCGATCCTCGTTGATTCATACACACGTTTTGATTCTCATCCATCAATCGGTTCCTCGACAACGCACGAGGACGATGGAAAGGCATTGTCGCAGATGCGTATCAATCTAAATTCGGCTTTGTCCGATATTTCAGCTTTACCGGAGTTTAAGGAGGCATGCCCTGTTGTGTCACCATTCTCTTCTTTTCTCCGCCGATGGTTATCAAGTGAACAAGTTCAATTACGAGTTTGTGCTTGTATAATGTTAGGTAACCTTGCTCGTAATGATGAAGCTTGTGAGCTTTTTGTACACACAGCTCGTGTCCATACTCCCCTGATCTCAATACTCAAGGACGTTAACGATTCACAATTACTCCATGCGGCTCTTGGATTTCTCAAAAATTTGGCTTTGCCTATGAAGAATAAAGAAGTGTTGGGAAGCTCCGGTATTTTCGAAGTACTTCCTAGATTATGGCTTCTTGATATTCTTCAACCAATTCAATTATCATCCATATCTCTCACTCGCCAACTTGTCAATGGTTCTATGGAAAATGTCAAGCGAATTTGCGCACGTCTTTCAACGGATGAGGATTCACCAGCTCATGAACGTTCAAATCTTTCACTCTTGATCGCCTTGTTCGATCGCACTGATGTAGAACCTATCGAAATGGAAATTTCCCGTCTAATTACCGCCGTATGCCGAGTCTTCACAGCTTATAAAGGTCGGCCGGCCGAAGAACTAAACGAAATTCGAAGAAAATTTCTACTCCGTCATCCTGATATTGGACGACCTTTGAGTTTCATGGTCTCTCAGACTAAATGGCCAATTGTCAGAAGTGAAGGATGGTTTGTTTTTGCACTTATGGCTAGATATCCAGATAGTGCGCAATGCATCAGTGATATGATGCAGGATGTTACCGTTTTCCAACCTCTCGTCGAAATGCTCACTGGCAAACCACTCTTAGAATATAAGGCCGCTCCCGCAACAAACACTCTTTTGCCAACCCCGCAAACCGATACGGACACTTTAGGCGTGGAACCCCAAACTCCCGAGCCAGAGCCTGTACAGCCGCATGCACAAGCGGCAGAGATGGCACGTATTGACCGGGAAAATGCCCTGGTGCTCGTTAGTGAATTATTGAAGAATCGAGGTAGCGAAATGGCAGTTATGAGGCGCACGCTCTTTGAGGATTTGTTGAAAGGTGGTGGGGAGTTGGTGATGACTTATAGGGAGGCAAAGGAAGAGGGTGGAACTGCGAGGTGGAGGGAGTCGGATGATAAAGGGGCAGGGATGAATTTACAGGAGGTTGCCATGGAGAGTATGCGTGAGCTTTCTTAGGGGAGGGAAGGGGAGAGGATAGGATAGTGGATGTGGATGTGGATGTGACTAGATACTTTTAGACTGATAGCTATGTATAGGGATTTTGAGGTATTATTTGATAGGAATAAAAAAAATTTATAGTGATATTTTTGATTATTATATTGATTGATGTATAAAAATAAATAGTTTTTATGAATTATATACTTGTGACGCCCCACACCTCCGGGTCACGTGACATGCCCCGTTTGTATTTAATCACAGGAAAACTCTCTACTCTTGTTCAAAACGATGGCTACCCCAAGCCCCCCAAACCTCTCTAAAACACTTTCCGACAAGGCCAGCAACCTTCTCAATAAGGTCAACGATGCTCAATCCATCTTCAACCCAGTTACCCAACTCCTAGATACCTACCTAGGCTCTGAGGAAGTCCGCGCTCTCCCACCGAGTTCACAAAAACTCCTCACCTCCCTTTGCCTTGAGTTTAAGGCAACCATCGAACAGCACTTCGACACCTTTGTTACTGGTCATCCCCCCCCCTAAAGGAGCTACTACTCCGCTTGTCACCCCCCTTTCCCTTTCTTCCCCTTTAATCACCACTCATACAAATACACCCACAATGTTTATAGGCCCCAAGCCCTCTTACATTCAGAAAGCCTCTACTCCAATCATTGCCCTCACAAACAAGATTCCCTCCAATAACCGCTTATTCATACAAATCAACCAAATACACCCAGCCCGAAGCGCTGGATCTTTTGTAATCCTCACAGCCCTAAAGAAAGTCCTCGGACCAAACGCCTCCCTTTTAAGGGAGGTCCAAAAGGTCAAAACAGGCTTCGCTCTCTGTACCAGCTCAACAACCAATTTATTAGCCCTTGAAAAACAGAAAGCCATTATATCATCCGCAATCGGAGACTGCAAAATTGAGGCCCAAGAGAAATGGACCATTTACCGTCTAAACTACGTCCCCAAGGAAATCACTATCTTCAATGATCAATTCAAAATAGACTCTATTTTAATTACAAAAGATACAATCTCCAACACTATAAAGGAATACTCTGATCAGGTGCTTACTCATATTATCCAATCCCAAACGAACCCCTCATCTAATAAGTATTACTCAACATAGATAGTAAGCTTCAAAACAGGAGCAGAACCACTCAAAAAGAACCTGAAGATTCTAGGGGCCAACATCAGCATATCCCTTCTAATACAAAAACCAAAGATCACTCAATGTAATTGTTGCTTTCAATGACACAACGCAAGAATATGCCTCAAATTACAAATCTATCACCTATATAGTTCGGGAAAGTATACAGAGAGCAATCATACTACCAATTATAGCATTGAACATATATGCCCACCCAAATGCCTTCACTACAACAGCCCCCACTCTGCAAATGACCCCAAATGCCCCCTTCGCCCACAAGGGAGAGAAAGGAAATCAAAATCAGAACACTAAACAATCTAGAAGATATACCTCGAAAACAGAAACTCTATTTATATAAAGACTGGATACTCAAAGTTATTATCTGATGTACAAATGACCGACTTCCTTACCCCTTTCTTCCCCTCGGACCAACTTAGGCCAAGAACCTGTCACACTCAAGAATACTGGGTAAAGTATCTTGTATTAGAAAATACTAAGCTAAGGAGAAAAGAAGAAGGAAAACAAGAGTAGAGAGTTTTCCTATGATTAAATACAAACGGGGCATGCCACGTGACCCGGAGGTGTGAGGCGTCACAGAACCCCCACCCGCCTATTCAGCTTCACCCACTCCACAACCTTCTTCAGCATCCGCTCCACTAATCGATTTACAGCAATCGCTAACCCAACCTTTATTTTATTTAATGAACTATAAACTATTTATAATAACCCAAACTAATATAGATAAAAAAAGGATCTTATATGATCTCACCCTTAATCTAGCAAACATAGATCAAATTGATATCATCACAATCCAGAAGCTATATATATACAAAGATACCTTAAGAAAAATCACCAAAACATACCTTTTCTACAAAATCTTTATTTCAATAGATAATTAAAAGGATACTCCCCAAATTCTGATCTATATCAAAAAAGGAATCGGAATACGAATCAATCAAATTAGGCCTATAATCTCACAAGACCTAATCTTTATACAATTACTCTCTATAAACAACTCGATATTTATTATCATAAATATATATAATGCTCCAATATAATATATAGATGACAATCAAGTTATCACTTCAATTTTCGAACTACAAAGATTCCCAACAAACGCTATCCTATTAAGTGATCTCAACCTCCATTACCCCAATTAGAATCCTCTACACCCCTCCCCTTCAGTACTAGCTGAATCCTTTGTGGAATGGTCCAATTCCCGAAACCTACACCTCATCTCCCCAATCGGGATCCCTACTCATACAAAAGAGATGTTACGACGGATCTCACATACCTAACATCACGTGATTAGCATCATGTGATATGAGGATCCCAGTAGGCTCAGCTGTCCCAGTTGTACTGGGACAACTGGGAGCACTGGGACGCATGCCACGATGGTCTATATAATCAAGATGGATTTCCTTTGTATAGAGCTTCGTGCTCAAGATCAATCATTTAGTATACTCTACTATTAGTTACGAATTGCATTATTGTCATTACTTTAAGTCCTTGCTTAACACCTAGTTATAAACCATCTCGAGAGCCTAGAGCACTTCCACATGATCTAGACAGCAAACCTTGTAACAAGTATTTATATTTATTTCTTTATTATTTATTATTTATTATTTATTATTTATTATTTATTATTTATTATTTATTATTTATTATTTATTATTTATTATTTATTATTTATTATTTATTATTTATTATTTATTTAATTTATATATATTTATATTTATATATTTTTTTTTAATAAATCTTATTTTATTTTATTCTTATTATTGATTTATATTAAAACTCTAATCATCTATTTAATGTTCTTTTTGTTAAAGTGAATGGTTCCTGCGTAGCACGTGCACAGGGCACTAGTCCTATTAGGACTAGATTGAGAAGCTCTCTGTAAGAGAGCTTCGCACTTCCGTAGAACTTAGAAGAGAGGTTAACCTACTAGACCAATATTACCTCAGTTCTGCCCTATCAGCTTCCCACTATTCCCTGTGTGAGGTCATTCCTTTTAACATTTTTTTATAATTTTAATAAATACATAAATAAAAAATACTTTAAATATATATTTCAAAAAAAGTATTAACTATAATACTCTTTAAATTATCATCATTTTTCCTTTATCAATTTTGATTTATTCTCATCGACTTTTAGTATCAGCCTTCATGACACTTCATCGGCCTCTCATCATCACCTACATACCCTCCCTATAAATACATCAATTTACAAATAGCCCCCTCCCCTCCCCTTCTACATCAAGATCAACATCAAGAACAACAATAACATCACTCATCCCCGCCAATCACAAATAATCACTCTTTTTGTAATCTAATCGCGATTAATTATAGTATTATATTCCATCTAATTAGTCGTAGGGAATAATCATGACTCATTCATCATACATCAAGACTCACTCCCGCAGCCCCAAGACCTAAGCCCCAAGCCTCATCATCTATATCACAAAATAAAATAAAATAAAATCCACAGAGCACAGCTTGAAACCAACCCGCATATTTACATTCTCCGCGCCTCGGGATTCGTTTTCTTCCTCTCCCCCAAGATTCGCTAGGTGTAAATTTTTCTTGTATTTATACTGTGGAAATATGACGGATAATTATGGGATATAGTGTTGATGAGTGGGTGGGTGGCGCTGAAAAATATATATATATAATTATACATATATCGCTAGCTTATTTAGAAATAGTTTTTAAATACCTATTATTATTATTATTTATAGATTCTTTGAATTTATTTCTTATTGATGGGATTTGATGACTTGACTTTGAGTTGAGTTGAGTATATTTTGCTTTTGTGTGTGTGTGTCTGGGTGGTTTGGTGGTAGTAATTAGAGCTAGGTGGGTGGGTGGGAAATCATATTTTGATGTGGATTTGCTTATATATTTAGCTGTTCATCTATCTGTTTATCTATCTATCTATCTATCCATCCATCTATCTCTACATCTATCTATACTTCGTTCAAGATTGATAGATTGATTGGAGGAAAAGGACATTCGGGAAGATTTCTACCTAATCTTAAGCGTTGTAGGTTACATGGATTTTTACTTAAAACTGAAAAGTTTGAGTTCCTGCGTTTTTCGTTTAGTTCCATTATCATATCTTCTGTGAGCTTAGTCTAGAAGTATCATGATATGTAGTTTTATACTGGTCAAGACGTACCTATCTAGGACATCAACCGTATGCCCTTAAAAAATATATCCACCTAGCACTCTTATTTGTCTTCACTCTAGTATCGTAGAGTATCAGATTCATGATAGGGGTAGACTTGCCACGGGTAGTCGATGGTGACGAATGGAAATTTTCAGCTCTGAGTCACTGTTGCCACTTATTCGCACCACGGTGACGAATATATCTCGATACGATGCACTGCCACTCCATGGAAATGGAAATGGAAATGGCAAATAGCTATTGGGTATCTCAAGTCCGTTTTTTCATCGCCCTGTTGAGCCACCTAGCCCAGGGCTACGATAAAAAAATCTATGAAAAAGTGGCAAATGAGAAATCTGTTGTACATTGGGGGTTTGCCCCTCCGATGTTCCACAATGAGATGATGTCTTCCCAGGTAAACCTGCGCGTGCAAACTTGGACACCTAACATCTCGTTAAAACTTGGAGTTGTCTAGTTTCAAGGACGATATGTTGGTTCGCAAGCCAAGGGTGAAGTTGTGCATCGGAATCGGGAGGAGTTACGATGATTGGTACTCAACACTTAATGATCTCTGACTCTAATGACGATAAGACTCTAACGGGTGCTCATCGAGATACCAAGTACAGTGCTTGACCGTTCAGTTCGAATCGAATCAAAATTCAAACGCCATATGCATCTGTCTAGACAACATTATGGCGATTTGGTAGTACCAGAAAATGCCATGTATCTAGGCGCTGTACGAAAAGGGCAATATACCCCTCCTTCGTCAGGTCACTGTACGAAGCAAACCTTGAAAATGTCCGAAATGAATACAACCCGTTCAATAATGGAGTTAATCACAACGATGAGCACTGACTCAATGGCAACGTGACATGTGCGAATTCCCTTTAGCACGGGATATTCTCGTTTGGGATAACACCCCACAAACCGAACCTCGCTTGATTACTTCGGCTGAACCGGTGGAACCCGCCGCATTTCTTCCTATCGCAAATCATCGTTTGCCTTTCGACCGATTAATATGGAGGGTGACAGATACATCCACCTGACTGGTTTTTGATTGTGACTGTAACTGTGATAGTGATAAAAGTTATAGTAAATCAACTAAGGAAAGACTAAGCATTCGGAAAACACGTGAAAGAGTTTCCTTCCGCCATACCCAGCTTTAACGGGAATGGCTGGATAGGAGGCGCCATCTGCCTCGAAGTCTTGACCCCTTCCCAAAAAGCAAACCATTTTCCTTGTTTCGCCTGGCCATCCGTTTATTTGTATTTTCGGATTGAGGCTGAACGAGTATCACTGTACCACCGCCACGTTCCGAAAATATCGGATAAGATGAGCCAAAAAAGACATGAAACGCGGGTATCCTATAATCCGAGGACACTCCTCCCATTGTGTGACGTATCATATTGTTTGGCCCCCACAAACAGCAAAACATTGCAATATTGAGCGAAAAGACCAAAGTACCAATTTGTGTGGTAGGAAATGTCTCATGAGGCTGACACTTTCATAGCACCCAAAGTTGCGCAATAATTTTGATTGGTTGTGTTTTTGTGCCCCTCAATGCGCCTCTTGAATCCGATGACCCATCTTCAGCCCAGATCTTTCGCCCGTAAGGAGAAACTGCCCAAACGGCTACAACAGGTTAAAATAATTTCTTTTTGGGCAGAAATAGATTTCTATCGTCATACCCACCTATGTAATTTTCCCTTTTCCCTTTTGCTCTTTTTGCGGCAAATGTGAAAAATGATTTTCTGTATTGTAGAAATTTTTCATGTCTTGGAGAGGAAACTGGAGGGGTGAAAAAGAAATGGTTATTTTTTTGTCAAGGCTTTTTAAGACCTTCTCTGTACAGTGCGTCATTCAACATACATATTGGGCCTTCCGTTGTACGACACGTGTGCATAGACCGCCTTATACATCGTTTGGAAGAGCCTTATATGTATGGAAAATTGAAAATTGATGCTATCGATGCAAGTGAGAAAGACTTTTCTCTTTAAGTAGTAGGTCGATAATCTGCGTACAGGCCGCTTAAGAGTCCCAGCCAATGTTCGTACACAGGGTACTTGATGGTACATCTTAACGGGAAGCAGCACAAGGGGTATGTTCTCGCTGCTTGATCCTGTACAACGTGCTTCTCGCAAGACTAGGACTCTTTCAACGAATGAGATTGGAGAATATGCAGAACAACAGAGAGCTCTAGCCACTCATGATTCAGAAGTACAAAAGGAGAGGCTCCTTTCATGCATATCAAGTAAGGGAGTCGATCAAGCAGTGAAAGAAGATAGATAATAGAGACGGTGAAGGGAATTCAAGTCAAACTGACTCAAACTTGAAGTAGCATCCACACACCGAAAGTTTGAATGAGAATTCTGCCAAAAAAATCAATAATTGAGAAGGAGGGCTTGACACAAAACGGTAGCTAGAAGGACACGAAGTAACAGTCGAAGGTGTGATGGGTATCACCGCCATCGTGTTGATTGTATAGATGTTGGTGGATGATTTGTGAAGAGGTACTTTTATGTAGCATAATATATGAGAAGTAAACAATTGATTTTGATGAAGATTCGGATAGTTGAGGTACCTGCCTACTCAACATAATCAAACATAATCAACAAAATGTTAGTTACTCAATAGACGATGTTGTGGTACTTTGCACTCTTCTCATTAGGGTTAACCTTAGGTCTACTAGGTAGTCTAATCTTCTAATCTTGATTTGAATGATTGAATGATTGATGCCTGTGAAAGTTATGAAAATGCGAGATTACATCCATCCCCAAGAGAATCCGCCGCAGTGGAAATTTGAATTAATTGATTTCTCCGCCCAAGTCTCATTTCTCATTTGATGTTGTAAAAAGAAGGTCCCGTAAGTCTGCAGATAGAATGCATGAAAGAAGCATCTTTTGATATGCATTTAATACCACTTTATTGATATGATCTTCCTTGTCCTATGAACCTGTTGGTTCTAGTTTCAATTCAAACTTTCTGTATGAAATCCATTCGCAATCAGTCGTGATCATCTTTTTTTTTATTTTTTAAATGTTGTGAAATGATATAAAATCCAAACCCTTTTTATTTAGGCTTTTTGTACCTCCAATAAATCGTACCGTAATTGAAGAGATTTCCCTTTGCCGTCATACGGAAACGAAAATTAATACTTTTAAATGATGAGCAGCGTGTGATTAATTGAAATGACATGGTAGACATGGTCGTATCCTTCAATGAATCCGTGACATCCAAAGAAGTTCGTACGGTGTATGATATCCTCCGAAAATCATGGACTGGGGTGAAGGGTGGGAGAAAGGCCGAGTTATAAAGAATTGGACGAGGTCTGTGAAAATGCAACCTGTGAAATTTGATTGGAGGGAATGGATGGGCGAAGTGATAAAATCAATTGGCTTTGGCTCGTTTGGCTGTTTTTGGCTCTCTGCTCAGTGCTCACCCTTTATCTTCAAGGTTTATGGTCTTCACGCACAGGGGATAATTAATTTCATAGACCGGGTCCCGCCCCTGGAAACCCTGTCTAATACTACAAATCCATGAGAACATGGAGATGAAGAGACAAGGAGCATCGATGAGCAATGAGCTTGTAGGAAACGGCGAGGAACGCCTGGGGATTATACTCTAGACCTAAATTGATTACTTCACTCACTACCAGAAGGGGAGGGTAGTGAATATATCTTTCCATGTGATGCTCTAGGATACTCCGGACATCTATATTGGGAATTGGAGAATGATCCAAGGAAGAGAAGAGGGCGGCGGGACTTTGAGTCACAAGAGAAATTGATTTTCGACCTTTAGGAGAATGTGTGCAGGAGGTAGGTAGGTAGGCAGGCAATACTCAGAAGATAGTAGGCACAATGAGGAATGGGATGGATGGGGTACATATTGTATTACACACCTACAAGTGAAATTTATTACTCTTATCAGTTCCAAATGAATCTCTCTTACTGTTGTAACTGCTGTAACTGCTGTAACTGCTGAACCACTAAACTGCTAAACTGCTGTAACCCAACCGTTCTGAACATCCAAAACATCCAAAACATCGATAACCTCAAATCACGCTCAAGCTTCCTGCCCAACATATCACGAAATGGCCCCTCTTTTGTATACGGAACCTACATGCATAGAAGTGCAGTTTAGCAGCACGTTAACAACTTTTCACATATCCTCGTCTTGTATTCAGGAGCCCTCCCTCTTCTGTATGTGAGACTACATCCATAACCAGTCACCCTATCATCACACCCGGCTCTCCGGAGAATGGAAATATCCGTGTAACTTTACATGACCTTTGTTGGAATTGATTGCACGGTATTGATTCACTTTGCGTACGTCCAAAGGGTTCCCAAGTGTAGCCAGAGACAAGGTTGTGCTCAGTGCTCCATGCCATGCTCCATGTTCAATGCTCGATGCTCCATACTCCAAAGCTCGCAACGCAACATCCACCAGCGAAGCGATTCCAGCCCCTCACCTTCTTATCAACTGATGGCCTTGACTCGACCACCGTTGTCTCTCTTCCTGGAGTAATCCTTCAGTCAATAAATAATTATACCTGGACAATATTGACATCTTTCGTAATCAAAAACTCGATATCACGATTGCAATTTGTCCAATTAAATTCGCCACGCTGAAAGGGGGAACGAATGGATAAACGGACGCCGGACGGATAGGTTCAGCAGAGATAACTACCTAGTAGGCAGTAGCTAATAGGTACAGGAGGACAGGTAGATATTAGGTAGGTAGCTTGAAGAGAACAAACAATGCATGGCCTGAGCAATCCGATCTACTCAACATCACCATATCCATCCTTCTATCTCTTCTTATTACTTAAGAACTCTTGAGGAAAACACCTCTAAAGAACCAATTTTGTACATCATCATCAAAACATTACACATCATACATATCATACCGTATTACGATGAGCAAATAATCCAAAAGTTTCTTTGATTAATCATTAAAAAATCCCAGAAATTCAATTCAATCCAATTCCATCCGACTCGTTTTCCCAACAAATCGTCATCTTCAAAGTTCAAGGTTTCCCAATATTCAATCTCTTTCCAATTTCCCACATCCTTGAAAGTTCGTTCCTATCCCATCCACAATTCCCGATCTTCGATTTTCTCCGCTATTCACTTTACGGCATCGCGAGGAGCCTCGGCAACTGGATGACTTCTTCCCCGTTGAACCGTTGATATCTTCCAAGTTCGTTCTTGGGTAATGAAGTAAGTAAGAGGTAAGACTACTCCGTACCTAGTACCTTGATCTAAAATAATAAACAAGCCAAAGCCACGAAGATCTGTGCGTGCGCCGTGGAGTCTTTTCAAGCCGGCGTCTTTTACTCCGTAGAAGGTTTTAGATTTTGTCCACTTCTAATCCAGCCCCGAAGCTTTTTCTTCGCATGGAAATCCAAACTGTCTCTCTTCAATTTCGCTAGAGGAGACTTACTTTTCTAAGATAAGTCTCTGGCGGGCAAAGGCTGATGAGGGCTCCCACAGTGCCACTTTTCATCTCGCCCCAGCTAGGTCCCCTTGAAGCAAACTTTAAAGCATCAATCCAGGGGGAGAAAGAATCTCTGTCAACCTTCCGCCGCAGGGATTCTTCCGGATTCATTTTCTCATACCCGTGATACCATGATACCATGCCCGGCCGACACACACGATTACCGATTACGATAGAGGATTGTTCCAGATAATCCCATCAGCAGCAATTTGCACATTCTCATCGAATTTGAAGAAAGTTGTAACCAATTATCTTATTCGTCCAAGATCTATATCTCCGAAAGTACCAGGAAGAGTGTTTGTCATAGTGAGGAGACTGGAAAAGGTTGAAGCGCAAAGACACAACACAATACCAACAAAATACAACAACGCAACGCAACGCAACGCAACATAATATACATAACATAACAAGAACATTCGGAAACGTTTGCAGAAAGGCATTTCGAGTTGTATCTTTTGATATCTATCCTAGGTACGTGATGTAACTGTCATTCTCCTTGACTTTCCTCCTCACTGTCCACTTCTTCTCTTCTTCGTTTTGTTCCCTCCGCCGACCGCAGTCAGTTATCTGTAACTCTCTGCTGTACTCATCACACCTTACCAATCAATCCATCTACTTATCAACACACATCCCACTTTGTTCTACCAATATCCATATCATCATTATTACTCGTACTTCTTGTACTGTACTGCTGTATGTATCAGTATTACTCACAATTACTATCTTTAACTTTTTCATCCACTCTCACCAACTCACCACTTGTCAAAAAATGATATTCATTCAATCGATATGTTCTGGAGAATAAATGCGCAGCACCGCCATTTTGTTTTATTTATTTTATTCTTTGCTTTTCTTGTCTTTCATCGCCTCTTTTCCATCGACTGATTAATACGAGAGTAACATGATCGCATTCCAAGATCTAGATGGGAAAACAAGATATCTTTGATACTAATTCGAGTCTAGGATGAAATACCATACACGAATTAATCAACTAAGTAATTAATCAAATTATTGATTTATTTTTATTTTTCCCTTCTGGGATAATTCTTGTTCACCCTTGTGGCTGATGAATGAGCACAGAGTCATCATTTGAATTAAAAAAGAACTTTGCCAACCTTGTCCTGCAATCCACTGCACACTTGCACTGCGCTGCACTGCTGCAGCCAACACACAAGCCCAACTGAACTGAGTTGGGTGGGAACTCTACCCGAAAGGAAAAAAAAGAGGGCAAAAAAAGGGCAAAACAAGGGCAAAAAAAAAAAGGAAAAGGAAAAAATAATTAATTTCTCTATCCCTGGCTTCTTTCCCTTCCAAGAACGACACTACGCACTACAGTCTTATAACGCACGCACACATACACGCACACTCCCACCTTAATCAACAGAAATTACCCGCACACACCTAAATTTCCAATATTAAAATACACGAACTCCCCCAACCTCTCACAATTTTCTCCTCGATCGAATTTCTATTCGAACAAATCTTGAAAAAAGATATTTGGTCACAATCCCCATGAAACGAAGACAAATACCACTACATATAAACGACTACCAATATCTCAAACAGAAATCTCTTGCATTTCTATTTCGTCTAGCTTATTCCAGAATATTCGAAGTCGAGATAATTATTTCGACTCCGAATCATCGTCATCGATATCCTCACTGAAGGAATCATCAAGTAATTATTGACATGTGTGGATCAACGATAAAGGTCTCTCCTCCTTCTCGTACCGACTACATACCACGGTGACGGGCTTGTCACATTCTGTCGCGTCTTCGATCCATTGGCGCGAACATCTAGACCTTTTTCGTTCTTCCATTCTCCTTCTCAACCTTTTGTCCTTTGAGGATCCTTTCGTATCTTCTCAGGATTCATCACAACATATCTAATAGGATAACATGTCCTACTCATACGCTACACCCGGCCATTCCGGTGCCGCTTATTACGGCTTCTCGACCAGCACTACTCCATCGCCTGCTGGTTCCCCATCTGCATCCCCAGGATATTCCTCACGAAACCCATTCCGAACCCACTCTCGACACGCAAGTTATGCAGATACTTCTACTTACAGACCATCTGCTACTGAGGCGAGGCCATTCTCCCCTAGATTTACTTCAAACGGATATTACGCCACTGGTGCTGGTCCAAATGTGAGTCGAAACAAAAGTTCTTGGTCATCACCGCCGCCGTGTCATGAGACGAAGCGTCCGTATTCTTACTCCCATCGAACCCCTCATGGGGCTGCCGAGGACGACGAATATTATGAATATTTAGAGGAAGTGGACGGGACAATATATTTGTGCAGAGTGCCTCGTCGATCGGCGGCGCACACAACTTACAAATATGGTAGTCATGGTACTGATAAATATTACAACCAGAGCCCCAAGTATGCTGAAGACCCTGAGTCATCGCCATACAGACATCGTCGACAAGCTTCAGCTGCATCTACACCCCAACGACCAGCGACCACTCGACCAGGTGCGACTCGACCCACAGCCACACCATCAAGGAGTAAACCTCAACCGCCCCCAGAAAAGGCAACCGAAGACGATGCGCGCCGGCATCACATTCCACCCGGTTATTCTTTGAAGAATTGGGACCCTACCGAAGAACCTATCATGCTTCTCGGTAGTGTTTTTGATGCGAACAGTCTTGGTAAATGGATTTACGATTGGACTGTCTATCATCATGGTCCCGCCACCCCACTATCTGACATGGCCGGTGAGCTATGGCTTTTACTCATTCAACTAGCCGGCAAGGTCAAGCGCGCGGAGGAATGCATGCCACGTATCCGACAACAAGATAACCGCGAGATGGTTGAGGATTTCATTGAATCCGGAGAACGCTTGACGGATAAACTGAAGAAGTTGCTTAAGGCATGTGAAGCACCCATGTTGAAGGCTGGTCGAAGTGGAACCAAGTCTACGACAACACAACTCGGCAAGAATGCCGGTACAGAATTCGTCGATTCAATCTTCGGACGCGATAGACAACTTGAACAGACCGAGAAGTTCATGGCATCAGTTAGATTATGGAATATGCGATTCGACGCCAACTGTGAAGAAATTCTCCGTAAGCCGGGTCAACATGCTTAAAGACAACGTCAACAAACCAAAAAATAATAATATTATGGATCATACATAACGGATTAGAGTGAGGGAATTTCTTTAATTCTTCCATCTCGATTTCTTACGAACCATACGATACCCATGAGACCAGTATGAATGTGTTCTCATTTGCTATAAGGGGGCGGTCATTGTAAGATTAAAAAGGATGGTTTACAAAGGGAGGCGCAAGCCAAAACTTTCCGGTTCAGTCAGGCATTGGGCGGGTTTTTTTTAAAAGAAAAAGATTACATTTGCATGTTGGACATGGCATGTTTATTACGGCGGATTGGGAAAAAGTTTGTGCATTTTCCATAAGCATTGGAGATTGTTAATTAAAGGATTGTTAGTCAGCTGGATGGATGGATGGTCTTGTTTGTTTTTCACTTCTCAAGAATTTTATGGTTTTTCAAGAGATGCGGCGGGATTTTTTACGCATTTACGGGAAAGGGATGGATGGAATGGGGGAAGGGAATTTCAATTCAACATTTGTAATAGTAGTTTTTAGTAGTTCTATGGGGGAAGGCATGGTTTGCTCGCTGGCTTTGGCCTTTGCTTTGGCGTTTGTCCATGACATGGCACGGGGATGATCTCGAGAGATGAATCATCTGGATATACCCTTCATACAACATTTGTTGATGTATTTTTTTTATAGCTTTTGTCATTCATTGACTGCTTCGAATAGTTTCATTCACAATTCTAGGAAAGAATTTTCTCTTCTGTATTTTTGGGATGGGATGGGGATTTTGAATTTGTGTATTGTGATTGTAAGGTATTTGATTGTATGATGTAGTACGTATTATAGTGATGTGATGATATGATAATGTGATGTTATTTAGATATATATATCACTTATTTTGTAGATTGATTATTCTTTTACTACTTTTTGGTTTAGAAGTTGATGATGGATGACTTTTTTGAAGTTTCTGAGATGTTGGGTGGGGTTTCTTTTGTAAGTGGGTAGATTGATGAATGAATGGATTAGTAGATGTGTAGATGGAGATATAAATTGAATATACAAAAAAAAATTTAACTTGAAAATTGTCACACTCAAGAATACTGGGTAAAGTATCTTGTATTAGAAAATACTAAGCTAAGGAGAAAAGAAGAAGGAAAACAAGAGTAGAGAGTTTTCCTATGATTAAATACAAACGGGGCATGCCACGTGACCCGGAGGTGTGAGGCGTCACAAAAATAGTATAATAAAATAAATTTTTTAATGAATAAGATTTGATTAGATTTGATTTGATTTATTTTTTATATATTATATTATATTATATTATATTATATTATATTATATTATATTATATTATATTATATTATATTATATTATATTATATTATATTATATTATATTATATTATATTATATTATATTATATTATATTATATTATATTATATTATATTATATTGTTACGACGGCTTCGGATCTCGTATCATGTGACCAATTATGTAATCACATGGTCCCTTCGATCCCCTCGGTCTCTTGATCGAAGGGACCGAGGGGACCAAGGGGACGATTAGCATGAAGGTCTATATAACCAAGATGGATTTCCTTTGTATAGAGCTTCGTGCTCAAGATCAATCATTTAGTATACTCTACTATTAGTTACGAATTGCATTATTGTCATTACTTTAAGTCCTTGCTTGACGCCTAGTTATAAACCACCTCGAGAGCCTAGAGCACTTCCACGTGATCTAGACGGCAAACTTCGTAACATATATTATGTTATATTATTCAATTAAATAGTTACTGTAAAGGAGTGTTTTTTATCTATGACCAGTACCTAGTGTTCTATTCATTCTATTGTCGAGTTCCGAGATTACATATAAGACTTACCATACCATACCTGCGAGACTATTTATTTGTGACCACCTTCTCGGAAGAGGATGGAGTATGCTGTGAGGTGCATCTTACCATGTATGTATATATGTATGTTGCTCATCATTACACACATTTATAAATCTTAGGAAAGAAAACAAACTAGAAAAGGTAGAAAGAAATGGATGGATTTACTTGCTATTACCCCGCTTCTTCTTACAGTCAGTCAGTCAGTCAGTCAGTCAGTCAGCGGAGTTGGTTTGGTTAATGTTATATTATTGTTGGAATTGCTGATGAAGGACCACGCTCACCACCCCACTTTGTAAGCGTAACTTACCATTTATCTATCTATCTAGGTAGGTATCTATCTACTGGTGACAGTATAGTATCACCAACATCACATAAGATTTTACTCTTTTTAGATGATTTTAATTTTTAATTTTTGGGAAATGATACTGTAATGAGAATGATAGATTAATTGAGGCTTTTTCTTTCCCCTTTTTAGATTGTTTCTTAAAATGTTGTGTTCTTCCCAAAGAAATGATGGGTGCTTCCTCTGACTCGCCGTCTGCATTGTGGATTGCGGGTGCAATGATATATGTATGTATGAGTAAATGTTGTGAAGCATTCATTTCGGGCCTTCCTTGCTCGGGCTGACTATCGTGGAGCACGAGCCTTATCAATGCTTTGTGTTATCTATCTGTGTTTTATGTTTATACTTTTGTTCTCTTTGGGATGTAGATATCTAAATGTCTGAGAATGTGATGTTGATGCAGCGCTTAGAGCTGGAGGGAGGAATATGGATTGAATATCATTGCCCGAGGAAAAGAAGCGTTTGGTGCGGGATGTATCTTTGTAGATAAGAGCTGAACATAGTACTAGTACTGATGGGCTTGGAACCGTTAGTTATGTTCCAGCTATCGCGGTTAGATAATGATATGATTGGATCATCTCGGATGTTTTGTTAGTTATTCAGCACTGTTTGTGATGAGCCAGGAAACAGCCTTTCGATAATCTGATCCATCATTAGAGTATTTTGAGGAGTAATAAAAACTTGGATCTTTCTTGCGCCAATCCTATCAATATCACATGTATATTTAGGCTTCCGTCAATTGGAACCCTAGCATCATCATGATGATGTATGGCTTTCAATGATGAGATGGAATGGTAAGGAAAAGACGGATGATGGTAGGTTAATTGGATAAATCCCAAAACATATCTCTGTGCTTATGGTTGCACAACATTCGATACTATCATCCACACATTTCTTTGGAAAAGCTGTGCCTCTCCTCAGCACAACATGCTCAATAACGTAACGAACTATTTATAGTTCATCATATGTAAAATCTATTCAACAGCCACAAGCTGTGCTTTGAGCGAGGTAAGCAACGGAAGGGTTGCAGTATCTGACCCGCAGCAGGGCGTAGTAGATGACGATTAATGTGCGTTATAATAAGGAAAGGAAATGGGTAGAGCCAGCCCTATTAGGTAGATTATATTAGTATTAATGAAAAAGGATTCAAATATCAAAAGTTCTGACAATAAATGACAAGGATGTAGAAGTTGTTGAACGTTTGGATTTAAGGATATTTAGGCGGGACCTAGCTTGGTCTGTGTCCGGCTAGTACCAGAAGCTAAATTAGTGTAGGGTAGGTGCATCGATAAGCGGATAGGAAGAAATTGAAAGGAGGGGGAAGATTTACCATGTTTCTAGTGCATGCAAAGAAAATTTCTTCTACATTACTGGTAATATCTACCGCTCTTTCAGCATTCTGCCATCCAGCACGACACGACGTAAACCAGAACAACGGAACGGAAAGGTTAGTTGCGGAACGTGAAACGTTGGACATAAGAGGCAAGGAAGGGAGGGTGCGTGATTTGTGTGAAAGAGGCTAGTAAGCAGAGGACTTTGGGGGAATGCATGGGATTGAGGGCGTGGATTGGTATATTTGTTAATGTTACTGAGGTAGTGCATACGTACTACGGTATATGTATATGCAAGAAGGGTTAAACGGCGACTAAGAAAATTTCTGGGAAATACCTTGGTATATGTGGTGACAAACGGGAGTTTCGGACTGAGCAATTACCGTGCTGGGCTGAGACATACATCTCTACATACCGCGCCGCAGGATCAGGAGTGTGATAACGATTACGAAAGTGTTGGAGCGTTGGAACGAGGAATCAGCCTGGGAGGCTGAGGGATTAAGTTAGCCTTGTGGATTTCTACAAGGCTGTTATCTTCACGTTTTGTGGATCGAACGTTCCTTCGAGCAGATATAGGTCGCGACATTATATCATGCATTACATACGGTTATTCAAACAGCCTCGTCTGCCGCCCGTTTCATCGTCCACTTCCTCCTCTTCTCCTCGAGTATTATCTGCGAAGATTACTATTACAACAGATTTGGGGGAATCGTTCTTAATGTCCGATGTTAAAATACGTGCGGATATAGAGGTTGATGGGGTTAGTGTTGGGATTGGGAAAGAATATATATGGAAGGGGACAAATGGGATGAGGAGTTTGGAGGTTCAGATACCTGTACGAGTCCTGCGTGAAGGGGGTTGGTGGACGACGATGATTGTACGGCCTGCGGGGGTCATGTATGGAGTGGATTCTTTTGAGGATGTTTTGAGGTATGATGACAGGACTGAAGGCGGGGTTGCAAAAGTCAGAAGTAGGGCAATTGACCTGAAAACTGGGGCAACTATGTCAGATGGTATGGCTGAACGAGTTTTCAATACTGGGTTTGGAATGGAGGAGGAAATCCGTATTTGGGAAGAAACGGGAGACAGTATTGCGAGACATATTTGTAGGTTTTCTCAGGTTGCAGGTAGGTGGATTGTATTCTTTTAGAAACTAATGCTTTTATGATGTAGGGGATGCGGGTTTAGTGCTCTCATCATATCTATCATCTCTTCGCAATTCTTCTAAACCTGTAGGCTCTCTTCCTACTTTAGAAAAGTTTCTGAGCACGCAACAGGATATCAATATCCTTGAATTAGGAGCAGGATGTGGAATCGTGGGTATCACACTCGCGAAGCTCTTTTATGATAAAATTAATAAGATCTTGCTCACTGATCTCCCTGAAGCCTCGGAGATACTGGAGAAGAACATTTCTACAATGGCTTCAAAGTCAGATGTCTCGCTCCGTTGTTCTTGCTCTCATCAAGTTCTTGATTGGTCAATGCCACTTTCAGGGGATGTAAGGGGCGAGAGGTGGGAGTTGGTGGTGGTAGCGGATTGTACATATAATCCTGATGTAGTACCAGATTTAGTGCAGACACTGACGAAATTGAGGGATGGAAACAAGGAGATGTTGATTTTGTTGGCAATGAAGGTGAGACATGATAGTGAGATGGTGTTTTTTGAGCTCATGGAGAAGGAGGAGTTTGGGGTTGTGGAGAGGTGCAAGGTGCCTTTGAAAATGGTGGGCGAGGAAGGGCAGGAGATTGAGATTTTTGTTTTTAGGTGAAATAAAATGGTTTTTTTATGGATTAGGCTTGACGAGTGTTTAACGTTGGTTTTTCTTCTACTATGATCTCCCTGAAGCCGGTCGAGTGATAGCTGAGCCCAATTGCTCATTTGATGACCACATTTTTCTGCGATTCTTATTTTAGTTTTAGTAGTGAAAGAAGAATGAACAAATGAATATGCGAACAAGAGAAAGAAGATAACAAAATTAACAAAGAAAATTTGTATGGGCAGAATAGCTTCTTTGACACTAGAAAGAAATGAATCGAGTGAAGCTTTAGCAAATGAATTGTTCACCACCATATACCTAACAATGTCCTTCTCATCTCCTTTTATAAAATGATGAAAACGCCCAACTCGACTTTTTTCTATCCTTACTAACACCAAACCCCTTTACAACAAACATCACCCTAACCACCCCTTCATAAAACTAAATCCACAATATTATCCACCCCAACCCATTACCCGCTCCTCCAATCCCGAAAAATGAACTCCCTCACCCTCACCCTCATCATAGCAGCAATCTGCATCGCAATCCCCATACTCATCCTTATCGCCTGGCTCTGCGGCTGGCACAATCCTTCGCAACAGCATAAAGACGTGTTGATGAGGCAGATGGGTGGTTCGAGGTGACCGAGTGATAGGAATAGAGGGTTTAGAGCCCCTCAGCAATTGGAGAGACAGTATGGGGTTTGAGTTTAGGGGTTTGGGGATGTCTTTGGGGGAATGACTTTTGGGCTGGTCCTGGTAGGGTTTTGATGGTTTGGGGATGGAGGGTTGTGTGGGCGGGATTGAATGAGAAGAAAAGAAATTGAATTCGAGTTTGTTGGGTTTGTGATGGGGGTATGTTTGAGATGTGGAGATTCTAAGATGTGAAGATGTAAGATGTTAAGGATTGTTATTGTGATTATCATTGCTAAGTATCTATTTCTGAGAACTAGATACAAAGCCTTCATCAGATAGATTGAGGATTAATATTGCTATTAGTGGGTCGTCTACTGTATGTTCTAGTCAATAATTAGTGGTGAGTGTTATCTTGCCATCGATTTGTACCGTCTTAATTGTTTCACTGGTAAGATTGATATCTGATTTCAAGTATACAAAGTTGGGGATTTAATATTTATATCCTCAAATTAGCTGATGTAGGGTTTTTTTTTGCATAGCATCTAATTATCATTAGGTAGCAGTTTTGAAGATTAATGTTAGTAGGTCTTTCTTGTTTGGCGAGTTCTTTAGGTGTAGTCCCATGGGCATTCCTCCTAAATGACGTTATCAAGCTACTTATGGCTAAATGGGATTTGAAGAATAAACAGACTTCAAAATCCCATTTAAGCATATGGAGGTACTGAATCTATAGCCAGAATATCACTGGTGGTCCATTTCCTCTTCATTATCCTCGATTTCAAACAATGCATATATATTCTTTTTTTAATAAATCAATATCAGATTCAATATGCTAGGCTATGGATGAGTTTAACTAGGCAATATTCATACGTAAGTACTATCAATATCAGATAATAAATCGTTATATAAATTACTTACTTACAATTGGGTGGCAATGATCGTCGAGAAGTCTTTTACTCTGAATTTTGAGGTTGATATTGAGGATAGTTATTTAGTAACCTCGATTGCAAGACTTCAATGCTTCAATAAGTGTAAGAAACTCTCATTAACAATATCTCATGATTCTCCTATATTTCATGAAGATCAAAGTACGTAAAGATACTATCAATGCCATGCATCTATCCGAGAAAGCAGGCTAACTAAACGAAACTGTTGTGTGGTTGGTCTGACGTCAAACCTTGATGAGAGAAAAATGGAGAATACGCATTAGCTACAGTAATGACTAAGCATGTTGTGCATTTTGATTGGAAGCTTCGAACTCTCGTATAGATTCGTATTCTCGCAAATCTACTTGGCGAGACTCAGCAGGAGTGCAAGGGCGAGCTGGTAACGTACTCGACTAACCTTAAAGCAAAAGGCTTGCTGCGATAAGATCCAGTATATAACTCTTCCTTTTCCTTTTTATTCTGGTTTGATAATGATTAAGCATATAAATTTTATATTGATTCTTTGATTCCACGTACAGACTTTTCATTCCCAGACCCGGTCGCGCACCGTATCACTCGGAATCACCCCTCCGCAGAAACATCGATGAAAGGAGCTGCATCTAGGCATCGACGGCGACGATATTTTTTAGGAACTCGAGAACACATCACTTGATAGATCATCTTACTTTGAATCATCCAAGCCATCAGTATTTTCTTCAAATACCGTGCGCATGTATTCATAATATTCATTTCAATTCTACATTCTTTCTTTGTTATTTGATTCTTGGCTACAGTCACCTTAAAAAAAGCTTGCAACACCTGATATCTTTCTTCATGTCAGCTCAAATATGAAATAGTGGCAACATGGATGAACAGAAGTTTAGTACAGATAGGTCACCGGCGACGCAGAGTGATGGAGATGCGGCGACGAAAAGTAATAGCAATGAGGTTAAGGTTGATGAACAATATTCAAGTAAAGCACAAAACAGGACGTCGTTTAAAGATTTTATGGTAATAAGTCATCATATTACTTACCATGGTTACACAAAACTAATAACTTTGGTAGAGAATTTTTTCATACTCGACTTCGGGCGATAAGTTTGTCCTGGTAATTGCGTGTATCGCACAGATTGGAACTGGAGTCGTATGTTCGTTTACTACCCATATTGGAGGATGCATGGCTGATGTTTGGATAGACTTTACCGCTTATGAACATTGTCTTTGGTAAATATCGTCCTTTTATCACAGTCTGAGAGCTATACATTAATGACCATGATAGGGAAACTTGTGGGCAACTTTTCAGACTATTTTTTACCTGGCACAACTACCACCAAGGCTGAATTCACCAGTACTATCAACAGACTTACGTTCGTAAATCATTTTCATCCTGTCTATTACAATCATGCCTCAAACAATCTATGGTTCATTTTCTACTATCCCAGTAGCATAAAGTTCTTGGAAGGTGCAAGTGCCTAGAGTTCTAATAGTCCACTCTGAAGTCTATATTCAACATGAAAAGTTTCAGTGTTCCCTGAATGTTGATGTATTAAACGGACTCAATACACTAGATGCTTCCAATGTATCAAATAGATTCAGTTTGTAGTAGGGGCTCAACAACCAAGAGCTTCTCATTCTCAGATTGCTGTCTTGACTATTAAAAGTACAGGATGTGCTCAAGTCAGCTAGGATCTATGAATATTGGAACTCTAAATGGCGATGAGCATCAAGTAAATGTACAATCTAACTAACTGTCTGAAGATTATTCGTTACTTACCTGTTCATTGCAAGATGGGCTTTAAGTTACATCTCGATGTTCACATTTCGGCTGGTTGGCCTTCGAATCTCTGCAAAATTACGACTCAATTACTTGAAGGCTTTATTCAGCTTACCAGTTGGCGTCCTTGACACTCTACCTAGTGGACAAGCCTCAAATACAATCACGACCACTGCAAATATATTGCAAGTTGGCATTTCAGAGAAACTGGGAACCATTTTACAGTATTTTGCACTGCTGATCACAGCAGTCATTATCGCATTCACCTACAGCTGGGCGTTAACTTTGGTGACCAGCTCAGTTCTTGTATTTATTTCGTTGATCTATGGTTAGTATCTTATCTTTTCTAAATATATGCCTTCTGTATACTTTTCATTTTCCTTTCCTACACACTACTGATATGCCGATCATAGGAAGCGTTATTCCAGTTGTCATGAAAATGACAAAAGATGTCGAGCATGCCGACGAGAAAGCCTCTGGAATAGCAGGTGAAGTTCTTGGGTCAATACGAATGATTGTAGCGTGTGGTGCCGAGAGTCGAATTGCGAAGAAGTATGCAGGATGGGTTGAAGAATCTCGTAGACGAACACTGAAAAAGAGTCCTTGGATCGGTGTTCAATTCGCACCACGTATGTGTTTCCAGTAAAAATTTGTTCTAATTCACCTGCTAATAGTGTTCTAGTCATGTTTGCTATCTATGCGTAAGTCGATGTTTCTCTAGTCTGTTTTGACTATGATAAGTGTAGATTTTGCTACTAATTTCTTCTATCCATATGCCCTAACGTTAAACTGACTTCCTACCCTAGTACTATGGCATTGTGCTTTTGGTTTGGATTTAGGCTCTTTTCGGAGGGTCATCTAGAGAATGTCGGAACTATTTTGATTGTACTGATGTCTGTGGTGATGATCGCGATGGCAGTGAGTCAAACAGCTGCGCCCATAATTGCTGCTGGTAGAGCAGCGAGCGCGGCTACAGACTTTTTTGCAGTAATAGACACACCTAGACCCGATACTAGTGGCCTGGAAGAGCCAGAGGTATCAGCCCGTGAAGATATTACCCTGGAATCCGTCACTTTTGCCTATCCTAGCAGACCTCATGTTAAGGTTCTCAATGACTTGTCGATGAGGTTTGAATCTGGTAAGATTACAGCTATCGTGGGAGCATCTGGGTCGGGCAAGAGTACAATCGTAGGTTAGTTTATCTTTTTGATTTTTAGATACAGTTTTTTATTTTTCATTTGTTATAAGACAGGCCTCATATGAGCATGTTTCGTATAGGTGTATCTTACAAAAATATGTCTCACATATATGTTTTACAAACATATACCTGATGTAGGCAAATCTCACACGAACAATCATTAACTCCCAGCACTAGGCCTCTTGGAAAGATGGTATAATCTAGAGGAACAAGGAATAATAATTCCCTCAAGCGTTATGAAAGACAAGAAAAAAGATAAAGAAGATCAGTCAAGAACGCCTGAAGAATACGACGAAAAGCAGGATCCAGTGGCTGTCTCCGGTATTATATCATGTGGAAACCACGAGTTGCGATCCCTCGACCTCAAATGGTGGCGAACACAGATTGGTCTTGTCCAACAAGAGCCATTCATATTCAACGATACAATAGCCAAGAACGTCGAATACGGCTTGATTGGTTCACAATGGGAACACGAAAATGCGGACATGAAGAGGAAGCTTGTCATAGAGGCTTGTAAGGAAGCTTTTGCTGATGAGTACATCACTAAGCTGCCAATGGGATATGATACTCAAGTTGGTGATGCCGGTATTAAGTTGAGCGGTGGGCAGAGACAAAGGCTAGCCATCGCTAGGAGTATCATAAAACGACCGAAGATTTTGATTTTAGATGAAGCCACCAGCGCAATTGACGTAAGAGGGGAGCAGATCGTTCAGGCAGCCTTAGATAAAGTTAGCGAGGGTAGAACAACGATCACGATAGCTCATAGACTTTCAACAATCAAAAAGGCCGATAAGATTGTGGTTTTGAAGAAGGGAAAACTCGTCGAGGAAGGAACTCATGAGAGATTACTTTCTAATCCAGACGGCGCATACAGTGCTCTCGTCAACGCCCAGCAATTGTCTCTGGGAGAAGTTTACCAAGATGAATCAGACCTGGTGGAAACAATGGATCCCTTGATACGCGAAATGAGTGTAGCGGAGAAGGAGAAGGAAGAAAAGAAAGCAGTGGCATACAAAGCTAAGGGTCTCTCCACTAGTCTGGGACTTTTCCTCTACGAGCAACGCTCCCGGTGGCACTGGTACCTCATACTCTTGGCAGGCGCTGTAGCTGCTGGCGCCGCCTATCCGCTTCAAGCCTATCTTTTCGCAAAAATCATTTCAGTATTTTCGTTAACTGGATCCAAACTCAAGGCTGCTACAGAGCACTACGCATTGATGTTCTTCATTCTTGGTTTAGGGGCTGGGGTGGCCTGGTTTGTTATGGGCTATTCCTCGACTATCATATCCGGTCACATCACTTCCACATACCGTCAAGAGTATTTTGAGAGCATTTTGCAAAAGCCAATTGCCTTCTTTGACGCAGAGGAAAACTCTAGTGGTGAGCTTACAGGTCGTGTCGCCAATGATCCGACACAGTTACAACAACTGCTCGGCATCAACATGGCCATGGTTCTCACAGCACTCTGTAACATCGCTGGCTGCGTAATCATTGCCTTCGTCTTCGGCTGGAAGCTAACTTGCGTGGTGGCATTTGTTGCCCTTCCTATAATGATTTGTAGCAGCTTTTACCGCATTCGTTACGAGATTCAGTTCGAAAAGATGAACCAAGCAGTATTTGCAGAGAGTTCTAAATTCGCGGCTGAAGCAATTTCTGCATTTAGAACCGTTACCTCCTTGACGTTAGAGGACTTGATTTGTAGCCGTTACGATGAACTGTTAACGTGGCACGTGAAGGGCCATGCTAAGAAAAGCAGATATTCATCAATTGTCTTTGCCGCCAGCGAGAGTTTGGGATTAGGCTGTATGGCTTTAGCATTTGTAAGTTTCTCTTTTCAGCTCAGGATGCCCAGGCGCCAGTTTCAATGCTGGAAACCCCCGATTCAACATAAACTAACATGAATAATCTTCCAGTGGTATGGTGGTACCCTCCTTGCTTCAAGAGAATACGGGTCTATCAATTTTTTTGTGGTCTATATTGCTATAATAAACGGTGCTGAGAGCGCTGGAAGTCTTTTGAGTTTTGGTCCTAGTTAGTGTCCTGATATGACCGCCCCTTTCTCTTTGTCACTGATATTGCAATAGACATAGCACAAGCAACAGCAGCATCAAACAGAATATTGAGCTTTAGAGTACCGGCGAGCGTAGCTGGCAAATCGGCATCGAAAATGCAGAATGTAGAGGGCGGGGTCAAGATAGAACTGAAAGATGTTTGGTTTAAGTACCCTACTCGAGACGTCCCAATATTTACTGGTTTGAATATTACGGTAAGTCAATATTTTGTGTCTTTTGACAACGATGCTAACCATTATAGATTAAGAAAGGTCAATTTGCTGCTTTGGTTGGACCTTCAGGCTGTGGAAAAACATCGATCGGTAATTTCGCATTTGTCAATTTAAAGAGATAATGTACTAAAGAGAATAATAGTTGGTCTGCTTGAAAGATTTTATGATATCCAGAAAGGCAAGATACTCTGCAACGACACGGATATTTCTGAGATTAGTATCCATGAATACCGGAAGATGATCTCGCTTGTAGCGCAGGAGCCTACTTTGTTTGAAGGTACAATCAAAGAGAATATCTATTTGGGCATAGACGAGTCGACTCCGGACGAAACTCTTCACCGAGTCTGTCGTGATGCTGAAATTCACGACTTTATCATGTCTCTCCCTGATGGCTACAGTACCAACGTCGGCACCAAGGGAATCGCTCTGTCAGGAGGGCAAAAACAACGAATATCGATAGCTCGTGCGCTCATCCGCAATCCCAAGATCCTCCTTCTTGATGAGGCTACATCAAGCCTAGATTCCGAAAGCGAGAAACTGGTACAAGCAGCATTTGAAAGAGCGGCAACTGGTAGAACAATGGTTGTGGTAGCCCATCGACTGGCTACAGTGCAGAATGCAGATGTGATATTTGTGCTGGGGGAAGGAAGTGTGTTAGAGGTAGGAGATCATGCGGCATTATTGAGGAAGAAAGGCATTTATTATCAAATGGTAAGTCTTGAAACATTCCCTAGACCAGGCCCAACGGTAAAGGCTTTATTGTACTTACATTTCCCAGTGTCAATCTCAAGCACTCGACCGATAGGCGAGTGGGACGCGGGGAGTAAAATATTTAACTCGACTCATTTACATTAGGGGTATCAGTTCCTAAATATACAATTGGGTAAAGGGCGAACAAATTCCACTTAGACCCTGTACGACAACAATGTGTACTTCTAGAATTCTCTCACATATTCATCAACCTATGAGCTGGCATTTTGAGCTCGGCAAGGTTACAATGCATATCTTGTGCATTGTGTGCATAAACTGACACGTATATGTAGATCATAGCTATTTTCATGCTTTCTCATAGGACAAGTTTTTGAAGGGTATTCTTTTGTACCGCACAGAGTAGCTGATATTATGATACCAGTATTGGGAGGTGATTTTTGTTTGATTGGTGTTGAAATTGAGTGGTAAGTAGATAAGCGAGAAGGTAATTTAGGACTTAGAATTTTGAAGACTGAAGGCCAAAAATACAGTGGCACGCCGAGTTGTCCTCTGTAAGCTTGACCCACGTTATCCACTATTAATATAGGTACCGTGCACTCCGTAACTGCACGAAGGAGGAGCTCTGAGTTGCCCAAGAATATGGTGGGGAGGCAGGAGAGGTGATTGCCACATCTGGTAGGTGATGCATTGCTGGCGCCGGGAAGAAATAACGGGGTTCCAACATTCATTGGGGAAGTGATGGGTGATGGGTGACGGGTGATGGGAGATGGGAGATATGAAGATTGATTGATTGATTGATTGATGGGATCTGGTGGATAGACATGTTCAGCTTGGATCGGACAAATGCGACTTAATTTGTAGACAAGAAGCAAGTCATCATCTTCAATACCCCATCCAATCACACAAGGCTGCTTCTCATGTAAGGCGAAAAAAGTTTTAGATGAGACTCATGGAGAGGCTCTGATATTCACCGCTCTCACACGTGAATATCTGCAAATCATCGGGGATTTTCTAATTTTTTGGAGGGGATCCATGGGAATGGAAACCCACCGACAGCACTGTAACTCAAAGAGGACAAACTTAATATCAAGAAACGAGAGACAGACTCCATATCAAAAAGACAGCGTAGGAATACTTATCGTAGAGTTTTCTTTCGACCAGTCTTCTTTACTTTTTTTCCGACTGTTCACTTCTCTTTTGTGTTTACAACGACGAGAACGAGAACGAGGACGACGAGGAAGACGACGACGACGACGACGACAGCAACGATTTATGAAAACAAACAATTAAACAAAACAATCAAACAATCAACAAACAAACAAACAAACAATCATTCAATCGATCAATCAATTGTTCAATTGTTCAATCGATTTTCTTCTCTTCTTTTCCTTTCAACGTTGACTTGACAACCACGAAATTCAATCAAAAGATCTCGTATCGAAGCTCCAAACTCAGCTGAACGAAAGAAAAATCATTCAGTGATCAAAATTAGTTGTGGCGTTCATTCAAGGATTATCCAGTGGGCACAAATAGCGTTGGAACTACTAAACATCACTAAAAGCAAACTCGAGATTCGCTTGCTGCCCCGATTGTTTCGTTTTGGCGCTTCTCCAGCCTCTTAATTAAAATTACACTTAGGCCCGTTTTATCACACTTTATCATACTTTACCACACTTTACCACACTTCACCACGGCTGCACCCACCCACCCACCTTCTAGTTTTCCACCTAGCTAAACTTGCTAAACAAACGCAATCTTTAAATTTTATCTAAAGGAGCCAGCTCTTGAACTATCTACGTTCCGATCCGTTCCTTAAGTCGATTATCTAAAGCATCAAAAAACAAAACAATCAACTACTGCGAATCGCAAAACAGAGCAGAATAATTGATTATAAAACACGGATAAGTTACAGAAGGCATTCAGATTGAATAGGTTATTTGCGAAATTGGGTGATATGTTATGATATGATAACGATTAATTACGAAACGAGGAGCTGAAGTTGAGAAGAAGAAGTCCCTACCTAAGGGTGCGGAATAATGGCTGAGAAACGCGATCGATATGGTGTGCGGGGAGATCCATCGATTGCGCCAGGAGGAAATGCTTATGGAAATGGTATTGGAGGACGAGGGTTCAATGGACGCCCGCCCCCAGGTTCAGGATTTGATGCCGATGACAGCTCGTTTTTAGGCCGTGGAAATGAAAGATATGATTCTATGCCCCCAAATACACCCATGACACCTTACACACCTTACACACCATATACACCACATACACCTTATACCCCAATGACTATGGGATATGACGGGGGAGAAAGTTCTCTTTCAATCGGTACACCGAGGCATGATCGATATTATGGCGGGGAGAGTGCGGTCGCGGGACGTCCAGCAGTAACACCAGCAAATGCAGGATACCAGGGTGGAGTAGGCTCTTATAATGTCGGCACACCACGAAACGATCGATACGATGGCAGAGAAACTTATGTCGAAAGGCGCGATCCTAGATTAGGAAGATATAATCCTGCTGAGAGTACCATGTCTGCTGACACGCCGCGAACTGGTCGATTCGATCCAGCTATGGAAAGTTCTATCGCGCATCCCGATACGCCACGTACCGCTCATTATGACACCACTGCAACCACTATGTCAATGGACCCATCGCGAACAGGACCATATGATAAAGATAATACAACCACGGCAGCACCGTATTATGATCCGGCACAAGCGCGAGAACGTGAGCGACAAATGATGGAACGGGAGAAGTTCGAGCGAGAGGGAGGAATGCGCCGATCGCCAGGAATGGTACACGGCCCACCAAGTACAAATTATCTGAGTACATCTGGCTCATCTACTTCATCATACCTCGATATTTCTCGCAATTATCCTACCAAGGGTTTTAGCTTCAGGTCCTTTTTCACGACGCCGTCCGAAAAGTCCGATTCAAAAAAGAAGAAGGAGAAGAAGAAAAGTAAGAAGTTGACGAAACACAATAGCTCATCAAGCTCCTCTTTGAATGAAGATCTAGCTTTCGGAACTGGATTTTTGAGATACAGAAGGAAGAGGAGTGTGAGAGCTAGGGATGGAAGGGACAGGCAATGGGAGACCGTTGGATATAAGAGTAGCAAGGAAAATCTGAGAGATACCCGACCTGCCATAAATGAGAGACCCACGAGCGGGAAACGACTAGCTACCGATGCTGAAATTTTGGCTGTAGGTGCTGGACTGGCTAAGCTTGCAAGAGACCATATTAAAAAGGAGAGGATTGGCAAGAATGGGCGTGGTGCTCGTGAGAGTGCCAGTTCCTCTCGCCGAAGAGCCAGTCGTGACACCGACCATAATAATGATGATGACGCATGGGAATCGGCCTCTGATGACGAATCAGACTCAAGTGTTGATGCTGGTTTGGCGTTCGGAGGTGGTAGTAATGTCGGCAAGAGTAAGGGTGGCTTTTTCGGACGCAAGAGAGTGCATGGACCAAAGAGTCGAAAGAGTAGCGTTGTCGACCCAAGACTTCTTGGACCAGTGAACTCCCTCAATGGATATCTATCAGATAGGCAGGTCGGCTTTGAAGACGTGCAATGGGAGTCGGGCAGCGATTTCGGGCAACATACTTACATCCCTTATAACCATCAAGATAGGTATGTGCATGAGACGTACATACATGAAGAAAGGATCCGGATAAGCAGGACTCAAAGTGGTGGAAGTGGTTCTCAGGCCCCTCTGCAACAAGTCTTCCCAGTTCCGACTGATGACCCTTCCCGGTTCGACGCAGCGCGAACGTCTTCGTCCGATTATAACATTCCTAGGCCAGCACCAGTTCCTCTCCAACAACCTCAACCCATCACTCCGGTTTCTCAGAGCGTTTACCATGAGCCTAGCTATGTTCGTTCCGAGTCTGGCGGTATCTTGAAGAATTCTTCCGGTAGACCTAAATCTCTCGCCGGAGCAGCCTTTGCTGGAGTGGCTGCAGCTGCTTTCGGGGCTGTGATTTCATCTGCTCGTCGAGATGAAAAAGAGAACTCCCGGGATGATGAGAGAAGAGATAACCGAAGTTATAGTGAAAGCGCTATCAGTAGACAAGAGGAATATCGCAGAGAAAGACGCGAGGATCATTACTCAATTGCTGATAGTAGCATCTCCAAACCTCGGGATGACGAACGAAAAGAGCGCCGTCGCGATTATGATCAATCTTCTATTGCTGATAGTAATCTCACATGGGATGAAAAACGAGAAAAACGTCGCGAGGAACGAAGAAAAGATGACTCCAGAAGCTCAACATCTAATTCTGATCGTGACAGGAATCGAGAAAGGACTCGTGATGATCCTGATGCAGCCGCAGAAGAGCGAGAGCGAAGAAGACGAGAGAGACGTGAAGAGCGTCGTGCCGCTGACCGCATTGAAGATAACTATGAAGAACGACGAACCCACGTACTTTCTGAAATATCTGCCATTGCTCGCACGCCCACAGACCCATTCCAATATCAGCTTACAGAGTCACCTACCCGTGAGGAAAGCTCCAACCGCCAATCTAGAGAACAATCTGAACCAAGTGTCGTTACCATTGCACGTGAACCAGACTTTAGCTCGAAGCGAAGCTCGTCTATCAAAGATACATCTCTTGTCTCCCGTTCCGATCCACCTATTGATGTTTCTGACGAAGATGATCGGGAGCAACAACGCAGGGACCACGATAAAGCTCTTCATGATGCCGAACACTCTACAGCTCCTATTGAAGCAGCAGCCATCTTAGCTGCCGCTACTGTTATAGTCAGCGAAAGCTCCCGAGAATCAAAGTCCTCCAAACGAAGAGGCGAGAGACGAACCGACTCCGAGGATGTAGCAAAAGACGAAGTATCAACTGATGACACTGAAAAATCACGCGATGAAGTTATGGAAGAAGCAGATAGAGCTTACCGTGAGATCGTCATGGCTAGGAAGGTTGCTGCAGAAGTTCGCCGTTCCCGAACTCCATCACCTGAGCGCTCCATCATGGACAAATACGAGGAAGAGCCGGAGGAAGAACCACCACGCATCGTCACTCCTCCGGGCATGCATGAACGAAAGAAAGGTCCATATGATGCACCAAATGCTGACTTCGTCCTGGATTTTATCATGACGCCTAAAGATTTCAAGGTCTACAGCATCCCGAGCAGGCGATACAAGGTTGACGAAGCAGATTTGAAGGGTCCATTTATGACGAAATATGCGGACTCTGGATTAAACCGGCCTCTCTTGAATTTGGTCGTCCCTACTCCTATCTCAACACCATCACCGGAAAAGCAATTTGCAACCGCCGTTAAGAATGGAAATGGGAACAGGAAGACTGACAGCTCTAGTCGGTCGGATGATCGCTCGAATGAGAGACGCCGTTCTGAACCTGAACCTGGACCTGAACCTGAACGTTATTCGAAACCTACGGTTGAAGAGGAAGAGCGTGAAGAAATTGCTACGCGATCGCAAAATGAGTCAACCCAATCCCGAGTTGAATACCAGGATCGCGAACAAGAACAATCATATTCATTGGTGGATGAATTGGTTGATGAACCTAGGGATAGGATTCAGGGCCGCGAACAAGCCCAAGCATATTCATTGGCAGACGAGCCTAGGGATAGAGATCAGGATCGTGAAAAAGTTCAGTCATATTCATTGGTAGATGAGCATAGGGATAGGTTTCAAACCCGTGAACAGATCTCATCATATTCATTGGTAGATGAGCCTAGGGATAGAGATCAGGATCTTGAACAAGCTCAATCGTATCAATTGGAAGAGGAACCCAGGGTTAGATTTCAGGATCGCGAACAAGCCCAATCATATCAATTGGAAGATGAACCGCGTGATCAAGACCGTCGAAAGCGCAGCACAAGAGATATACCTCCTATTGTTGTTGCTCCAAGAGTAGACCTTGTTCGCTCATCTGAAGTTTCCGTTCCATCTCCCACCCAATCAACCGTCTCAAAAGCTGTTACTTGGGGTCCGAACGAGACTAAGCACTTCGAGGTTGAAAGTCCAACTGAAACAAGGGATGAATTTATCTCTGATTCATCGCCAGAAACTCCTGAGAAGCCAAGATATTCGGAGCCAAGGTCGGAGCCGGAGTCTGAACCAAAATCTCCAGGCGGATGGGCTGCAATGGCTGCAGGTATTATCAATGCAGGTGCAGCAGTAGCCAGCCCGATCGGGTCTCCTAGACGACCTGAGGTAAGTGAACTTGCTAGAATTTTGAAAGCTAGGGAGAAGGAGCGTAATGAGAGGGCTTATGAGTACCGAGGCGTGGTGGTAGAGCCTGAGAGTCCATACGGAGAGCCAAGGCGTGAAAGCCCACCAAGCGATATGAGGAGAGACAGCCTGCCTCGTGAAGTGGCTGTCGAATCTGAAAATTCTCGTGCAGAGTCGAGACGAGAGAGTCCTCCTCGAGACACAAGAAGTGAAACTCTACCACGGGATTCAAGACGAGACAGTCCGCCAGGAGATGCCAGGAGAGAAAGTCTATCAGAGAATACGAGAAGAGACAGTCCATCTCGGGACACTGAAAGACAATATCTCCCTCAAGCAACTAGAAGAGATAGCCCGCCTAGTGTTGGCCCTAAACCTTCCTTGCTACAATCTTCACATATACCTGGCTCTTTTGACGACGATTTGGATTTCACTGCAACAGTGGCAGCTGGTTTGCAAGATACTGGCTTCAATCCTGATCTTGTTATTGAGGATCCTGCGTTCCGAAAACGTGACTCTCCACCTGGCTCTAATGAATATGCATACAAAGCACCATGGGCAGAGTCCATTACTGACGTTTCAAGCACCCCTGGTGAGGAATCCTCAAATCGTGGGTTTGTCATGGGTGAGGTGCCAGAGACCCCGAAGGATTGGTCGAGTGTATCGCCTGCCGACGAGGAATCCTCAAGGCTTGCTAGGAAAGAACAGAAAAGACGTGATAAAGAACGAAGACGAAGTGGTGGTGATGTATATTCACCAATGACAGATGTCATCGTTGAAGAATCAGAAAGCTATTTTGATTCTTCTAGGCAGAGCAGAAAGGAACAAAAGAAACGTGACAAGGAGGAAGCAAGAAGACAGTCGCTTCTGAGGGAAGAATCTTCATTTGTTGATATCTCACCCGATGGCGAATTCGTTGAAGAGCCGGAAAGCTACGTCGAGCCTGTTGATACTCCTAAGAAGTCTAAAAAGCCATCTCGATCATCGACATACGATAACGATGACGTTGATCCATCTGTTTCAACACCGAAAAGGAGATCCAGCAAGCGCTCTTTAACTTACGATGGTAAAGTCGAATCTCCATTGCGTGAAAGCCATAGATCATCATTGCGTGAAAGTCACAGGAGCTATTCTTTGGATGATGTCAAAAATGGCGACGAATCAAAAATACCAAGAAAGTCAAAGGAGAGATTGCAAGGCAGGACCGATTCTCCTGATCCTTCACAAGTCCCATTACCACGTTCTGAAAGTAGTCGCGAAGAGCTTGACCTGTCAAGAGAGCCAGAAAGATCATCACGTCGTGAAGGTGATCCCTTGTGGGCGTCATCTCGTTCAATACTATCTGCTGATAGCAGCTCAAAGTTTGACGAAGAAGATTCGCCACAAAAGAGCCGAAAAGACCGCAGCAGCATTAAAGAAGACAATGAGAGTGCAAGATCAATTGCTTTGGAACCCACTCGCAATGAAAATGAAGATCCAAAGAAGAAGGCAAAGGAAACAGCGCCGCGAAAAGGTAGTGGATTGTTTGGTTTCTTCAGTGGTTCTAGGGGGGATACATCAAAAGAAGAGCCAGCGAAAGGTACTCGCGACGACGCTGACGAGGCAAAAAAGAAAAAGAAAAAACGTAGTTCAACATCGGATGGAATAACTGGAAGTCAACCTTTCGGCGATTTAACCCAAGTGGCGTCGAATGATGCAAATGGCCAAAGGTCACGCGGTGAGGATGGTGAGCAAGAATTTAGGAATGATGGAGAGAAGAAGAGGAGTAAAAGCTCAGATTCTAAGAAGAGTTCTTTTTTAGATAATGCCGGCATCCTTGGCGCGGGTGCCGGCCTTGCTGCTGGTGCAATTGCAATTTCTGCTCAGCATCAACAGCAAAATGCCGCTAATAATAATGATAGCGAGGGGACTACGGGGGATATGGGGGCTATGGGAAAGAGAGGAGAGCAGGAAATGGAGGAAGATATACTGGATCCAGAGATTATCGAACGACAAATCAGACCCTCAATTGACCCTCAATATGGAGATCTTTTACCATTACCGCCAAGTGGTCCAGTTTCACCTAATTTTGAACCAATTGATGATCTGCCCAAACTTCCTGAAAGTCGACCTGGAACCCCGGAATCTGAGAAACGTACTGTAGGTACACCAAGGGAGAAGACCCCGCGAAACCGTAAGAGCTTGCAGGAGACACCGGTAAAATCTCCAAGCCAAAGTGCCGTGCCCTTAAAATTCGTCATGGGAAATAGATCCAATCCGGCATCACCCATCATGACGAGATCAACTGGTAATACCCCCTTTCCGGCTTTCCAATTTTCTCCAATTCCAGAATCAGCCATAATTCCAAGATCTAGATCTAGGCCTATGTCATGGGACAACACCAAGGAATTCCAACCCCTGTATTTATTAGAGACTAACAAACGTGGGTCTTTTGTACCAGAAGAGTTAGTTGAGCCGCTCCCACATTTACCACTGTCCCGCACCAACTCCGAGCTTGACGTGGCGGATCTACCCGAATCGGGCTTCTTGGAAGAATTGGACCTTCACCGCCCTTCTCTGGACCCACTTTCAACCAACCTCCCCTCCGATGATCTCGCCTCCGGAGAATCCACACCGACTACGATAACCTTTAGGAAAAATTTAGCGCCATCAGTGGAGTTTCCTCGAGATTCTTTCCCCTCAATAGAAGCAAAGCAAAATTTACCTTCCGATGTTCATTCTCGTGAACAATCTCCACCTAAATCAGTAACTCACGCCATTGGAGTCGCAGCAATTTCAACTGCAGCTAGCCTTGCTACTGCATCTCGTGACACAAGCAATGAACAGGAACCAAGATCTTTTCATCAGATCCAGGACCAGAGCGGAGACAATAGTTCAGAGTCATCCGAATCACATGACATAGCTGTTACACGAGAGAAGTCATTACAAACCTTTAGTGAAACTTCAAACAAACAAGACATGAGTATTGAAGAGGAAGTCAAACCGACTGAAGAATTTCCTTTGTTCGAACCTAAGAAGAATGAAAAGATTGGAGAAGGTTTGCCGCTAGCATCAGATGATGTCAATGATCAAACTGAGAACCTTTCGGAGCCCGTTCAAGAACCTGAGCCAGACTTTATTCCAACTGAGGCCGAAAATTTCGAGCCCGTAGATCAAGTCTCTATTCCATTGTCCAAAGAAAAGAAGGGTAAGAAGGGGGAGGCTGAATCTTTGGGGACGGAACCGGACCCAATACCGGAAATCCAAACCATAACCCCAGGCCAAGGGGATACACAAGAACTAAGCCTCGACCATGCTTCAAGTGAACAGCATAACGTGACCGAACCAGGCCAAGATATTGCCGAAGAGGTAGCTACTCCCGTTGATGTCAAGCCACTTGGATTTTTGACGGAATTGAAGAATGAGAATACAAATGAGGAAACAGGCAAAATTGACCTATCTTCCGAGCCTGAATTTGAGATGGAAACTGTGGACAGCATAGAACCTTCTGAACTCATGGATAAATCCCCTCCAGATGACATGCCAGATGACAATCAACAACAGCAAGTGCCGGAGTCTAGTCAAGGAATTGTGCAAGAACCTGTGCCATGGGCCGAGAATAGCTCGGTTGAGGAATCCTCTATTTCTAATTCAAAGACCGACAATGAAGCAGAAAATATCACTCCTGAGATGGAGGAACTCTACTCGGAGCTAGTGGTTGAACCTACGACTAAGATGCCCATACAAGAACGATCACGCGAAGAATTCCCAGAGCTTCATCGAGACATTTCAGATCCATCTTCTCCCCTGATTAACCCCAATTCGCCAACCATCAGTGATTCTACACTACCTGAGACACCGGGTGATATCACCCCCATAGTCGATGTATTTGCTAGATCTAAATCGAACAGAGACGAGGAAAAGGCCATGAAAGCGAAATTTAACTCTCTTCATCCAGAGCAGGAAGAAGTTGTGATCGAACCTAGACACAATCAACCTACCGTTTCTCAAATTCAAGAGGATACTTCTTTAGATTTGTCTCAAGATCCAGTTGAAGAAAGAATTGCAGAGCCTGCTACGCCTGCCGACGCCAATCCGGTGGAAGAGTCCTTGACTACGCAGTCCAAAGAAGACAAAGAGGAAAAGGAACAGGCTAAGCGGGAGCAAACTACGGATATTGAGCAGAAAGTTTCTCCAGTTGATACTATTCAAGAGCTGGAGCAACTTCCCGAGGTTCAAGAAAGTGATGTTGAGGAAAATTCAGTGCTCGATGACATTCCCGGAAGTTTTGCCCCTCCTTCGCCCAAGCAGAATGAAGAGGAGAGAGAAGATAGTAAGGCTGCAGATTTAGAACACCCCGTGGAATCACAAATCCCTAGTCTTATACTAGAGCGTTTGTCTGAAAGGCCAACACCAATGATTGGTCCCGGTGGTTGGCCAGAAACTCCCGAGAGTGTATCGGAAAAACCAACACCGGTGATTGGTCCTAATGATTTGCCAAAAACTCCCGCTGCACTCCCGACTTCCAGTACAAAAGAAACTTCTAAATCGAATGTTAATGACTACTTGCCATCTGCAGAACCTATAATTCCAGTTTTTGCTGCTGTAACTGCTGCACTCGGCGCTGCACAACTAAAATCCGACGAGACTTCTCAAGAAAAAATTGGGCTTGATGGTCTTACTTCCGGGTATGCTAAGGATCAACCTAGTCCTGAGAAACAATTGCAAGAGGAATTCGAAGCAGATGCTATGCCAAAGGATACTCCTAAAGACCTGGGTGAAGATATTACCAAACTTGATGAACATCCGGGCGACTATCAAGAAGATGAGCTATCCCCCGCTCCCCAATTACCTGCAGAATTAGTTGAAGAATCTGAAGAGGAAAAGGAACGGCAAAGTGCTCCTCAAACACCACAAGACGAACAAGTACAGTTCTTTGATGAATTAGAGCAAACTCCTGGAGCTGAGCGTCAAAAGGAGGAAAAGTCAATCCTCACTGAGTCTGAAACTCCTAATGGACTTGATGCTGAATCCCAAGAGGACCAACTGACACTTGTTGAACAATTAGAAGATGATTTCGAGTCGGGTATTGGTAAGGAGAAGGAGCATGAAAATCAAAATCAAGATGGTCAATTGCCTTCTGACATCAACCAATCGGATAATGCTACCAAAGAGTTGAACGAGCAAACAGATATGCCTGTCTCTCAGCCGGAGATCGAAGATCTGACCAACGAACCTGTACTTAAAGAGCCGAAGGAGATTGATATGACTGACGAGAAACAGCAGATACTCGATGAAAGTGCTTCTGTTGGTAACATCATTACCGAATTGACTGCATTGGGAGAGACACCTTCAATTCCGCAGGAGCAGGAGAAGATCGAAAACGTACATGTCTATCCCGTTATTGCAGAGCCAAAAGTTGCAGAGCCAGAAATTGCCGACAAGAGGCCCATTGATTTGATCATTACAGCTCCAGAAGCTGAGGCCTTGACACCAAGCGAGAAGTCCGAGGAACAAACGAAAGGTGACAGTTTACCATCATCCGATTTTTCTAAAGAAATCATGGAACCGGAAATTGTGGAGGAAATGAAGCCTGTTGATGTCCCTGAGCAACAACCTTCCGAGGACTCTTCTATCATTGTCGACCCTGAAGCCGAACTTGCTACTCCTGACAAGAACCAAGATAATATGATTGAGCCGACGCATGTCGAGGACGCTTCTCTATCCCCGACTGTAGACGAAATTAAGAATGGGGAAGCCAAGGTAGAAACAGTAAAGTCTCCTGATATTCAGCAAGAAATCACCGTCGCTCCTGAAGTACCTTCTATTGTGAACCGTGGGATTGAGTTCTCTGCACCTCCCAAGAGATCTAAGAAAGATAAAAATGAGCGCGGCAAGCAAGAGCAAGACTCAATTGAAGATCATATCGTGTCCATAGACATTACACCTGCTGATGAGTCGTCCAAAACTGAGCCTCCAGCTGAGCAACAAAACACCGCACCTGTCGAACAAATCATCACTATTCCCGCCAAAGGGTTAGCTCCTTACGACATGCTGCCAGCCGCACCAATGACAGCAGGGCTTTCTGGACTTATGGGTCCCTTGACAGGAAGAAGGTTGAGTGTTGTGGAAATGGTTCGAACTTTGGGATGGGGAAAAAAGAAGGATGATGCAGCTATAGCTGCTGCTGAGCAAGGACTTCCTCCAAGACCATCCACAGCACGCCCCGCATCTGGATCTGATGCAACCCACGGTTTTCCCGAGTTTTCTATGCCAAACGCTGTTGAGGGCGGACCCACCACAACACTGACGCCTACTTCACAACTTAGGGAATGGGCTTTGCCAGACAAAGACTCGGAGGAGATGTCGGAGAAGGGCCAGAACATTGTAAGCCCAGATACCGAGGCAATTCCAAGTATAGTCGTTGAGGAAGAACCTCTATCCACTAAGCCCAAGGAAGACACCACCAAAAAATTCTTGGAACCACAAGTCACAGAACTGAACGAGGATTTACAAGGCGACCAATTATATGAAAGACGTCCGGGCAGGAGACGTCGCAGCATATTATCTTACCTACCGGAAGAAGCGTTCAAAGCAATGAGAGGAGAATATGTCACGATCGAATCGATAACTCCATCCCTGACAGTGGACCCCGCTTTCATCCAGCAAGCCCGTAAACTCACTTCTGAACCAAGTTTCGATAGGCCCGTTCAAGGGGAGAAAGAATCTGAATCTGTACCCGAGGTCTCGAGCGAACAATCGACAAAGGACAACAAGGAGCATCAAATTTTGCAATCTTCGGTGTCGGAGGACATGGCAAAGGAAGAGGCTGTTGATGCGTCTGAAGATGCTGCTATTGAGGAACCTGAGATTCAAACACCAGAAAATCATGAGCCCTTGGAGATCCCACATGAAACTGTTCCGGAAGATGTTGAAGCCGCTGAGGTGCCATTCGAGGATGTTTCGGAGGCCGTCGTCGACAAATCTAGCGAGCCTGAGGGATTCCATCGTGAGGTTGCCCAAGAGGACGTTTCCGCGCCACAGCCACAGACTGAGCAAATCCTTGAGCCAATGGTTGAGGGGTCTGGCAAACTTTCAAAATTTAATGGTGCGACTGACCAGGAAAATACCTTCATGCCGGAGCCACTGCCTGCAGATTCTCCAGAACCAATTTTTGAAAGATCAGGTGAGTTCACTGGAACGCCTCGCGATTTCAGTCAAGAGGATATTTTTGCGCCACAAGAAGCAATTGAGCATATTCTCGAGCCAAGTGCAACTGGCAACGAGCCTTCTTTGCCAACAGAATCCATTTTCGAGGAAGTTACGAAGAATGTCGAGATTCCTGACCAAAGTCATGTTGGTGAATCCTCCTTGCCGAGAGAAACAATTCCCGAAGATATCATGGCATCTGTTGAGTATTTGGAGCCTAATCCAGGCCTTCAGGACACTTACTTGACGAGAGAACCAGTTTCTGAGAAGCCTGACAAGAATACTGAATCTGTCATGCCAAATACCGTTGATGATTTCCCTTTACCAAGACACGATAGTCCAGAGGACGCCTCAAGAGAGATTGAAAACGCCGAGCCAATTCACAGTGTCGAAGACAAGGCCTTACCACGAGAACCACTCCTTGAAGAAACCAGCAAGGATGCCAATGAGTCTTTGTCAGGACAAATTACCCCACAGGACTCAATAAACATAGAAATACCTGAGCCGATCCATACTAGTGAAGAGAGTTTCTCACTTACGGAACCTGCACCAGAAACTGAGACGGCCAAGCCAGCATCAAGCGAAATTCTCACTGCCGAGGAAACGGAGTCTCAAAATGAACCGGTTTTACGTGGTTCGAACACGTCCAGGAAGAACAAGGAAGACAAACTCGAGCCAGAGCCTGAGGTGCCAACAGAAGTCACTCGGGAGCCTGAAAAACCCCTTACTGAGGAACCAATGTCAGAGAAGCCTCTTGAAGCCAAGGGATCGTTTGGCCGTGAAATCTGTGAGCAGCCTGTTGAAAAATTGGTCGAATCCACTGAAACAGAAATCCGCGATCACTTAGGTCCTGCTTCAGTGCCGCTTCCAGAGGAGCCTGTCGCTGAGTCCATGGAATTTAACGAGCCGGCTTTGATACCACTTCCCGAAGATTCTTTCAATGACTTCATCGAACTTAGCGATCCTACCCTGGTGCCAATGCCGGAAGATTCATTCGATGAATATACTGAAGTTAATGAGCCTACTTCCATACCACCGGAAGATCCTATCAATAAGTTTAATGAATTTAACGAGGCTGTTTCGGTGCCACTGCCGGAAGACTCATCTGAGGAATATATTGAAGTTGATAGACAAACTTTTATGCCACTACCGGAAGAGTCTTTCAATGAATTCATTGAAACTAATGAGCCTGCTTTGAAGCCACTTTTAGAAGATGAATTCTTTGAGATTAACGAGCCTGCTTCAGTGCCACTCCCGGAAGACTCTTTCGATGAGTTTATTGAACTTAACGAGCCTGCTATGATGGCACCACATAAAAGCATCATCAACCAGTCCGTTGAACTTAATGGACCTGCTTCAGTACCACTCCCGGAAGGCTCTCTCGATGAGTTCATTGAACTTGATGAACCTACAAACTCCGACGTTCCAGAACCGTATGTTGAGGATAGTATATCGAATTCAATCCCCGAGAAAGATTTCGTCAATCCAGAAGTCAGGCAGCCTAAAGTTCGTGAGAACTTGGATTACTTAGAGCATGCTGCATCGATCCCACTCCCGGAGGATATTGTGGAGCAGACGATTGAAAGGCCTGATGTTACAGTCCCTGCGGACAGACGAATATTGGACTTCTCAGGACCGGTTTCACCAGTCTTTACACCGGTGCTCTTGCCCGGAGAGTTTCTTCCAGCAGAACCATATGCCGAGACGGAAATCAGAGCTGTCGAACCAGAATCGGAAGAAATGCCATTAATTTCAGACGTCCCGATTGCTAAACCTTCCGGCGAAACAACCTTCAACGAACCACAAGAAAGTGAGGTTATTCCCGCGGAGCCAAGCCAAGAGACAGAGCAGAAGCCTATTGAATCGACCAGGGGGCTCATCGTAACTTCGAGCAATATAGAGACAAATAAGTCTATTTCTGAAGACGACTTTGTTGAGCCAGCCAGTGACTTGTCGATGGAAGCGTTTGACAAAGATGAGAAGAAACAAAATTCGGAAGTCGAGATGCCATCAGCTGAAGATATTAGTACCAAAGCTCCAGTGATGTCTTCAACAAGTCACGAGGCTGATGACATACCACCTCAAGCTAATGCCCAGGATTCCGTGCAATCAGTTTCAGAGAATGGGCAAACAAGCGATGAAAATACCATTCTTCCCACACTGAAAGAAGTCGATGTTAGGCAAGATAATAATTCCGAGACAACTTTAAAGCCCTCTCTCGAAAACCAAGAAGACATCGAATCCGTGTATAAAGATATTCACGACTTGCCTGAATCAAACTCTACAGACGCCTCAAGTGATAAATCCCAAAACGACATAAAGAACGTCAGACCTCTCATCTTAAATCCCCCAGGTGAGCTTTCTACACAGAGCAACTCAAAAATGACCCCCTTTTCTCAGCCGGTTGTCCAACCTCCAACAGAGGAACTTCATCGTGATATAACAAGTGAAGAGACTGCAGGTGCCACGGCCGTGCTGACTATATATCAAGAACAGACATTCGAGCCTGGACTAGCAGAAGAGGTCTCCAACCCCTTTGAGGAGCCAGTTATTGAGTCAATGATATCACAACCACAGACGGATATCCTTCAGGAACCAGTTGTTGAGTCCGAAAATGAAAGGGAAGAAACTGCTGCGCCACAGGAATCAACTGCACCGCAAAATCCAACAATTGAGTTAAGAATTACCAACGAGGAGCCAACCCCTTCATCCCTTCCAATTATGGAGCCAGATATTGAGACGGAAGAAGCTGCCGTACCTCGGAAGTCAACAATCGAGTCAAATGCCAATGATGAGGAGCCATTTCCTTCATGGGACCCTATTACTGAGCTACAGCTCATGAAAGAGGAAGGTTTCATCTCCGAGGAATCAACATTCGAGTCAACAACGTCGCAACCACAGACGAATATCTCTCAAGGCCCATTTGTTGAACCAGAAACGACAAAAGAAGAAAGCTTTGTACCTCAAGAATCACGAATCAATGAGGAAGGGCCAACTTTTCAACAAGAGCTAGAAATTGAACCAAAAGTCTCCGATCCTCCAGTCAGTCTTGTACAAGACTCGGCGACTAGCCCAATATTCTGGAAAGAACAACCTGTTATCCGAAAGCCAGTCATTGAAGTCAATAACCCCAAGCCAGAAGAAATCGCCTTGCCAGAATCGCCGACTGAGTCGAAATCATTTGAGCCAGAGATGATATTACCACAAGAGTCTGTAGTTGAGCCAGAGACTATTGGAGACGTCCCAATCATTCAAGAGCGTGCAATTGATTTTCCAAGGCCAGATCTTGAATTAGATGTCCCACAAGGAGTACCTCTTAAACAGAGTGTTGTTGGGCCGGAACATATTCCTCTGCCAGGATCACCAATCGAACAGGAGGTTTTTGAACCGGAACATATTTTTTTGTCAGAGTCACCAATTGAACTGAGTGTTGTTGAGCCTGAACATATTCCTCTCCCAGGATCACCAATCGAACAGAGTGTTGTTGAGCCTGAACAGATTCCTTTGCCAAAATCACCAATTAACCGGGAATTTTCTGAACTAGAAATCCCGCTTCAACGGGAGCCTATCTACAATTCACACATTTTTGGAGAACCAATGCTGACTCAAAAGCGCCCAATCGATTCGGAAATCTCAAGCCCTGAACCAGTGGTTCCTTTAGATTTACCCCTTGGACACAAGGTCTTCGAGCCAAGCCAGATCCCCTTGCCAGAATCACCACTTCACCAGGAAACTTTTGAGCCAGAAGCCCTCGTTCGACAGGAGCCTAAAGCAGAACCCTCCATTTCAGACCTTATGAAGCCCATGCAAGCCGAACCTTCAAAGGAAAGTCATCTTACTATGACTGAAACAAGAGAAAATGAATGGGTCTGGCCTGCCGAGGAGTCGAATGAAGAAAAAAAGAATGGTGAGAGTGTCGCTACATCAACAAAAGAGCCATCTGATGTTGCGCATCAATTAGAGAACCTTGGAAATGCGCCACTCGAAATAACAGAGCCTCTGTCTGCCAGAGACAATGCAAGAGAACCTGCGCAAGAGGTTTCAGCAGACCCCGATGAAGAGTCGTTTTTTGACGTTGTAGAATATTTCACAGAAGAGGAGATTGAAGCGGATCTAGCCCCTCGGATTTCACAAGAGCAGGATGTAGTCCCTAGTTTAAAAGAGTTCATGCTGCATGAGTACAAGGCGGTACCCGCCGAAGAGTTACAGAAAGTAGATTTACCACCAGAGATGCTAATTGAGGAACATGCACAAGGGGAGCACAGACCATCAGAAGATGATGTCACTGGGGTCTTGACCAAGAATTCCAAGGACATAAATGATCGTGAGTTTGGATTTTCTTCACCGGTACAGTTTATCCCCAAAGACACCCAATTAGGAGTACCGGATGTTGAGGACCTAGTACCTGCAGAGATAATAGTCGATGAATTCAAGGCCAAGCCAACTGAAGAAATGCCAAAGGAAGTTCAACAACAAACCAAGGGCGAATGGGGTCCGGTTTCTACTAAGAAATCGGAGTGGGACAAGAAGGGTCGTGAATCTTCTTTGTCCACCCCGTTGGAGCCCGAGGTTCCCATTGTTGCTACTGAGCTTCCTGAGGATATACCTTCAAACTCTGGAAAGCCTGGAGGGCTCCTACCAACTATTGACGATGTATCTGATACTCATACGTCTTTCCAGATTCCACAGGTTGAAACACTCGTTCGCGCGGATGATAATTTCGATACCTCGCCCGACAAGAAATGGAAGGAAATTCCAAGCAGAAAACTTGACGCAGAGTCACGACCCCTGGCCGTACCCAGTACTGACGCTGTATCCGAAGCCCAAGACGTCAAACCCGCCGATCTTTTCCTCGCCTCTCCTATTCCAATGAGAAATATCGTGCAAGCGTCCCAACCTATTGCGGAGCTGGGGATAATTTTACCCATCACCTCGCCCTCTTCATCCAAGCAAATTAGCGATGAGCCATACAACATTTCCACTGATTTATCACGAATTGGTTCAAAGAAAGACAAGAGAAAACGCCAATCAACGCTAAACCTGGACACGCCTCAAGATGATCGAAGTACCTTTTGGGCAGATGAAGTTCCGGAAGCGGAAGTTGTGAGGGCTGTTCCTGTCATTGAAGATATTGGACGAGATGAGTTCTATTCCCATATTGCCAGTACGGTCAAAAAACCACAAGCGAATGAATTCTCTAGACCACCAGCCAAGAAAGGAAAGAAAAATACAAATAGAGAGTCGTTTAATATCGAGGATTTTCGACCACTAACAGAAGCAGATCTACAGAAAATTGAGCCAATGAATGAACGCAAAGAAATGCTTTCTGTGGTACCTGCAACTGCTGCAATTGCTAGTGAAGCCGATTTGGCTCGCGAGAGCAAGGGGCCAGAAATTGAGCCTGTCAAGGAAGAGGAAAACCAGCTAATGCAAACGTTACTCGACAATGGAGAGGAGAGACAAGACATGGATAATGGAAGGCCAAGTGACGACATATTTAATCATTCAGGATTGGACGACAAAGACCAGAATACGTCTGAGACGAAGGATGAGTTTGGACAGCCCAGTAATGATGGATTTCGGGAGGAACATACGATTTTAAAAGGACCAGAGCAGATTGAAAAGATACAGGAACCGATGATTGAACAGCACAGAGAATCAGAATCCCGAGAAGTTGGTACGCCTACACCTCGCATTCCTGTTCTGACTGATGCAGAGTTTGTTCAGGAGCCAGAACAGATGGAAAGGACACAAGAACTTATGATTGGAGATCCTAGCAAATCTGCAATAGTCGAGGCTCGAGAGACCCGAATCCCTTCGCCTCTCAGTCACGTTCTTGACAACGCGGATTACGTTCAAGAACCGGAGCAATTGGAAACCACGCAGGAGAAAACTATCGCCGAAAGTCTTGCCGAGCCTGCGACAACTATTGTGCAAGAACCAGAGCAGATGGAAGCTCCCCAAGGCCAGGAAGCACGTATTCCTGCTCAATCCAAAGCAGTGGAAGCTAACATTTTGCGGAAGCCAAAACAAATGGAGACAGTCCAGGAACCAATGGCACAAATCCCTGTCAGACCTTTGATAATGGAAGGTCGCGAAACCGTAATACCGACACCTCTTCGCCATTCCGTTTCCGATAACGATTGGCAGCTAGAAATTGAAACAACACCAGCTAGCAAATCCTATGCCTCAAGCATATCTCCAAGTCCAGGAAGGTCACCAACTGCACAAGAGCCTCGAGGAGATCTACCAGAAGAGTATCTCTCTAGGCATTCAAGAAGAGACATGGAGAAGAGAAAAAGGAAGACTTCAATTGAAGTTGAAAATGAGCAAGATCTTCTACCTGCACCAATTCAAGAGGCCTTACGAAATATTATCGTCGAGCCCCGAGCTCGACGCGTCAGTCCTTCGCCAAGTCCATCTCCGACGGCCGAACGAGCTAAACGAGCTAGATCCAGGTCCCGTCCTCCATCTCGTCCTGGTACTCCTGGATTGACAATGCTACCGGAAGAGCCAGAGGAAGAGCATGCTCAAAATATTGGCAATAGAGACAGTGCTTTTGTTAATGACTCACCAACTCCTCTGCAAGGCAACTTCACCAACAAGCACGAACTTGTTCGTGACAGTGCTATTCACTTAAGAGACAATTCGCCTTCAGTGCGTGTCAGGTCCCCAGTGTCATCAGCCGATGCAGCTATTGACAGCATGGAGTGGCCTCCCGTGGATGAGGATGCCGGTACGGTTGATCTCGAGCAACCGCAACGACCTAAGGTTGTGGAAAACTTAAAACGTCATGATCATGGAGTTGATGATCTGCCATCTCAAAGACACAGAGGAGAAGAGCACACAGATCTACAAAGAACACAGGCAATCCATAGAACGCCCTCCCCTCTTGAAGGAAGGCATAAACTCACTCGCAAAAGCTCTTTGACTCGTGGAGAGCTGGCAGAAGCGAATCATGTAGACTTTGTCCGATCCCAACGACTAAAGGCATTCCAAACGAAATCCAAAGAAAAGCTATCTGAACCTCATCAGGCAGAACCAATCAACAAACCTGTGACCCCGGAAAAGGAACATACAAGGCATCGTGTTCACCGTTCCGAATTGCCAGACGCCCAATATCGCAAGCCAAAAGAAAACAAATATGGGGACCTTGAATCTGTTAAAACTCCAAGGGCAGAACAGCGAAGTATTTCTGAGAGTTCTCCAGCATTGTTTGGAAGTGCAGCTCTTGCAGCGGCAGGATTGGGATTTGCAGCAGCAAGGAGATCAAGTCAAGAAAGTCGACCTTTAAGTGCTCAAAGTCACAAAAGTCAAAAATCCGCTTCAAATATCAGTGTTGCTCGATTACGGACCCCAGCTCCATTAGATGCGCCCCATCAGCCACAGTTTCCAGATAGCGCTAGTACCAATCGTTCGTTTACACCGCCACTCCGTCGTACCGCCCGAAAAATTAGCGGGGATCTAAAATCGCTCCGTCAACAAAGTAACATTGATCTCGCTAAGGAAATTGGTCCAGCCTCTCTCGATACCGCTACATCGACATCCTCCACAAATTCTGCAAATCCAACTGCAAATGAGGGCCGAGCCAGGGCGCAAGAGATGGCTGACGTCTATGTAAGTTGGCACAAATCTGAAGATGAAAAATTTTCACCATTAATAAAAATAATATAGGATGGCTACGGCGAAGGCCATATGGGCTCACCAAGATCCCCTACTCGACCTCACAGTATGCGACGACGACAGAGTATGCAAGTCTTGGAACTCGAATCCAAACTCGATCAATTAACTGCGGAAAATCGTGCGCTCGCAGAATCAAAAGCTCATGCCGAACATATGCTGCGATCAAGCCAAGGCGCACCTGCGGCTTTGGTAGAAAGGGATGCGGAAATCGATCTACTCAAACGAACACTATCGTCGATGCAAGATGAAGTCAAAAGACTGACGGAGGTCAATGCGGGACTTACGAGCGCAGCTGTTACACTGGGTCAACAACATAATGCACGATATGGCATACTCGAATCACAACATGCGCAAACTTCAAGAGAACTGCAGCAAGCTCGCGAAGCTCATCACAACCTCCAAAACGAGGTGGATGGCATTATACACAATGCTATACAAGAAAGAGACCAAGAAATCGCATCTTTGCGATCCCAATTGGATGTTGCTAAGGAACAAATCCGAGCAATGCAAAGGGAGATTTTAGCTGCCAAAGCTGGCGACGCTCAATTCTTGACCATCCGGGATGAAGACTATTTTGATGGTGCCTGTCAACAACTCTGCCAGCATGTGCAGCAGTGGGTACTTAGATTCTCGAAATTCTCCGATATGAGAGCTTGTAGGCTCACGAGAGAAATTAATAACGACAAGACCATTGACCGGTTAGATAACGCCATTTTAGATGGTTCGGATGTGGATAACTACCTCGCAGATAGAGTAAGGAGAAGAGATGTCTTCATGTCAATGACAATGACAATGGTTTGGGAATTTATATTCACTCGCTACTTATTTGGCATGGATCGAGAGCAAAGACAAAAGCTCAAATCTTTAGAGAAACTGTTGTCCGATGTTGGACCATCATCGGCAGTTCATCAATGGCGCGCAACCACTTTAACCTTGTTATCCAAACGAGCATCGTTTGCGAAACAGAGAGAACAAGATACTTTAGCTGTGGTACATGCTATCTTAGAGACACTAACAGAAATCTTACCTCCACCGAGCCACCTGGAAGATCAAATCGAGGAACAACTCAAGCGTGTTGTTAAAGCCGCTGTCGATCTCTCAATCGAAATGCGCACCCAACGCGCAGAATACATGATGCTACCGCCGCTCCAACCAGAATACGATGCCAACGGCGATCTCGCTAGCAAAGTGTCTTTCAATGCAGCACTCATGAATGAACGCAGCGGAGACACTGTCTCCAATGAAGAACTCGAGGCACAAAAGGCTGTCGTTAGAGTTGTGCTCTTCCCACTTGTCGTGAAGAAGGGCGATGATTTAGGACAAGGCGATGAGGAAATCGTGGTTTGTCCTGCTCAGGTTTTGGTTGCCAAACCAAGGATAGGGAAAGGCCGTGTAGGGAGGGTTTATAGTCCTGCTAGTGGGGATGTGGACAGGAGGAGTAGCAGTAGAACCCCGGCTAGTATGCAGAGCAGTATGCCTGATACTAATGTTATCTGAAAGAAATGAAAATAACGAGTTTATGGATGAAGAAATGAGTGGAGGGAGGGATATTAGAAGGATAAACTGGTGGAATAGGGAAGGTGATGAAATAATTGATATCCTTTGGGTTCAGGTGCTGATGGACGAGTTGGATCATGTGTTTTAATATTTTTTTTTTTATTTTTTTTTGTCTTCGACGATTTCCCGATTCATTTTGATGATTGATGATGATGCTATGCATTTAGCGATCTCTAGCTACGGCTACGATTTTTTCTTTTCACGTCGCAGGGAAAAAAGATATCCATATTTTAACGACGATCATGACCAGATTGTAGTATTAGATGACCTTTATTTACTCAGCTTAGTTTATGAAATCAAATGCAAAACTAATTTAATTTGATTTTGATCTTCAATACGATTTATTTGAGTGATGTTCTCATCTAGGTGATGTTAAAACTGGAAGTTCAGTTCTCGACATTCGGTGATCAACAATCATATACCAATACAAGACTAGTTCTAGTATAATTTATCCTTCAACTTACTCACTGCCAGTAAATAGCTCGGTGAAGATTTCCCAATTACTTCCTTCCTCAGAAATGGGTTCAAACCCAGAAAAGGCAAAAGGATATACGGAAAAGTGGTACTTTGCATGTTACCCCACTACTCCATCTTTGGATCTGAAGCGTTGTTTCTGGCAGCGTGGGCAGAATTTGCCATTCTTCTTCAGTCTATGATGATATGTCGGGGAGAAAGAGGTTTCTAAGATTACGCATGATTGGACGATGAAGGGTTGTGCGGAAGGAAGCGAGGGAGAGGGGAGGAAGAGGAGTGGAGTTACGTCCTTTGATTAAATGAATCAGTTTTTTTGTTATGGGATTGATGTGAGGAAGTGGATGTGTCTAAGGGGAGAGAAGGAGGAGGTTTTAAGCTTGGTGGTGGAAGATGGGCAATGAGGATGGAAAATATAGACGGAAAAGAAAGAGAGAAAGGGAAAATGATGTTCGAGAAAGACTTGGAATTCCATATATCCGGTGCTCTAGTAGGTATCACGGCACCATAATAGAATATTCATAGCTGGGGTAGGTAAGAGTTACAAATCAATGCTGTATGATATCATGCTATATCAAAGCCATACCTCTGATTAAACATTCTTGATTTCTCCGTATTGAACCTAGATCACTCGTTCTGTGAGAACTCTCTTGAGATATCGATAGTATCGTCTTGATCACAGCTGATTATATTGACTTGGTTTGAGATGCATATTATTACTGAGTCATTTTCCATATCAATAGTGGTAGTAAGTATCTGATTTGTCAAGGGAGTAGGAATATGATGATGTGGTATGTTAACAGGAGACAAAGGCAAAAATGAGAATCAGAGCTCCTATAGAGCAATTGGGATAAGTAACATTAATATGGGATTCTATGGTATCTTACAGAGATCGAATGGCAACTTTGTTCATCTCAACTCAAGATATTCATCAAGGATTATATGTTAATTTTTTTTAAAAATTGAATACTCATTGACGGCCGATGATCAGATATTAAGAGTCTACCCGGGTATATCTGCGACATGATCTATACCCACAACGTACTAAGTGAAATAGAAAAGAATGATGTCTATAGATATATAAGTATCTCAACACAATATCAATATCAATCTATGTCATCATTAGTAAAAAAAGCAGCTGAAAGAGTCCATCTCCTATAAATATAAAATGGATCTCACAAAAGAATCTGTAAATCCTCAAAACTCATCTTACGATTCTTCTAGACCATACGCGGAATCACACTTATGTCCTGAGACACAGAAATAGGATACAAACCTCGCAAGGTTAAGGTTAGAATAGAGATAGTAAGAGAGAGAGAGAAACCTGTAAAGTAGGATCCTAACTTGAAGCATCATCCGCAGATATAGACGTCGATGCACGTTGCATAGTATGTATAATACAACACAAATAAAATATCTAGCTCATTGTTACGATCACGGATCTTACAGTAACCGATCGTGTGTTTACGAGATGCGATTCGATCAAATTAGTATGGGATTAAGGTCATGTGAGGATCTGAAGAGCACAGACTCTGTTATTATATGATTCCCACCGATCCCACCGACTTAAATCAAGTGGGGGCGATGGGATGATGGGATAGGGAGTACGAAGATCTATATAACTAGGAGGGATTCTCTCACTCTAGAGCTTCGTGCTCAAGATCAATCATTTAGTATACTCTACTATTAGTTACGAATTGCATATCATTATTGTCATTACTTAAGTCCCTGCTTGACGCCTAGTTATAAACCACCTCGAGAGCCTAGAGCACTTCCACGTGATCTAGACGGCAAACCTCGTAACACTCATTGATTATAAATAAATATAGAACTATTCTTATATTAAATCATCTCTATTAAATTTTTATATTTTATAAGACTAAATTTTTGACTCATCATCATTATTTGATTATATTTATTAAATATTATAAATTAAATAAATGATGTTTTTCTTTAAATTCTTGTCACGATTCACCATTAGGATTAGTGTCCTGAGGCAAAATTATCACGTGATGGATAGACTGGATAGACCAGTCTATCCAGGCTATCCAATAGCATTCAGAAGTATATAGTCAGAGTAGTCTCATAGTATAGGAGCTTCGTGCTCAACTTAGTTATCAATTAGTTTACCCACATTCTACTTGATCTAGTAACGACTTCACTTCCAAGTGAATGCCAGTGATAAAGCCTTAACCCATAACTACCAACCAGACGAAACCTTAGGCAGCCGCTGCCTCCAGTACAGTATCGTGACAATTCTCTTCTTAAGAGATATTAAAAATAAATAAATAATATAAATTTTAAAGAATAAAAAAACTTTATAGAAAACTATTTTTATATTTTAAAGTATTCATCTAGAATATCTATTCATACCCATTGAACTATTAAATGCCATACTCTGTATCATTTGATTATCCACTAATATTCTCAAACCTTCTCAATACCCACCTAGTATATTAACCCAACTTGCTTGCAGATGGATCTAGCACCCAGCATCCATCATACTTGGAATATCCAAACAAATCCTCCAATTCTATCAACCTTTATCAACCATAGATAAATCCAATGAAAGCCTTGATCCAATCAATCATTTATATCATTCAAATATCCAAAAACTGTGTTATGTGCTACTCGAGTATCAGTATCACACTTACACTATATACTACCTACACCTGTCAGAAATGCTTGACCTCTTTCCTTTTCTCTTCTCTTCCCATTTCTCATTTCACTCTTTTTTCCTTCTCTTCGTTTATGCCGTGTAAGGTTACTATTCAGTAGTACCGCACTGTACAACACTATCCTACCTATCTATTTACTTACTTGCTTAGCAGAGATAAAGAGATAAGGGATATACGGATATACTACCTCGATCCTTCAAGCCTTACTCCACTTCATTTCACTTTACTAATAAACTTAAAAGCAAAAATATCAATGAAAATACACTTTATATATATTTCTCTATTTCCTTATTTATCCTATCTTAACTATACACTCATCTATCGATATACCGATTAAGCAACTCCTCAAAACGAACACATACTCCGTACTCAATGCCTCACACATATTCCCCCTCTATATGCTCCATCCATACAACCTCTCACTCCCCTCTACCAAGTTCTCGCTTTTTCCCTTCCTTGCCCTTCCCCTCATCCTCCTTTCCTTGCCACCCTCGCCATTACACTACACCACACTAGTAGCACAACCACTAACCACTCACTAACCACCATCCACTAACCACTCAGCATCCACCATCCACCATCCACCAACACAACCACTAACCACCGTCCTCCGTCCACTCACCCAATTCACCTAGTTCCAAACACCACCCGTGACCCATCCGAGAATGAAAACCCCCTTTCCCGTCCCTTCCCTTCCCGTTTCCATTTCCGATTCGTTAGTTCTACATAGTTCCATTAGTCCCATTACTTCTAACTTCTAACCCCATCACCTCCTCCACTTCCGTAGTTCCGGTTCCATTTCTTCTACGTAGTTCCATTAGTTCTAATTCTAGCTCCATTAGTTTCAACCCGTTCCTCTCACCTATCCAATCACCTATTAGTCAGTCAGTGACCTATCCAATCCAGTAACCTTATCCCCATTCACTCAAATTCACATTCACAGCCTCACGAATCCCATCCCAACAGCGGGGTCACCGTAAGATATCTTGATCATATTACTCCTCACTCTATATTCAATATCCCCAAGAAATGCACCAACCAATCCAACCAATGATTTCCCAATGCCCCCAATCCCCAAGCATCACCTAGTTGAGAGATTTGTGCGGTGCGGTAACCACACGGCGCGATCACTGTGTTCAACCTTAGAACTCCTCCGTATAGATACCCACCCTAGATAACTCCGTAGATAGTGGGGTAAAGAGGCACAAACAACGCAAAAGCTCATGCACGACACATCATAGGATGCGAATGCACGCACAAAGACAATTGGACAAGATCGACGAAAAGTTGAAACCCCTTCCAACACGGAACTGAATGGCAAGCGATGACCGATTTCTGATGCTTTAGGCTGGGATGGGAAGGGGGGGGATACTTAAGAGTGCAACTTTCTTTTTTTCTACTGAGCTGAGTCTTACAATCACAACCACACAATCAAATAAACGAATCAACAATTCTTCAATATATCCTAAATATCAAACCTTTTAACCACAAATTACCTCAAATCTATCATCATGCCTGAAGATCACGGATGCAGCTGCGGTGCTTCTTGTATGTATAGCCTTTTCTACCTTCCAGTTCCGGCATACCGTTATTCGGATTGCTTTAGATGAAGATGAGGATTAAAAAAGAGTCATACTAATACTATTCATAGGCCAATGCCCAAAGGACAACTGCAATTGCAGCAAATAAATCTTTCGACATGATCCTCGAATCCGTTTATTAAACACCTAATCTTCTCTCGAAATCATCTCGAATTTTCTCTTGAAATCCTCTTCTTCGATACGAACAGAACAATTTGATCTTTTGGGCGGACGCTTTTCATTTCACGGACACGCATTGGATACAGAATGGTCGTCGTTGGTTTGGACTTGATGGAGTGAAATTGGAGGAATGGAAAGCTTTTGATATGGGGGTTTCATTGCGGAAAGGCAACGGAAAGGAAAAGGGTTCTCGAACTTGCTTTGATAACATCAAATCAATTGACATCTTGACTCCAAAACTCGTTATCGTAAATTGCTTTCGAGGTGATGATCTTTGTGGTTGTGACATGAGAACTCATTTATCTTTTCTCGACAGTGAAGTTCCCCCACCATGTTTCATCAGTGAGTGCGGGGAAAGAACAAATAATTCTTCACTTCAGGACGGACTTACCAATTATTTCCCTTTTCATTTGTTATAGCTTGATCCAATTTATATCATATCCTCTACTTGCTTTATCAAATTCATCAGAAGCCTTCGACAGCCGGAAAGTTCCTCGATGGATGGGTCACAAGCTTTCAACCATGGGAAAGTTCCTCGGTGAAAGGGTTGCAATCACCAGCTTGATCCCAGCCCATTACCAAGCAAGTTCAAAGTCGCCAGCTCAAACCCCAAGACTTTTCCTACCACACTTACATTATCACACAGCGTAAACACTGATTGCTCTTCCCTACCTCTCTGGAGATCTTGATTGAAATGTCCACAAAAGTGTTGCCACGTCGTGAAAGCCTTCTTATCCGCCCATCCTATCATCTCATTCAACCTTGCCATCCCGTTCAAGAATAGATATGTCAGATTAATCTCAAAGCACCATCTTGAAAGTAATGTTGAGCTATCGTCGACTATGATCAGTGTATCCGAAAAATTCACCGTGACTTCATCCGGTGGCTATTTTACCTCGATATCATGTCCTCCTTTAGAGCAAGCTGCATCATCGACTTATATCCAGAAATTTGCCGACACTGTGCTACCGCAAGTGAGGCCATGCTACTCAAAATCAGTGCGATGATCATTCAACACTATCTCACCACGTTTTCACACATGTACCCAATTGCCATCTAGTTCGTATTTCTCAGGTTAAGCAAAACACTAACCTGGCACCAAAATCACGGGCAAGGACACCAACGCCGTCGAGCAATAGTCACCAGATAAAGTTTGATTCCTTGCCTGTTCTTCCATTTGTTGTGATTCATCGTATCTGACCGTAGTTGGGGAATATCTCTCAATTCGTCAAGGTAAATCCTAGAACCATAGATCAGTCGCAGGTGGAATCCTGTGTCTCACTCAACCCTTGGCTTATTTCACAAGCTCCTGGTCTGCAGCCGTGAAAGGTTAAACCTCATTATCCGAGTATAAGTACCTGCTCTCCTCCTCACTTCCTGGGAATTCGTTCATCTGTCAACATCGACACAATTATTCAAAATAACATCAATACAAATCAAAACAACAAGACCAACACCACAAACCTCACAAAACCCTATATCAACGGTCATCATGTCTCCTTGCTCTTGCTGCACTCATGCTGCATCTGAATGCTCGACTTGCACCTGCTGCAAGGACAAGGTAAGCTCATATTTGCCGCCATCGAGGAAGAATAGATGTTAACAGCTACTCACAGCACTAAGAACCTCACCTATTCCCTCCCCTCACATCAATCCACATGTATCTAACCTTCCTGTCACCCCGTCGTATCACCAGCTATCTCGACTAAGACAGCGATACGGTAACGCGCAGACCACGAAGACGTGAATACAATATCACTTGATGGGTTGGAATGGTGATGAAATTTTTCGATTAGAGGTGGTGTCGCATGTATATTTCTTTGGGGTGAGATAGTGGGTGTATGTCCATCTTTTTGACTGCTTGTGCTGTTTTTCAAGGGACGGGTATCTGAATGGCAATACACTTGACTTGATATTCGTTGGTGGCTTATGATGAATTCATTACATTCGCTTCAGTAATCTTCCATTTGACTCGGTCGTGACAGGATGAACTGAATTGTAACTGGGTGTTTGTGCTGTGCTGTGTAATATGAAGCTGTCTCCTGGAATCGTAATAGGTGGAAGGACCAAGGAGGAAGTGTGTAGATGTCTCATGATTGAGAACTTCAGGGTGTTGCTAAACGGAACAAGATGGTCTGTAGAAGCAAAGCTTAGACACTAGAAAGGACCTAAGCTGATGTTATCCACCGCCATAGTGATTCATCAAACCTCGCTCATGATACCCAAAGCTTGTCAGCCAAAGTAGGTTGAGGATGGATGAAGATGGAGGGTAAAAGTCAGACAATCGAGCCAAATATAACATATGAATTAAAACACACACATAGTATCATCACAATGTAATATAACAACAAGAAAAAGATCAGATAGACATCTATCTAGAGCGACATGCCCGACTTTATAGCTCTTAAGCACCCATCCATTACCAACACCTTGATGGATACCTACCTACCTATGCAGCACCTTCCAAGTTCCAAATGCGTGTCACTCTTCATTGACACCTTGATGGGTACCTGCCTATTGCCTACCTAGTAATTAATGGCTCTCCCTGCTTACCTGTTAGTCTATCAATCTATCACCCGTGGATCCTATGGTTATGCTAGTGTTAGATGTCCATCTGATATCATCCATTTAAAACTCCCAACCACCGAATACTGCACATGGTCTTCGAATCCCAGGCACTCGAGGCATCCGAGGAATTCGAAATATGTGGGCTATAATCTTACCATAGGACTGAGTAATATTTGAAAAGGTTTCAATTTGTCTCAAAACATATATCAAATGTTTTAGTATCTGATAATATGGTAGGCCCAAGGTTCAACTTGGTGGTGATTTTGAAATTTGACAAAAGAATAAACGACTTGGTTTTTCGTAACAAAAAGCAAAATCTATCATCTATCATACACTATCATAATAGCCATCCATCAACAGTGACCATATCATCTTCTATGATATCTTGGCCGTGGCTTGATGTACCTTTTCCTGAGCATCTCCAAGCTTCTATCAATCTATCTTGAATGTGTTTGGTTGGCCATGCATGCTGCTTCTCGGTATATTTTAATACTTCAAGAATGCTTTCTTGTTCTTCTATTTTTGTGAACTGTTCACCGCCTGTGAAAGAACATCATTAATTAATTTTCTTGTTTACTGATGAGATGTCGGAAGACCTACACATGGAAATAGCCATACATGCCGTATTCATGGCAGGCGGCGACCGATGATTTGATATTGCAACACCACAAAGACGTTTAACGATCGTGTTTATTTGTGCCTACAGATTATGAATTAGTATGGGCAATCAAAGTCGTAAATGAGAGAGAATACCTCTATCCTTTGGCTGGCTGCTCGATGACCCGGTCCCAGCCTTGGTATTCGAGGATTGTAGGTTGTGAGTAGGATCTGGGAGATGTCCATATGTTGATGGGCGGTGACTATTCTCTATAGTAAGCGTCGCATTCTCTCAAGTAATCTGGAACAGCTTACCATGACAATCAGATAAATACCATATCTCTGGTAAGGCCTGCTTTGTATTCCAAGTGGCACCTCTTTGGTACAATGCGTCGAAGGATTGTGGACGCAAGTTCTCCCAGCCTTCATGATACTGAACTAGCATATCATAATCACTGTTGGTTTTACTCCCGTGGCCATAGCAGTATTGCAATATATCGGCACAATGAACAATTGTCCGATAAGCCCAGGTGAAATCTTCTGCATATTCTAAAGACCGATATTCGTGGCACTGCAAAGGCATATGAAAAGGCCTTTGCTTGATGAATGCCATATGAACTTCTTGCCTATACGCCACCCGAAAAGCGGCTCTACGAAGACTGCTATCAAGACCTCCTGATGCTTGAGCTGTGATAAATACTTGAGTCCCCTTTTGCGCCCAATCTCCACCACTCAAAGGAGCTACAATATGTGATTAGTCAATTGATATCAAATTCTTGTGTTGGAAGAGCAAACCATCGATTTCCTCGTAGAACCTTAATATCACAGAAGCCACCAACAGATTTTCATCATATAGGGCATCGAGATCATCTGACACAGATACAAGATGCTCGATACATTTGCTATGATATTCAACAGCAGTCTCCATTTGCAAGTTGGGCAGCTGTTTTCCGTGGTATTCGACTACGCCATTTTTCTTGTATTGCACAAGTTGGCAAAGATGTCTCGCGGACGCTGTATAAATAGCATTGAGAAGTGCGGGACAATGTTTTGCTCGCTGTGGGACTACTAAAGCAAAATGCCGTTCAGGATCACAGAGGTCAAACTGAAAGAAATCGTAAGTAAAAATCGCTTTTTGTTAGAAAAACACGTACTAAGCAAGCCAACTCATCTGCAAAATATCTCAAAAGACAGGCTTCTTGTATTTCCGACTGTTGTAGCCCATCAACGGCTTCAACACCAACATTCAATGCTTGAGGGAAGAATGTGGGTAAGTATGATCCTACAGGTCGCTGTGGCATAGTTCCATCAAATATGCTCGATTCGGTGAGATAATCATTGGTTTTTGCAGGCCTTCTTGGGTATGACTTGACGTTCGTATTCTTATTTGAAGAGGTTGAATCACCATCATCTGGTCTCCGTCTCTTCACCGGGGATTTTGCCTGATGCTTGGAGAAGGAACCTCTAGGTGCTTTGGTACGAGAGGTAAGAGCTGATTCTACCAACTCTGTCGACACAACGGATTGAGGCGTTTTCTTCCGCCGATCAACTGACTCTAATGTGGGCTCGCTTTCACGTTTTAGTACTGTTGTATATATCTCATCTAATTCGGGAGCCTCATCGACAAACTCGGAGCATACTAGAATACAAATGAGTGAGAATAATTGCCAGAAAGGCAGATTTTACTTACTTTTTCCCGATGTTTTCACCCATACCTGACCCTTGAAGTCGGAATCGTAACGGGCACTTGAACCATGACGAAAACGTAAGTTTCCAAATGAGTTAGAAGAGCTCGTATGGAGACTTCCGTCTTCTACTTAATCATGTCAGACATTGGATTTAAAAATTGGAAAGAAGTGATATGCCAAATCAAGTATTGAAAATCGGACTTTTCAGCCAAAATCCCCTATGCTGCAGGATAGCGAGAATTGAGAGCTGTAGACTCTCTAATGCACTTACCAATGTGGTTCTGCTCAATTGCAGAAACCCTAATAGTCACATATTAGCCCATTCCGATAGAACATGTTGAGCTGCCTTTTATTGTATTCGGCGGTGAGATAGATTACCTAGGACTTGACATTGGAATCTTTCAGAAACCTCGATATTCTCGTGTGACGGGTATCATCACTGTATGAAATCCTCGTGGTAAACAGCATTTGCAATTGTCGAAGCTCAATGGATGAAAAGTGATGTCTTCCAATATTTACAGTATCGTGTAATAAAGTATTATTACAATAATATACTGAACTTGTGATGGAAGAAGACGTGGGGAACTGGGGTAAGAGGGTGGGGGTTTGGTAATGCTGGGGAGTCGGCGGCGTCGGAGATACCCTTTAGTACCTATCCGCACAAGTACATAGTAGCCAGGGCTGCTGACTCTACAAACTCCAGTTTTCCATATATATAGTATTTGGATAGTCCCCTTTGCCCTTCTATATGAAAGGTTCAATGAAGAAATTTTATCTTTCCATCTGCTTGATAGTCTCTGCACGACTTAGGATCTATTATCTTGCAGCATCAACTTTCAATACATTGAATATCATGAACACTTGAGGGGAGAGTGTGATTGGTTTCAACCCTTAGTATTTTCTCATTGAACGCTTCTGATGCTAGAGTGGGAGAGATTTCTTCCGTAGCCAATGGCCAACAAGTCATGATACTTGTAAGTTGCAAACAAGCCAAGAACCGAAGATATTCCGACTGTTAGGATAAACCGTGCTGTTAGTCTGTATACTCCGTACACATATGCATGTACATCTGCAGATTATTATTCTCTCATGCATGTTGATGCAAAGATTCCCGAATGGGAAAGAAAGATAATCAGGGACAATGATCCATCCTCATCAACTTTTGCGACTTCACCGACTTTGTGGAATGCGATAGGAGGTCGATTGGGTCTCGAGGGGTTTTCGTTCCACTATCATGTGACAGGGAAGTAAATGAGGCGATTGGGAAGATTTTCATTTTCGATCTTATACACTATCTAGGAACTACGATTAGATTCTGGCATCCTCGAAACACGATAAGATTCAAAAACAATCATTGTTGCGAAAATCGAAGCTAGCATGATAGCATTTTAGTCATCATGTAATGTTTCATCTTAAAAGACAGCTAGGCTCTCCTGGTTCGATGAAGACGTTCATGGAACCAAAGTATTAGGTAGATCAATAGTGAACAAGTACTCCCTCCGTAAGTGCTCGCTCGTACCTACGAGTAGTCATGGATATCAACGACTACTTTGTAAATACCTAGTACCCACCTAGGCAGGTAATAACTTTATTGGTTTGATGAATGAATTGAAAAAGCACCTAGGTTGTTAGTTGCTTGGATATGAACTCATTCATAGGTAAGGAAAATAAGAGGCTCCCCAACTCATTTATAATTTTCATTCGATGGGCCAATCCCTTTTGTGCAACGACCTCATACCATATTGATTAAAATACGTACCTACCTACTACATACGTCCTACTTACTATCTACCTACCTAGTATCGTATCCAGCTGAAATGAGAGGAATGCTTTCGAAACATTCTCACCAACTAAACCTCAAACACCTAAACACCTAAACACTCGCTCCAAACTCCAAACTCCAATTGAAATTTCTTCTCTTCCCTCTCTGTCCTTCCAATTTCATTGAAAAGTAATCTTCATCAAATTCCAGTCAATTGTTGATTGTGAAATACACTCATTACTAGATCATCCATTACCCATTCTCAATTCTCCTTTCTCCTCTTTTAGACTTCGCTCCCCAATAGAATCCCGTACTCTGTATGCTACTGTACAATTCCGGGGCCTTTTTACCAAATCAAAACTGATAAGACCTCATTTCGCATACAATAATTGCAAAGGTAAAAGCTTCGAGACTAGACCGTCGATCCCCTTAACTTAACGGTTTTGCTTTGGTAGTACCAAAAACCAAGCAAAGCCCTTCAGAATAAGCTCACAATTCCCCATTGAACCTCTTTTTCTCAAACCGCCACCTTGACATTTTCTCAATCTCGTTCGATGTAATGAGATGAGATATTCCACAGTCGCTTTTGCGCCATTGAACTTCGATGAATTCTCAAAGCTAGATAACACAATCAACTCCAATGACAGTGCTTAAAGACGCGTTTGCGCGATCCGATACATTTTTGCGACCCCGGTCTGAGTATATTTCGAGTCCCGGAAAGCAATCCGACGATTCTACACCTTCGACGCCTGATAAAGATTCAGAACGAAAACCACGGGCTGTGCGAAAACCCTCGCCTGGTCTTGCCGCCCGACTTGCAGCGTTAGGTTTTGGAAAGGAACCCGATTCAAATTCAACAACGACAACGGCACAAGCTGAACGAATTGGGCGCATCCCTGAAGATCAAATTCGCCAACTTGACCACCTCCACCGCGCTAATTCGACGAGTTCGCACATTCACCGACGAGGTCGAGCTTGGAGTGGCAGTATCGGTCTCTTGACGCCTCAAATAACTGGCGGTAGCTTTAAAGAGACAAACCTTCGAGAGATCACAATCAGTGACACGCGAGTCCCTGACAGTGCCACACATTCAACACCTTCGCCTGATAGCTTTCGTAATCAGGAGATGACAACAAATGTTGACCTTACAGGAATGGATTCTCAGAAGTATCGATTACCAGAACATACAAATGCAAATGGCACAAAGACGATGGCAGATATAAAGCAGGCGCATATTGTGCGAAGGATACCTCCTGTCGAAGAAATCAAAATACCTTCACCTCCTGTTCATGACGACGAAATACCTCCACCTCCCATAGCTAAAGATACACCGCCAAGCGCGACAACACCCAGCGAATCCTCGAATGATGTCTCATCCTACTTCAATCCTTTCGGTCATCAACGGGCAGGGTCAATATACACACTGTCGCGGGCGTCTTTCGCAAGTCAGCTTGCCCAATTGACGTCATTGCAACTGCCAGATGCCGCCTCGTTGTCAACAAAAATATCCGCAATTCCTAGCTCGAAATCCGCCTCAAAGGCATTAATGGGGGCTGCGGAACAAATCAGGAGTTGGATATCAAAGGCATCAGACGTTGTCTCTGGCCTTGATGGAGAGGACGATGTGGAATGGGCTGCAGCTGGTGGTAGGGAAGGGCTAGAAGAAGTTGATAATGCGATCACACGTTTCGAAAAATTAATTAATGTTTATGTCTCAGCCATCGAATCACTACAAGAACGGACTGATATTGCTATGGTACCTGCAGACGAACTTCAAAAGGTCGTACTACAGGTAGAAAGTATACTTGAGGAATGGGAAAAGATCAAGAGAAATCTGAAGGCGGTAAAGAACTCTGTTGAGATTGCTATGGAATGGGAGGAGTTGTGGAACACAGTATTGGGCGATATAGGCAACGAGGTGGATATTCTGGCGCGTCTCGTTTTTGAAATGGAGGAAAAGAGACACAAGTCCTTGGCAGAAGCCGATAGCGACGGAGTTGATATCAAGGAGCTTGAGACCATTGTGGAAGAAACGCCCCGGTCCAAGGCGAGATTACAAATCGGCAATCGATTCGGCATGTCTTCCTCCTCCCCAGCTTTCCCTTTGAGCCCGAATTCGCCAGTGACGCCGATAATGGCCCAAGACGACTCTAGTCTACTAGCATTATTTGCACGAATGCAGCCTTTGAGAGCTTCTTTGGACTTTTTACCTATGAGACTGTCAACGTTTCATTCTAGAGCCGAAGCGATCTTTCCAACGGCTTGCGATGAACTGGAAAGTCGCCGAGGTGGTTTGGAAAAAAGTTGGAAGTCTCTCGAAAAGGATGCCGAATCATTACGAAGGGAACTTGGTGAGGATCGGTGGGTTCTCGTCTTCCGCGGTGCGGGTAGACAAGCACAGAAGATGTATGAATCAGTCGAAAGAAGTTGTGCCAAGTTGAAGGAATCTCTTGACAATGGGGTTCATCTGAACAATCCAGCTACAATGGGCAAGAAGATAGAGAGTTACGAAGCGAAGAAGGTGCATTACGGTCCAGCCATTGAACGAGTTTTATCCATCATAGAGAAAGGGGTTAAGGACCGCCTCACTGTCAATGGCGAGATTTTGAGATTACACTCGGACATGCAACAGAAGTGGGATTCATTAAAAGGCGAAATGAATGAACTGGACACAACACTTGAAGAACTCCAGGGAGATCACAGAAATCAGCAGCTCAGGGATTCAATCTCAAGCATGGTTTCAAATGATCGATCAACCCTGGGAAGCTTCAGCAATGACACACCAGGAAGTTCACCAGCATCTTCAGTAATAATGTCAGGTTTAGGCAGTAAGCTTGACGCCACGACGTCTGGTAGAAATGGCAAGATGCGTCCCACTTGCAGAACTAGTTCACCCCAAGTTGGATCAAATAGGAACCTAACTGCTGGACAACCTCCACGTTCTTTCAGTCGAGCATCTCCATCTCCTATTCCTTCCCGACAAGGCTCAGCAACTCCAACAGCTCGACTTCCCCGACCTTCCAACACTCCCGTTGACAATCGTCCTCGATGGAACAGCAGCACCAATACCAATGACACACTTATTGGACATGGTTACAAACCTCTCAGTATCACAACTCCAAGTCCTAATCAACGTCGTCCACCTTCTACCAATTCGAATCGTTCCACTAGATCCAGCACGTCTGAGTCTAAATTACCTCTACGAAGCCCACTCGGTCGTGGAAGTACCGCCTCTCCAGTCATCCAAGAGCCTACGACCCCTTCGGGGAATAGGCCGGCCTCGCGAACCGTACGACGTGACGCTTCTACCCCAGGGCCATACTCTCAACAAACACTATCAGTTAATTCACCTTCCCACCCCCGTCTTCTTGGTAGCAAATCATCCATGTCCAATCTCATAGGTGGCAATCGTCGCTCCTCGATGCATCCTTCGTATACATATGACGCTAGGTCTAGCAGCCCGGTAGTCAGGAGACCTGCTAGTTCATTGGCTACTAGCAGAAGGATTAGTCTTTTGCCAACCCCAAGAGGTAGAAACTCGGAAATGGCTGGTCGGGAGAGTCCCGCACCAAACAGAGGCAGCAGCACATCTACCACTGATAGCAAAGGTAACCCCAAGAAGCCATGGAGACCATGAAGCCTTGAGAAACGACATTTATGAGTAGCTGAGGCACTTTGATTGGGTTGGTGTTCCACCGTTTGATTTAAGATTTACACAGCATGGTTTGTAGGCGTTTTCTACTTCATCACACCATTTGAAACACGATGCTTTTAGCGACTTTAATTTTTTTATGCCGTAGAATACACAATGTGGATGGAGCATTGAAGGAGTTTAAATGGATGGCATGATCGAAACGTGTGCCGGTACAAGATTCTTTTTTTCTTTTTTCTTTTTCTTTTTTTTAATTTTATATTTGAAGAGTATAGAAAAGCGATGCGATGCGATGCGATGCGATGGAATGTGATGGATTGGAATTTGGAGGGTGTTGAAGGACCGCGTGAAGTAAACGAAGAAGAATGATACCATTACCTGTATGATAGTGAAATTAGGATTATTTAGCGACGCAAAGACTGTGATACCCTTTAATTTATAATCATAGATGTATATGTTCTCTCGAACTGATAGGATGAAATCAAATGATGTGAGATGAGATGAGGTGATTGTGAATAGGTGATGGCTAAGTCATTTCTTTCCTAGGTACTCCAGCTTCAGTCAGCTCCATGTATTTCGTACCTGATCTATTTATCACCCTAAAACATTCTGTCGGTGTATAACCCGTTCATCTGATATCTAGGTGGGTATTGAAAGAGTATGTTTGCTTGCTTGCTTGCTTGCTTACTTATCCTATTTATCTATTTACCCTTTCTACTAAATCATATAACCTAGACCTGTCTTGAAATTCAAGATATATCATATTGTATTATCTAGGTACGATCGATCAAAGAGAAACCCCCTACCTACTTAGTAGTAATAGCACCTAGCTAAGCTAATACCCACCAAACATTACTAATCCCATCCGATGATTCGTTCGATGATTTATTTCCTATTTCCTATACTCTGGAGTCTGTACGGTAGATAACCACCGGTGAACTAGTAAACCATGATAAAAAGTGGATCACATTCGTCACTTTTTCTCTCCGTTTGACTTTAAACCCCAGCTTTGTGGGGGTACTTTCACTAGGTAGTGACTAGGTACTTTGCATTAGGTACTAGATAGAATCATTTGTGGTTTCCGGTTTAATGCGTGCCGAAGTCGCTGGTTGGTATTTGGGGTGAAGTGTGAAGTGTGAAGTGTGAAGTGGGAAGTGGTACTAGTGAAGTTTCTTGTACATTTCTCTCTCCTTTACACTTTACTTCCTAGGTATTTTGTGTTTTGATTTGCTTATTTCTTATCTATTTCGCTGGATTTGATGCTCGAGTACTGGTAGTCTTACTTTACTTTAATTTACAGGTTCTTTGAGGATATACGGATTGGATCTCTGTATTCTATTGCTTGATTGGTTTGATCGGTCAATTGGAGTAGGAAATTCTCAAGGTTGAGTGAAAATGACAAAGACGTTTAAGGGTTCGGAAGGTATGGGGTTTTTGCTGCATCTTGTCTCATCTCATCTCTACTTCTCTATATCTTTTACCAATGCTTGATTTGCACTTCCGCAAACGTCAATTGATCATCGCATTTTACTCATTGTCATCATCTATTCCAATAAACTAATATACAACGATAGTCGCATCCCATAATACTCTCGAGTCATGCTGGGTATGCATCAATTCAACCATCTACGATGTAACGGAATTCCTTCCCAACCATCCCGGCGGATCCAAGATTGTTTTAAGTCTTGCTGGTAACATAGACGCTACCGAGGAATTCGAAATGATTCATCCGCCTGGAACTTTAGAAGAGAATCTCGATGCCTCCAAAACAATCGGCAAGATTGACGCTTCAGAACTAAGAGAACCGGTTGAAGAGAAGAAAAAGAGTTCTCCTGTTGAAGATGCGAGTCAAAAAATCGAGGACGAAGATGCGATTGATATAAATACCGATGTAAAGACCCTATTGAATCTAGACGAGATTGAACAGTTGGCCACGAAGAAAATGTCGAGTAAATGCTGGGCGTATTATTACTCGGCGGCTGATGATCTCTGGTCGAAAAGTTTCAATAATGCCGTGTATCGACGGATTCTCCTTCGACCACGAGTCTTTGTCGATTGCACGAAATGTGATTCTTCAACCACGATCTTGGGACAAGAAGTCGGGTTACCCATTTTTGTATCCCCGGCGGCAATGGCTAGATTGGCGCATCCAGCTGGCGAACAAGGGATTGGAAAGGGAATTTCGAGCTTTGGAGCTGTGCAGATTGTCTCCAATAATGCGAGTATGACTCCGGAACAAATTGTAGAGGGTTCACTTCCGGGACAGATTTTTGGTTGGCAGTTGTATGTGCAGAATGAGAGGAAGAAGAGTGAGGCTATGTTGCAGAGAATTAATGCAATGAGTGATAAGTATAAGTTTATCGTTTTGACGTTGGATGCACCAGTGCCAGGCAAGAGAGAACATGATGAGAGACAGAAGGATGTAGGAGCCAATTTACCTGTTTCATCATCAGTAAAGGCAAAGGAGAAATTGGAAGATAACAGCCCCCCAGCTGGTAAAGGTGGAGTGGGAAAACAATTGTTCATGGGAACAGCTGCGGATTTGACCTGGAAAAATACATTGCCGTGGTTGGCTCAACATACTAAATTACCAATTGTGTTGAAGGGTATTCAAACTCATGAGGATGCATATCTAGCATCTCAATATGCACCACAAATTAAAGGCATTATTCTTTCGAATCATGGTGGAAGAGCTTTAGATACAGCGCCACCGGCTATCCACACACTCATGGAGATTCAGAAGTACTGTCCGGAAGTTCTTAGTAGGATAGAAGTCTGGGTCGATGGAGGTATCAAGCGAGGTACAGATGTAGTGAAAGCTCTCTGTCTAGGAGCTAAAGCCGTTGGAGTCGGCAGAGCTGCATTATTTGGTCTCGGAGCTGGTGGTCCAGAGGGTGTAGAGAGAACTTTCGAAAGTAAGTCATATCCGATTTTCTAAATTTCATGCAGTACTCCCACTCTCCTTATCTTAAAAAATGACTAGAAAAACAACAACAATTGAGAAATTTACTAACACATCCAATCCACTAGTCCTCAAATCCGAAATGGAAACTTGTATGAGACTTCTAGGTGTAGAGAAGATCAGTGAATTGGGTCCTAAACATATCAATGCCAGAGCGGTCGAAAGAGATTTATATGATGGACATCCCGGATTGGAAAAATTGGGATTGTGGGTAAAGGCGAATTTGTAATTTAGAAGGTGGGAATGTGAGTATTGGGTTGATGGGTGGGATGTATGTAATGTATGGTAATGTGTATTTGGATAGATGAGTTAATAGATAAGTTTATGTTTATCTTCTCGTATTAGGTACGATTCAATAATTAGTGTATCATCAAGTTTAATAAGTGCTTAGATTGTGTGTGTGTGTGTTTTGTCTGTTTGTCTGTCTGTTTCTTTTGATTGGTTTGAAATGTTATCGTACAAGGTTAGTTTATATAGTAGTAAGTAATCTTACAGGATTAATAGGAAAGAAAGAAATTTTGAAAGATAGGAATGAATTGAATAGGTACCTAAACAAGCTAATATTAATAATAACAAAAGAGTAGTTAATCTATATCTAGGTAGTACTACATAGATCCTTCAAGTTTGAATACTACGTATAAATCTAGAAAATACAGTAATTAACCATGAGATAACTAGATAGATATAAGTTATAACTGCCTACTGAGAGGAAAGTAAGATGTTTAAGTCTTGAGATCTTACAATATTAATGAAGCAGTAGGTACGTATGGATTACGGAAAAGCAAAATAGGGAGGGAGGGTAAATTGTGAGTACCTAGGACTTATTTATTCATTTATTTTATGAGTATATTTTTATTTGAAAAAAAAAATATATATATATATATTATTTATTTATTCATTCATATATAGATAGGTATAGGGTCACATATATATATATATACTCTCAGCTCATCACAAGCTGGAATGGAGGGAAAAACTCAAGATAGGATGACAAGCTATCTAGTAATGTAACTCGCGTTCTCTCGTTCCATCATTAACAGCTATCGTACCATTTCAAGTTCTTACATTCAGCAGTGGCAAATTAGATATATAGAATATTGACTTTCTGCTCCTATCCTCATGCACCACAACTAAGTACAAAAAGAAGGCGGTAGAAATGAAGGCTTGGTGACGAAACGTGGAAAAATGGCTCACTCGTTGGCGTTCCTATCTGTATCTTTTTGTTTCAGTTATGTTATTGAGTAATGACCGGATGACTGGGTCATGTATAAAGGCCCTGGGATATTCCTGATGAAAGTTTCACTGCAGCATCTTTTACAGTACTGCATTTGTATCTGCCATTCATCTGCAGATTGCCGTTGAAATCTCCGAGAGGATCCAGTCAAGTAGGATCGGTTGCTCTACTTTCTCATAATCACCATGCTCCTCAAACTCGCACTTGTCTGTCTGGGCAACCTCGTTACTTCAATCTGTTGCATCGATGTAACAGTAAATTCCATTCTCGATGCTGAGATCAAAGTTGCTTCTAGCCAGCTTGACAAAATGAATCTTCCGTTGAATAACAACCTGACTTGGTTCTTCGATTTCACAACGCAACCTCACTACACCTACACGCCAGGCGCTGTCGTCAACGCTGATGCTGCTACATTTCCTGCTTCAACTAATTACGGCATGACGATGGCGTTGATAAATTTGGGCCCATGTGGAATGTTACCTCCTCACTACCATCCGCGTGGGACGAATTTGTGGTGGCAGTTGAGGGTGTGACACAGACGTGGATGATTGAGGAGAATGGGGCGAAGCTCGTTAATCAAACGCTGAGACCATGGCAGATGACAATCTTTCCGAGGGGCAGTATTCATAGTATGCAAAATATAGGTACTGTACGTCCTCATAGGCTAAGATTATCAATGCTAAATGGAATCAAGGTTGTACCAAAGCTACTCTTGTGTCGGCGCTGAATTCGGAGGATGCAGGGACACAGAATATTCTTAATGGGTTTGCACAACTGCCAAAGAATGTAATGACAGCTGCTTTTGGTAATCCGATAGGAGGGTTCAACCTGCCTCCTATACCAGAAGTAGGCACTGGCAGTATAATTGGATCTGCAGCGTGCCTGGCAGCTTGCAGAGGGAAAATGTGACACTGAATCTAGCGCTCTCTCAACTGTAAGTTATTGACCCTCTAACGACTCAGTAAAATTGCTAGGGTTCGCACCAAATGTCTTATTTAGTGTTATATTATAGTGGCGTTCGATGATTGGATGTACAACACAATATGGCGTCGCTGTCGTTTGGTGATTGGGAAAGACAACAAAAGCTAGGGTTGTGGATTATTGCTTGGAGGAAACTATGTAGCGACTTGATATAACAACCGTGCAAAGTATGTTTAACATCGTCCCTACTCGTCTTGGTGCAATATATCCGTAGTAACCACGCAGAGTCTGACACTGGCTGTCAAGGTTGATCAGACGAGGAAATAATGCTTGAAGTTGTGCATTCGAGAATATCATGAATTCACATGCGCTTATTTGCCTCCAAACTTCTTTGCGACCCAAGCGCTTCCAAATTCGTCATACTCTTGCTTCGTTACTGATAACTTCTTCAAGACATCTGGATGTTTCGCCAATTCTGCCCCACCATTCCAAGTGCTGATAATCGGATGTTCTGGTCTCGCACAACGGACGTAACATTCTGCTGGTGCAAGTGCCTTGATCTCAAGCTGAAGCCTCAAAATGAATCCTTCTATCTTTGAGCTGCCTCCTACGACAATGATATTTGCGAGGAGAGCTGGCCATAGACCCATGGGTAAGGAAGAAAGACTTTCCATGACTAATTGAGCTATGCCTGATTGTCGCATACCAATATCCGAAGGATTAAAAAGTAATTCCGGAACCGTGAATCGTTCGTTTCTCAACGTCAAAATATCTTCCGCAGCTTCCGCCATCTTCCCTTTCGTCAACTGTTTTAATTTCCCTGCTTGTAATGGATCATGGTCGCGCACGAAACCTTGAGATCGGTTATGATAATCAGGGAGAACGTAATCTTTCGCTATTCCACCACCTGTCTCAAAAATTTCTCTGCGGTCTCCTCTGGTTCCTTTCCATGTTTTCTCCATATCGCCATTGAAGTCCCTTGAGACATAACAACATGCTTCCTTGATCTCGTTGACCAAATAGGTATCATTACGCATGTCATACTGCCGGAGAGATATTAACCGTGTCAAGTAATTTGTCATGAGCTTGCCTCCCACGTCTAATCTCCGGATCGCTGATTGTAGAGGGCGACCTTGTAGAACAGGCGTGATGGTCGTATGAGAATATCCGGCATCGATGAGAAGAATTATTTCGGCAGGTAGGAGGGGCTGTGATGGATCTCGAGCTGGCCCTTTGAATATTCCTTGAATATCATTATACGCATTGAGTATTGGACCTGGATATTCGTTAATGCTAATCCACAGACAAAGCATAGTATTACATACCAGGGCATCGATAGTAGTTAGCAAAACCGAATTCCTCAAACACCATTTGATCACAGTTTGTCTGCAGAGCCGGTAGCGCATTAGGGGCCTCTGTCAATATTAGTCCTGTCTCTCGTGGATCGCAATGCAGCGGTGCTTTTTTGTCAAAGAATTCGTGCTCCCATATCTCTTTTTCTGCTTCCCAGTTCACCAAATACCCTTTTTCAACAGGTCTACGAAAAACGATGTCTCCAAAATCCTTACAGTTGTCCAACTGCGATCCAATGTAAACTTTCTTTTCGCGGTCGCGGGCGATACAGTTAGGTATAATTCGCGGCGAATCTGTGGATTCTGGAGAGGAGAAACCGGCCTTGATGGTGTAAGCTCCATTGTCAACAACCAAAGTTCTAGTTGAAGGTGCTTGAGCAGCAGCAGCTGCTTTTCGATTTGTAGACATTTGTTTTTACCTCGTCCAAATTTGGACTAGGAAAGGTCAGCACATTATTATGGCGATGATAATTGAAGTGAGTGTTGGTAGCTTTTTGAAGCTTCAATTTATTGATGATGCATTTGCGAGGGTGGATGTCGCGTCGCACTACAGAAGTCACGCAGAAACCCCCACTAAGAAAATAGTTTTCAGGCTTCAGATTTCTCAGCGTCATAACCGTTAGTCTTACACCATAACATCAACATTATGGTAGACACCGAAAAGAAGGCCAGCGATGACTTGGCTATTCTGAAGTCGACGGTCGAAACTATCAAAAATTTAATACAACAGCTACAAGCCCCCGCGAAAGCTCCGGAAGATGTCAAGGAGGGGTCATCTTCCGAAGAGACAGAGCAATCTAAGCATGCAGACGTCAACGCTATCGACCTTGCCCATGATTCAGCGAGTCTCATAAAGGCGCATTCGACAAAGCTGTCTCTTTTGATTATCAATAAACCATTTACGGCGTCGGCAATCAATAAAGTGTTGCGGGAACTTGTGGCTGGGCCTTTACCAGGCCTGGCATCTGCCGTCGAAATTTGCAACGCAGCGAAATATACGAAGGCTATGAGTGAGGAACTACAATGGAGAGTGAAGAAGGTCTTGACGGAGTTGTCAACTCTCATCAACGCAATTCCTCTGGATGGGAAAATCCTGAGCGACGATAAGAAGAATGGGACAGGTAAATCGAGTGGGAAGGGTAGTTTGGCTTCAACAGGTGTTGTATGGGATGCCTGTGATTCTGTCATAGGGCTGAAGACTTTAGGTGTAGCAGGATTGGCTATGAAGAAAGCAGAAGAATATCGAGATTTAGTCAAGGATGCGCTCGAAGAGTTGCAAGCATGGGCGGAGGAGGAATCAGATGACGATGACGATGATGAGGATGAGAATAGTGGGGATGAAGATGACGAGAAGAAAGATCCTCAAGATATTGTGGATGATCTTTTTGGATCCCAATCACATATACCCAAGGACGACCCGGAAAAGATTCGTGAAAAGCTCGAGTCGTCAACGAAAAGATTAAGACTCATAATTCTAATGTACCAAGCAGTCGAGAAGAGAAGGTTAAAGACACTTCCTCATCTACCGCATCCCGAGTTGCCTACACAACTGAAGGAGAAATCCTCCGAAGATCCAGGTATAGTGGAGTGCTTAGATGAGGTACTTGTAAGGATGAAGAAGATTACAAACCTCACGGATGATTTAGCAAGTGCGTTCTATGATTTGGATAGTGCTGCAATTGATAAGCTCATGGATGAGACTTGGTTTACAGGCTTTGCTACAGTTGAATTACTGATCAAGAATTGGGAGGGACAAAAAGACGATTTCACTACTTGGGTGCGTATGATCTTCTCAGGATTTGGATTGTTTGCTAATACTCCCTAGGCATACAAATTTCAACTTGCTATGAAAAAGGGCTGGTAATATCATTAGAGCGAAAAATTCAGAGAACTATCATTCTGCTATTACATCGGCATCTTATGTTCTACCTATACTATGATGTTTGGTAAAATATTAGATGCATCCTAATAAGTGCATCTGAGGAGGAGCTTAGATCTAACTTGGTCTTGGATTATAGATGTTGTCAAGGAGAAAATGCTTTGAACTTCTGGTTGGTATATTTAGAATACAAAAAGATATGATACCCCAAAGCAATACGAAGTCTTCTTTTCATTTCTTGAAAACACAATCAGGATTGAGACACTTACTCAGTGACAAGGTTCAAGAGACAGCAAGGATCACTGCAGGTTTCTTCTAGGAAAGTGATCTTCAGTATTTATACACCGAGCTGCAGGTTCATTTTCGTGAGGTACTCGCTCATGCATCTATCTCTACAATACTCAGCTATGCATTATCACTCATTGCCTTCGCTGTGCCATTCGCTCAATTCCGAATCTTCTTTTCATTTGTCTTTTCCTCCCGCAACAGCATCTCTTACATTCATCATAACTTTTGATCGCCTGCAACGACCGTCAACGCAGCACTCCCATATCTCGGCTTCTGCAACGCGAGATACCCCGAGGTCTGATGCCAAGATGAATACTAGGTACCCCACTTCCCCACAAACAGCTATCTGCTTCCCCATGGGATGGATAATTTCACTCCGGCTGATTCGATGGATGAACTTGCATGCATGCATGTATACTACCAGACAGACAAGATGGCGTGGGATGTACAGTATATATACCAGCTTCCTAACCTCTGCAAAAAGTGGGATGTATTTTTGTTCCTCTCCTATCTTACGTCCACCCTCACTCCCTCTCTGATCACCGAAAACCCACAATTCAGAGTCCAAGATAATATGTCCGCCGCAATCGAAGATGCACCTCCGCCGCCAAATACACAGAAAATGGACGACAAGTTCCCACAGCCTGTTTCCGAAATATTGCACGTCGAGCATATGCTTGACTCAGGAAATGACAAACCAGATCATATGGATTATGGACGTGTTGATTCTGAAGTTGCTAAATATACCAGCGACGTGCTTATCCACATAAGTGACGAAGAAAACCGTCGGCTGAAAAAACTCATCGATAGACGAGTATTAATTATAATGATCGTAACATATTTTATACAAGCGCTGGATAAAGGAACATTGGCTTTTACATCGATTATGGGCATCAGGGCAGATGCTCATGTATCTGATTCACAAGTATTTCCCCATCTGAATACCTTCGGATTTGAACAATTCGCTGATACACAACTAGTATCCATGGCTCACAACGTGTATATATATTGGAATTCTGGTCGTCGAATATCCCACCAATTGGGTCCTTCAACGAGTACCAATTGCAAAGTATCTGGGCATAAACGTCTGTGTTTGGAGTATAGTACTCTCCATGCATGCCCTCTGTCATAATTTCGAAGGTCTACTCGTCACCCGCACTCTTCTGGGAATCTTCGAAGCTGCCTGTCAGCCCATATTCGTCGTCTTATCTAGCATGTGGTACAAAAGAGAAGAACAAGCAGGTGTGGTGATATATTGGTACATGATGAATGTATGCACGTCTCTGAAGCTCCCCAAATCCGCTCGAAGAATCCCAATCTAATGATAATAAAAAACGCAGGGCGCTCAACAAATCGTCGGCGGACTCCTCGCCTACTGTTTCACGCTCCTGAAATCCGGGCCCCTCAAATCCTGGCAAGCCATCTTCGTCGCCTACGCCTGTCTCTCTTTCCTCTGGGGAATATTCATCCTAATCTGGATGCCAGACTCGCCTATGCGTGCGAAATGCTTCAGCGAACACGAAAAAAGACTCATGGTCGAGCGAGTGCGCTCCAACCAAACCGGCATGCAGAACCGCAAATTCCGCATCGAGCACGTCAAAGACGCACTAACCGATCCGCAAATGTACTGTTACTGCCTAATAGCCATCTGTACCACGTTACCGACGAGTGGCCTGGGTGCATTCGCCAATATCATCATTACGGGATTTAACTTTACGGTGCTACAAACACAGCTTTTGTCGATGGTTTTAGGCTTTTACATCATCATTGTATTATTATCGAGCCATTATCTGGTCAAGAAGTATAATCAAAATATTCTCGTCATGACATTCTACCTAATGCCGTAAGTGCAAACATTCCCTCTCATCACACACAATAATACTTACCAGAACCTTTCATCTAGATCCTTCATCGGCACCGTAATCCTCATGACAATCCGCAACACGAACTTCAGCACGAAAGTCGGACTCCTGATTTCCTACTACATAACCCTCTCGTTCTGGTCCACTGCCACTCTATCCCTGACACTCATGTCCCGAAACGTCGCCGGCCAAACAAAGAAGACCATAGTCGTAGCTGCAAACTTCATAAGTTGGGCTGCAGGGAATGCGGTTGGTCCTCAGGTGTTTCTGAAAAATGATGCGCCGCGATACTTTATCGCCTTCGCTACTCATCTTGGTTGCTACGCGCTGCTTCTTTTAGTGTTAATTTTTTTGAGATGGCATCTAATGAGGGAAAATAGAAAGAGAGATGAGTTGGCTGAGGCGGGAGTGAGACAGGCCAATGATCGGGACATGGTACACGCGTTTGATGATTTGACGGATAGAGAGAACCCTAACTTTAGATATGTATATTAAGATAAAGGGATTGGTGTTAGAGTAGACTATGCAGCTTGCCGGGACAGGGCTGTTTGATCAAATGATAATCACGATGATGCATGCATATATAATTCCGAAATACGTGTATGAAAACCGCTTTTTGTATATATCATGGTAGTGGATGAAAGGAATGAGAACATAGAGACAAGCCCTCACATATTACCAAACGGCCACCTCTCCAATCATTAAGCTGGCTAAGGTATAATTTATCCAGCATTCGAGGAGTCAAAAGAAAAGAAACATCGAAGAATTCATCCTGGACCAATAGGGATGCTGATAAGAATACTACTGTACACGCTGTCTGGTCGAACACATTAAGACCCGACAACAACACTGATGCTTCCTACAAGCCGCAACGCTACTATTTAATGGAACGATGCGAGGCCTTGAGGATCAACGGTCATTGGTTGCTTGCGCTGTTGGAAGTATGTGGTGTATCTAACTTCGCCTTTCAATAAAGAAGCAGCGTCAACAACACCCGGAATCGTTCCGTTCTCTGTCGCTTTTCCCAATTCCGTCGCTTTGACGTAGTCGGGTTGAACTGATACAGGACTATAGTCCATTAGCATGGTACGCCATATGTACGCAAATATATGCTTACCCATTCAATTCTCGATCAATCTGCAAGAATTCCTTCATGGTCTCCTTAGAACCTCTTTCTCTCAAGTACACCAAGTATAGATTGCTAATTTCCTTCTTAGTATCCAACCTCATAGATGTCTTAATCATATCGCTGTGTATTTGCTTAAGCCTTTCGTGATGCTCGGCTTCGGAGGCTGAATTGGTGGGCTGCGCCAACTCAAACTCCACGTACTTAGTCCAGAAATGACGGCTTTCGGGATACCATTGTTTGTTCTTCTGGAAAACTTGACGAGCCTCATCGACTGATCCTTGGATCTTCCACAACAAGAAAGCCCACTCAACAACAAAAGCAGCCTTTGAGTAAATATCTAGTTCTGCCGAAGCGATCTGTGCTTTATATACTTCAATTGCGGCATTAAGGCCTTTGTGGCGGCGTTCAAGATTGGCCCAGGAAATTATTGTCTCTACATGACCAGGCATGCGGTCTAGAATGGCTTGATGTATATCCCTCGCAACATCGACACGGCCGGTCATCTCCTCGAAATATGCGTATTGCAGCCTAATACCGGGTCTGCTGATAGGCACATAAAGTGTGCTTGCTCGCTGGTATATGTTTCGGACCTCTTCTTCCTTGCGCTCCTTTGATGACATCCAACGAGCATAGCGAAACCAGAACTCATCGTAGAATGCGCAGGTTACTAAACACCTCTCATATAAGAAAATAGCACGGGTATAATCACCCTCGGCCTCTTCAAAGTCCAAATACTTGCGCCAGTTTGCAAGCTGTTGGTTATCGAGCTCGGTGACATGGAAATAAGGGCGCTTGATTTCAGACTCGTACGTCCAACGTTTTGTGGTCTCTGCTTGTGTGCGAGCAAAAATTTCGAGATGGAAATTATCGATTTTGGTTCTGATGTCGCGTTCAATCTCTAATTCGCCCTTTGGTCCAGTCTGGAAACCGGCATTTTCGGATACAACATCCGCGCGAAATTGTTCGAGTTGTTCGGCAGGGAGAAGCTCTTGTAATGGACGGGTGTGAGCTAATTGGCGGAAGCGTTCGAAATATCTGGCATATTGATGCATAGGGATCTTTACGACCCGGTTCAAGATAGCGAATATTTTGTCATGGGCTTCAACTCTGTCCTCAAATTCGAGATATTTGTCCCAGAAAGGGTGCGCAAGGAAGTCTAATCCGACTGCGACAGCTCCACGCTCGAAAAGCCTAATTTTGGATGTTAGATGCGAGTTATAGACCAAAAAGGGGAGGAATGGAAAGGTGGCAAGGAGTGCAAATACGGGAAGGGCAATGTGCTTAAATTCAAATATTCATATCCTCCTCATGCCGACAATGTGTGCAGAGTGATACGGGGTAAAAGCGAACGTGTGATAGCAGAAAGAGATATCCTGGTCATGTTGGTGAGAAGAGTCAAACATGAACAGCTTTTGTTGGCATTTCTCACCGTTTGTGAGCCATGAAAACTCCTAACGTAGCCCATCTTGGCTGCCTGGTCATGCTGCAGATGCTGTGTTAAGGGAAGGAAAGCATCTAATATACTTACTCTCTGATCACATCAGGATCATGACTTGTCTCCACCTTGAAAGAACAATAATCCGTCCATAAGTCCACAGATGTTGCGATACTGGCAATGCCTCTCTCGAAAACCTAGAGTGTGTCAGCAAATAGCTCAATGCGACACAAATTTATCTTCAATTTACCATCTCAGCAGCTTCTGTGCCAGCTATGGAGAATTCCAGATCTGCATACTTCTTCCAATATCCAAATAGTAGGGGAAACTTGGCAAGGAAGCGATCGTAAGAATCTCGAGTTGTCGCAATTGCTTGTGGACTTGAATTGCGATTCAACCCTCCTTCCAACGTCTCTGCTGCGCGAACAAGTTTTTCCCAACTCTCGAAATTATCGGTATCTTCAAGCTATAAAAGAACATAATTAGCAGAGGCGCAATCAATTGAAGCAATTTAATCCACCTACAACTTCGGCATTGAGTTTCTTGATCTCAGCAGACTCCTCGTCCGTCCCTCCATAATGAAAATCAGCCATTGGAGTCGACGCGTTACTGGGTAATAAAATCTTCAATTAAAAAATGTTTTTGAAAATGAAGAATGCCACAAGAGTTTCGAATCCTTATGCTTCGAATCTGAGACTTTAAGTGTGGTTTATCAATGGAGACAAGGGATTGTTTGTAAACTATGTAGTAGAGAAAGTTACCGAACAAGTGAGGCTGAAATTTGAGCTCGATCAATCAAGAATGAGCTTAGTAATTGAAATTGTCAGCAGCTTTTTCTGGCCTGGAATTTCGGGTTGCACTTGAAGTTTATCAAATGTGAGCCTACTCTAATAAAGTAGGTACTTATCGCTAAGGAAGTTTTAGAGGGGCTTCAAATTGAAAAGTATCACCAGCTTTCATCTCAAGGCGATTCAAATTATGTCGTTCTTACGCTTGGAAGACCAACAGTAACTTACTGTTTAAGCCAAATACTAGATATGAGATATGAACTGCACAAGAACAGCTTAACCAGTTTCACGCGTTGTGCTTTTTATCCCATCATCCCATGCCCAGGTGACCAGGAAGTCTATTAATTATTCAAGCTGGCCCATCACTCTTCAGAATCCGTCATGTCGAACAAATACCATCCAACAAACAAATCACAACGATATCCTCGTCGACAATATCATATATCTAACTACGTGAACTTAGACCCTTGATGAATTTCGCAGTTTCTCACGCTCGATCCTGATCTCCAATTTCCAAACTTGACTTTTATGTCTCGTCCCTTGCTCTCCAAATATTTTTATTATTTAACCAACTTCCCAAACTTTCAGTCCGCTGGTGGTCCCAGGTACCAAATATCATCATCCTTGGCTGTAGCATTATCCTTTCCCTAAGATCCTACCATCCACAGGCCATGCTGTCAATTTTGGTCTCATCGACTTCCTATCACCTTTAGGGTTGGGACTTCGATGAGTACATAAAATGCAACGCATCATCGGGTGGCTCAATGTCAAGTTAAGTTTGCAGATTTCAAGTTCGCCAGTAACAAAGTCATAATTCTTTTGCGTTGCAGCCCTTGCATGAAGAATGATCTAGAATGAAACAGGCTTAGCTCCACGCTAATAATTATTAGCCCGCACCTCCATCCTTTAAAAATTTCTTTCAACGAAATTCCAATGATAAATTATCAAGGCTGGTGATGAACGATACAAAGTATCAAACATATAGGAAGAGAATGAACGCTTCAATGAAGCATGATCTCACTTGACAACTTCTGAAGCCTTCACAATTTTATACATTTTTTACAGTTTTACATAATATGTTTGCTTGGCCGCGGAGGAAATCTTTGATGCAAAGTGGGTTCACAAATAGGGCTCACTCCAATGACTCTGTTTGATGATGGAGCTTTCAACCATTGCCAGTGCTTTTTCATGTGGCCATTTTGGGTTATCACCACTGTCAGACTGTTATTCGAGCTCTTCTTCCATTACTTGTTGAAATTGGGCAAATCTGCCTACTACAGGTAAATCATTTGCTAGCATACAAGTTGTGGTCCTTGATGATTTGGGACTTTACCAACCATTGCATTCTTGATAAACTTCTCAGTGCGCCTCAGCATATTGCGCACCGGACATCCCAAGCGTACTACTGCATGTTGCATTGTCTAGGCCCAAGTGCAACCCACATGAATTGAAGTCGTGAGAGAGCTTGTTTGTGCCATCATTCTCGTTTCCGAGACAAATTGTTCATCATTGGTCTGCGATAACATGCCATCGATTGATTGCACTGTTTTGAAGTATCCTATTTTGGCATTTAAGGGGATAATCCGAAGACGAAGCAGCCTACAATGCCAGTGCAGACTTAGTCATATATCCCAACTTATACAAGAATGTACATACTGCGGAGAGAATTTGCCCGATGCGATTTTAATGTGAAGAGATCAAATATGCGAGAATAGATAATGAGGAAGAACAGAAACAATAACAAAGCAAGCTCTACCAATGAGAAAACTGAGCATCATCCCCAACGACAAATGTACTCTGATATCCATACTCCCTGCCCCCTGCTCCTAGACCCTATTCTGCACCAATCCTACGATCTCGAATACGCATAACTTGCCGTATAATCATGAGGATAATAAGGCTGATTTCTTCCCGGATACGTTTCATTAGGATAAGGTAAATCCTGGGGCGGTATACTTCCATAGCCATGTTTAAAATCAGGCGGATATCTAGGTGGTTCTCGAAGCTGCTCATTGGTCTCGTAAGCACTATTGCTACTTCTATACCGCGATCCGTATTCCGATTTCGATCGGCCAGATCTAGAAGAAGAAGAGATAGAGCTTCTAGAAGAACCGGAGCCAGAGCTTGAGGAGCGGCTTGGTTTTGAAAATACGGTAGATGCATGGGATTTGGTGTCGTCGTCGTCTGATGACGATGAATCGTCTTCGTCGTATCTACTAGAGTGTCCGTCATAGGAAAGGGAAGAGCCACGGTGTCGTCTTCCACGAGAAGGACCAGGAGAAAAATCGGCATTTGAGACAGTTTCCCAGGAGCCAGTGGATCCAGCATCGCTGTGTGAGGGACGTCTCATTCGCTCATGTCTTTTGTGACGTCTTTTCTCATTATTGCTTAGTTGTATACCAAAGCCTCTCGCAACTCTAGACTCGTTAATTCGGCCAAAAGTTTTGTCTCTTCTGACCTCCCGCCTCTCATGTCTTTTTTCCTTGTCCGTTCTTTGGCGTTCAGTCAATCTGACGTCGGGTTTTATGAATCGAGACTGGTGAGCATCACGGGAACGTTCGAGAAGTTCTAGTTTGTGCTGATGAACCAGCAGACTGCCTTTTCTCAATGCTGCTTTGAGGATCGCGCTTATGTAGTCGAGCTTTTTGTAGCGGTAGTAATTATTTTCTATAGTCTGCTGAGTCTCTCCATGTAGCTTCTCAAGTGTTTTCAAGAAAGTTCTCATTTTACCCGGTTTAGTCTTGCCGAGTCGATGTGCCTGTGAGTTACCTCCATAGACAATCTCATGTTCGTTATCTTTATGACCGGATCTACTGTGTGTATCTGGTTCTACTTCGTATGTGATTGAGTATCTCAAGAATCTCGTTCGCCCTTCATGAATACCAATATCGAGTGTGACCGATTGCTCTATAAAGCCTGGTAGGAGCATGCATTCGCTGGCATAGACGCTGTAACTTATGTTCTCCCTTTTCTCTTCCCTGGATTTCCTTAAAACAACGAGAGTGATTAGCGAATATGCCTCTTTGGTGTACACAGGAAGGACTCAACATACGGGCAATGTTTTAAAAACTTATGTTTGCCTCTCATCTTTGAGCTAATGGTAAACTACAGGTATAATCAAGTCTTAAAGAACTTGTGACTCAGTCTGTAAAGTTGCTGTGCTGTGAATACCGTTTCACGAGTGATTGATGATCTCGAATTCATTAGAATAATCCTGTCCCATGTCAAAGGTTTTCTAGAAATCTTGAAAGAATAACAATAGCCTCACACCACTTGGATGTCCTACTGTCCACAGGCTTCTGGCCTTAGTAGCTCAGCATTGGAGGCCTGCTCTGCACCGCCAATGGCCGGCGCGTAATTTCGTCATCGCAACAGAATCCTACACTGGCCAGGCCCAGCCTACCTGATAGCGAGAGATCCTACGACTATTCCTCTACTTGTATGCGATCGAATTGACAGCAAAGTCCTAAAGTCGGAAAGAATACTTGCTCCACCAAAATGCTTCTGATATTTGGCTACGCTTCGCGCAGAGCGATATAAAGACTCAGTAGTGCCTTTTCACTAGAAATATGACATTGCAGCGAGAAACAGGTGAAGCGTTTCATTGGTATAGCATAACACCTGCAGGTTCAAAGGAACTTGATATTAAGGGCATCCAGTCCTGTTCCATTAATGGAACTTAAATATGGATTGATATTTGTGGAAGATTATTCATGTAACCTTAATAGCCTAGATGTTCAATTGACAGTTTCCTAGAAAGTCACATCATCCGTGTTAGATCTAAAAAAACTATTTAAATCTGGGAGGATACAGCCCCGTGTATCCGGATTTGCTGTGCTGAAGTTGGACAGGCTGGACGTTGGAGATAAATCGGAAGAGGAAAAGGGTATAATTTTTGGTGGCGGGGAAATATACATCGGTCTACAGGCACGCCAGCACGAAGTACCTCTCATAATTATTGACAAAATTTTCATCCTATTCATGCACTAACACTAGTAGAGGAGACTGTATAAATTCCTGGTTAAGATAATCAAACTACTAGATCCGAGACCCTTCAAAGGATCTAGGTCAATCGCCTTCATCTGACCATGGTTTCAGGCTTCTGGATCTTCTGTGACATTAACACAGTACAACAACGAATTTCGTGTCCCCAAGACACATTACGAAAGAAGAGACTTAAAGACCAGGTCTATCAGCCACTAACAGGTAGTTTTCAAGACCATAAAGCGGTTGAACATGTTTCGCTCGCTTTTGTTCGCTTGGGATGTCGGCCGCGTACGCCAACAGTACTAGGAGAATCAAAAAAATGTGGCCTAATAAAATATGGGAATCAAGACCATAATGATTTGATTATGCATACTAGTTTGAGAATATTCGTGTATCTGAAACTTTGATTTGTAGCGAAAGAGAATTTGGCAAAGATCTGAGATATAGTTTGAAAACGAAAGCAGCTAATTTGCAATTCAGAAGCATATTCTAGATCATGACTTCATTTCATCCAGAGGTTTTCAGTTTCAATGGGAAGTTTCAAGTCTATACTAATATATAGCCTCTTATTCCAGGCCTTGTTCTAGTCGGCTGGTACATCAAAATTCCCAATTTGAAGAGCTGTATGCCCGAGACGCAGCAGCGATTGAGGCTAGTCAAGGACTTGTTTTAAGACGTAGTGGACAATACATCCGTATCGGTAAATACGGCATACTGTTCTTATCTGGTATGCTCTATGACTATCAGAGGATGAAACTATCTACCGGCGAAGACTCAGATCCGGGTAGTAGTAAAAAAAGATTTGCTCCTCCGTGGCACGATATGCATTTCGCTCACAAGTCATCAATATCGTCCGATTATCCTGCTTCGTCCGATTCGAGATTGGGGGTCATCGGTAGCATCAACTACATCTAGATTTCTCCATTCAAGCTCCAGCTTTAAACCGAACGCGAGGCTTCATCTGAATGTAGGAGGTCGCGATATTCATGTACTTCATGGACCGGGTCGGACGCATAAGCCATCATCTGATGATGGTTATGAAACAGATTATAATATCAAGGTAAGGAAACTGAAGAAACTACCTGGACCTAACTACACTGCTGCTATGGCAGTTTAATCATGTTTCAGATTTATCATAGTTATCTTTTTGTCTCTCATTTTGTTGTTTATTGTATTATCTGAGCTATGCTTGCTTCTCTATGCTTCTGGTAGTGGCGTTGAAGGAATATATACCCAATTGCAAGTTGAAGCATTATTGATATCAGCAACATAGTGTGACTTGACCTATATCTAACTCTGTCTTCCAAGATTTGACACTGCGATAAGCTTGAATATTTAATATCAGAGCGCTGTATTTCATCAATAATTGTCAGATAATTAAATTACAAATCCACAATTCTCTAGTATTAAAAAGCTATAAAAAGTAAGAACAGAACCTATTAAAACCATACTGCTACTAACATATCCAAATCGGCGTCGTTTTCTTCCTCATCCCCCTCAATGGTCCAACTACCACCATTAGTTTCATCAATTCCTACCCTAGAATTGTTAAAGCCTACACAACTATCAACAGCCACTCTATCCCAACCCTCCATGTCACTCTCACTCTCTTCATCAAGCATCAAATCATCATACCCTCTCACATCCCCAGCACACCATTCCCCATCCCCTTCCCCAACCCCATCATACCTTTTCCCTCAAACCAAGCAACACTCAACCTTCCACCACCCTCATAACCACCCAACCTCCCCACCTCCCTCATCCTCTTCCCTTCCAAAGCCTTCGCCTCCCTTCTCGCCATCCCTACCCCATCCATCCCCATCTTCGACCAATTCCAACTACCCGGTCTTCTCCTCCCTTCCTTCTCCATCTGCATCATCCCACTCCATCTTCTCTCTCCACTACCCATTCCCACTGCACCTCTTGCTCCTGCCGTAAATTCTCTCTTTTCAGCCGTGTCACTATCAACTCTGACAATCTCATCCCAGAAACCTCGTCGTTCAGATCCATCGACTGCGGTTGCAGAGTTCCGCCAATTGAACATGATATCCAAATACTGCTCAAACAACACCGGTTGAAATCCATTCAATATAAACATTCTACCACAAAACCGAGAGTCCAGAGTGTGTAAGACCGGATTTAAAATCGACATAGTAGATAAGGGAGAAGAAGTAAGAGGAAGATAATGTTCGATATGCTATTCTCATAATTAACAATGAATTTGAAATGGGATGGATACAAAAGGCTTACGGGTATCACACGTTCACAAGATGCTTTCATATTCGCACTATCGTTTTCTCCAAGAGCATCAAGTTCCATACATAGCGAACTAAGCAATGGATTTGAGAATGATCCACCTGCGGCCCCAAAAGTGTAAATCTCCAATTTCGACATCAGAGTTGGTGGTAAATCGGCGTGCAATTGGTCGAGAATATCAGAAACTACCTTGGACCCGGTTGAATGCGACAGGATGACAACTTTCCGAGTACTAGGTGCCAAAAGACTTTCGCGAAGTTGCGAATATAGACTGCGGTGGATAGGCATAATTATAGAGAGAAAGTGTAGCAGAAGGTCGAGAGGAAGTCCTAAGGTGCGATTGTGAATTCCGGTTATGCGGCGGTGGAAAATGATGCCCAAGCGAGTGAGATGATGCATCATCTGAGTGTAGCTGTTCATGATTAGTGCTATGTATAATCCATCCGTATGGCTTTCCTAGAGGGTACTTTTTACTAACCTCGTGCAGGCGCCATTAACGAAAATCCATTTCTCGTCCCCAAAATCTCCAATGGGCATCATACTTTCACAGATTCGATCGTTTCCTCTCAATGCCCATGACATTCCCATAACAGCTCCCCACATAGCTGCACAGCACACCATGAACATCGCTGCAGGCATTGTCAAGAATGCCGGTATGACCATAAACATCGCCCAACACTCTGTAATACATAACATACACTGAATGCCCATTTCGTAAATATCCCTTCTTGAACTCTTCGGGATTGTCTGGGCAAAATTGAAAGTGAAAGACCCCATCATCTGGGGAATACAGTACAAATTTCGAGAAAGTATTTGCATGGAACTCCGCAGAGCTTCCATTGTCGAATGACGGTACTGGGCTGGTGATGTCCCGCATGTAGGATCAATGATCGAAGGAATGACTGTGACTGCCGCTGGGGATATTGATGGTATCTGTGCCGGTAAAACAGGTGGTGGTTGAACGGCCATCATGTCTCCAACGGAGTTCATGGAGCTGCTGTTGCGTGATAACCAGGGCATAATTACTTACAGATTCAAAAAGAAGGTAAAGAGCGTACAGACTCAAAAGCAATGGTTAAAAAAATTCGTATCGCCTTGAGAAACTAGTTGTTTGTTTTGAAGCTAAACACTATACTTATAGAACAAGCGGGGTGCACCTACATTCCTTGACGGGAATGTAAATATGCAAACGCGGAGTAGTTTCCGAGTCTATCTCATTGGCTCAAGATAGAGGGCAGAATGAAATCCCATTCTTCAGTAGAGATTGTAAGTTTTAGAGATCATCACAAGAGGGGGACACCCTTAAGCCTACTTTCTGTACTTGTGACAACTTGTGTACTCCCACTCCACACCACCTCCAGCCTTGAAGCTATTACCCACAGATATCTCCTCCTTAAAGATCTGGCTGTCTAGCTTTAGATCTTCTCCAATTGCCAATACTCTTTCCCATCCATCTTTGATATTCCATTTCCACCTAAAAACCGAAAATGTATCACCGTTTCTCATAACCCCCTGTATCCACTCACCAATTCTGATCACCATCCCATTTACTTCGCCATGAGTGCCCTTAGTTTCCAGCACCCAGCTCATGAAGTAATCACTTTTCTCCCCTTCCATCATCTCCACCTCTAGATCCTCCCACAACTCTTGATAGTCCTCCACTTTCCCAGTCTCTGGATTTACCATGGCTCCCTTTTCCAAGACCTCATTTGTGCCCTCCACAGGATACATGAATCCCTCATCACGATCATCAGGTCCAGGATTTCGTATTTTATTATCTATTTCATGAATCCATTCTGTATGCGCTGGCTTGATCAAAATGCTTTTATCACCATCTTTAAACTCTGCGGGGGTACTGATTGCCCGTCCCGCGAAACCCCATTCTAGCCTTGATATTGCTTGAGGGTCAGAAGTATTGTTTGGGAGCGGTTTGGATGGGTCAAGTATTCGTATGTCTACGTAGTGTTTATCGGCAGATGTCAAGACCAGAGTGCTAATAAATGTATGTTAGAAAGGTCTGAGCTATTGAATTAACAGACAGCCTCGGGTTCGTACTTTGTGTTTTCCTTTGCCTCACTCTCCTGCAATCATTGTTAGCAGGTTCGAATAGAGCTGCAGAAACATTAATAAATACTTGCTCCCCATTTGATATATCTCCTGATTGACACAAAAGGTTCTGCCATAGTGTTTTCTGCACTCCTGAATGAATCAAGAAGAGAGACTGTAATGAAGCAATGGATGGTGGGGGTTTGAAGAAGCTCTTATCGTATTACAGGGAAGCTCTCAATCAGTGCCACAAGCCTATAAGCTACGCCCGAAAGTCTAAATCTGGTGTCTAAACCTTTTAACGTTTGCTAGCATCGTGAATAGGGAATGTCATTATTTAGGTATCAATAACTACAAGAGAAGAGAGCTGTAAACCGTGGTTACTAATAGGAACCATTCCATGTGCATAACCAAAAGTCACCCAGATCGTAACCATCAATACCAATCCTAACCCAGGCTGAAGCGTATTCCTTAAAAACCACTGCAAGAAACGCCGATTCCAAATCTCAAAGGCACGTTTTCAATTCTTCTTCATGTTCTCCCTAACAGACGCACCTGACGCACGATACCAGACATCACCACCCCATCGCATCATGCGTTCTACTGCTTGCGTGGGAGTGAGAGCGGGTCTAACATCAAGATAGAATATTGGTTCCCCGGTGGGTTCTTCTCCTCCAGAGTAATAATCGATTATATATCGAACTTCCTTCTTCTGACCATTATATTCTCTTTGGACAAACCAATCGTGACGATCAAATGGGGGCTCGGTACTATCACCATGTTAGTCATATTCTCCGCCATCAACAGGAATTACTAAACACATACCCATATTTTTCTGGGAAAGCCCAACCCATTAGTTGAATCATGGCAGCTTTTGGTGTTATTTCTTTCGGTCTGCCCATAAATCGAACTAGTTTTGGCTGGGGCACTTCATCTTCATTTGCACCAATGTCTGCGCCTGCCTTGGAACCCACTTCTCCCCTCTTACAATTCTCCCAGCCCTTCGACAGCCCTTTACCGAATCTTCGCTCCCATTCCACGATTTCAGCCCAAGCTCCCTCGTTCAAAAAGTTGTGAACTGATACCATACTCTCAACGGCAGTCGCATCTGTATCGGTATAACCTTTGCGCAAAAGAGCATTGTACATCTGCTGCGGCGAAGGATACTCCCAGTTACCATCGCCAGTACCTTTAGGGATAGTAGATGGTTCTCTTTCAGTTGGCAATGCGATAGTCTGATCTTTTGCTCGCTCTTGAGATAAATCTGGAAACATGTAGTTTAGAGGATTGTATTTGGAGTATTTAGATGTCGATTTAGGGTCTTGAGAGACATTGTCTGGAGTATATGGGCAGGCGGACTCGGGTGATGCTGCAGGTTTTGCCACAGGCTTAAGAGCATCTGCGCTGGGCTTGTGCATAGGACATGATGGCTGCGAGAAGAAAATCAGAATCTCAAAGTGACTAATTGTTGGAGAGAATGGGCACTCACAGGAGGAGTTACATCGCTATTCTTAGGCATGGGGTGAGGGGCATTTCTCATACTCGTAGCCGCAACGGTTGCGGGAGGATCTGCCCAAAACCATCCCATATCGCTTGTGAGAGAGAAGAACAGTAAACTTGTGTACTTTTGGGATAGAATGTGAAGGGTAAAAATGAGATTCCTCAGTACAATATCAAGAAAAAAGTATGAGCCAAAGGTTATATTGGAATTAACTTCACTGTGATTCGAAGGAAAAGAAAAGAGGAGGAAGGAGGAGATTCGGAACAAATTCTGCCGCGACCGTTCAATGAATTTTTTTACCAAAACCGGCGAGTATGGTGGCTTCGAGGTTCCGCTTGTTCACCGAAATTGTATGGGTCCTTCCTTCATGCAGCCGCAGCACTCGTAACCCTACAATGATTTATGACATCGAACAAACGGGCGCAAGATGAAAGAAATCGATTTTAAAAATCGAATTAAAAAAACATTTTCAAATTCGATATTTCTAAACTGGCTCTTGTTTTACAATTAGTATGAAAGTTATCAAGTGAACAAAAAGAATTGCATCTTTTAAGCAACTGAATGAAGAAATGTTTTGAATGAATCCTGACGTCACTTAATCAGCACTTCACTGGCGCATTTGCTGCTTCCCGCCGCCTCTAATGTTTCCACGAAGGGTTGCCTTGGATTGTACTCTAGCCAAACTCGTTAACAGCAAAACATAAATGGAGCCACGATAGTACTCGAGTAGGAGAACAAGTCGATCTTCGCACGAAGGAAGATAAGGATGTTTTTGGTCACAGGTCGAACATGTCTCCGTCAGACCCTTCCAAGAATACGGCCCTCGATTCAATATCGAAATCTTCACCTAGCAACAAGACAATCGTGTAGAAATGGCCGCAGCAGAGGAAGGGGAAAATGGGGAAAATGGCAATTTAAATTGCCCCCGCAGAAAAAAGGACTAATACTGGCAACTTTAGCAAGCTTGAGTCCTGCCGCATTTGTCCGATTATCAGAAAAGGACAATGGCGGAACTGAGATGACAGCGGAATCACGAATGTTGAAGGCATCAAGGGAGGAAATTAGTAAGAGAGTTAGCGATGATGTTCATGGGCTCGAACGAGTCAAAGATAGCATAATCTATCTCCTAGATACCTATCTATGGGAGCCACTCTGCACAAGCATACGATTCCTCCACCTTGTGGCTATATTCGTTCCAGTTATCATTACTATACCTGCTGCATATTTCGGACCTAGGGACGAAGAGCGAGATAATGAGCGGGCGGGTACTATATGGTGGTACAAGTTCTTAGTTAAGGCTATGGAACGAGCCGGGCCTGCGTTTATAAAGGTGCGCCATCTAATTCCTTCTACCTTTGGTTTTACTGACTTTCTAGCTTGGGCAATGGGCCGCCTCTAGATCAGACATCTTCCCCACGCAAATGTGCGAGATCATGTCACAGCTTCATTCCAATGCGCCTGCACACTCGTTACATGCCACCAAAAGAATTATAAGCAGAGCATTTGATGGACGACCCTTTGATGAGATATTTGAAGAATTCCAGGAAAAGCCTTTGGGTGTCGGAGCTATAGCACAAGTTTACAAGGCGAAGCTGAAACCGGATTTGGCAACACCAATTGATCCAGACATTCAGGAGCCTAAGAATATACGAACGAATGTGCGTAGAAATGTTGACACTTTCATCAAGAGTACACCACAGAGAGTTCCATCCAGTTACGTCGCTATCAAGGTCCTCCATCCAGGGGTAGAAAGAGTTGTTAGACGAGATTTACGGATTATGTGGGTCTTTGCCTCAGCAATAAATTTGATTCCTACATTTGAATGGCTGTCATTTCCAGATGAAGTCGAACAATTTGGTCAGATGATGAGACTGCAGCTTGATCTTCGAATTGAAGCTGCAAACTTGTCGATTTTCCGAAAGAATTTCAAACCAAGAACAACAGCATGGTTCCCATTCCCGTATACTCAGTTCACCACGAGGCAAGTACTTGTAGAAGAATTTGCTCAGGGTATACCATTATCTGACTTTATGGAAAATGGTGGTGGGGTATTCCAGCAAGATATTGCAGATGAAGGGTTGGATGCCTTTTTACGCATGCTGCTAATTGACAATTTTATCCATGCGGACCTTCATCCAGGTAATATCATGGTCCGCTTTTATCAATCTGAGAAGCCCAACCTACCTTTCAGCAAACACAAAGACGAAGATCCACAATCTCAACCAGATGTTACCGAACAAGTGCTGGCAAGGCTTCATCCATACCGCCACAAAAAAGATCCTCAAGCTTGGCACGCAGAACTTTCAAAGATTGATAAAGAAGGATTCCGACCTCAATTAATTTTCATTGACACAGGCCTGGTCACAGAACTAAATGCAACAAATCGAAAGAACTTCCTTGATCTTTTTAAAGCCGTTGCTGAATTCGATGGCTATAAAGCAGGACATTTGATGTGTCAAAGATGCCGCCAACCTGATGCAGTCATTGATGAAGAGATTTATGCTCTGAAAATGCAGCATCTCGTCCTATCAGTTAAGAGTCGCACATTAGCCCTGGGTAACATGAAGATAGGGGATATATTAAACGAGGTTCTCTCCATGGTCCGTACCCATCATGTTCGGATGGAGGGAGATTTTGTCAATGTGGTAATTAGCATTCTGTTGCTAGAAGGCATTGGTAGAAGTCTCAACCCTAGCATTGACTTGCTCTCTTCTGCGCTACCAATTTTGCGCGAATTGGGAGCACAGAGCGGAAGTGGGATGCTACGACAAGGTGACTTTTCAATGCTGAAGGTCTGGGCGGGTTTGGAAGCTAGAAAGTTCTTGCAAGCTTCCATTGAAGATGTATGTCCCCACTTTCTTACTCCTCCTTTATTCTCTACTATTGTGTTCTTAATCACCACATCTACACTACCCTATTTCCTTATTATCGCCACCATTCTATTTTGGTCAATTTTCTACTCACCACATTCATGTTCCGTTGGATTGTGTATGGTGGTCCTGGTAGTTGATTGTGACTAGTATTCGGTTGGAGGTCTGTCCGTGGTTAGTCCATGGTTATTGGATCAATATATGAAATCCAGAATCAATGTCGTCTGCAGCTCAGATCAACTTGCTGTACAACATTATTTTGGAAGCGCTGAGACATCACTCCGCTTACCTCTTGGCACTGGCCACCCCCTGTTTTTTTGTCTACCTCACCCTGAGTTCCCTGTCCCAAGTCTTCATTTTGTACATGCCTTGATGATGACAATGAGCCCGAACCTTTCTATTTCTACCTGGCCTATACACTTTCTGTTTTCATTCCAATTTTGTCATCTCTTCATTGCGATTTCTCAAGGTTAGCAATGAATGCGCTAATGCTAACAATTTGATGTAGGTTGAAACATGTGTCAAGTATGACTTATTATCACCAAATGTATAGAAAAAAAGAGGTAGAGTGGTTTGGATAGTGGTTTTCTGCTTTGATATAGATCCTGCTTATACTAGTCTCTGTCCATGTTGTATTATACTGTGCATACGGAGTAAAGGGGTGGACTGGTGTTTGATTGTTCTAAACACTCCATTGTAGTCTTCAAATTAGATTTTATACCCTGCTGTTCATATTGAAAAGAACAAACCTCGCCAAGTAGACTCGTCAAGTGGCTTCACCATTGGAGATGGAGGCAGATGAGCATCCGGTTTTTGGCAAAGTAACAAAGGTTAGACCGATGACAGTGACAAGATCTGAAGCTTTCTCCTAGAATTCATTGAAAAGTAGTAGCTCTTTACAGAGAAATTATCGATAGTGGAATCCTGATTAAGACGAAAAATGAAAGTGATAGTAACTAGAAATGACAACACCCGGCCCGAATATTGCCGGCACAGGAACAATTTTTCTGGTTGACTAGGTAGTTTCAGTCAGTGTAAACAACAACAAACCTTTCAAGCCTTCACATACTATCTATACTTTTCTGTTTCTTCACCTTCTTGCTTCTTTGCTGCCAGTATCATAGAGTAGGGCTAGCTTTCTCTGTGTTCCCACAAATATAATTCCTCAAATTCATCTCTTCCCTTTCCCCTCTCAACTGTTGTATTAACTTGAAAATATTCACCGCCTAGACACTCGTCTAAAAGAGATAACTTGACATTCTTTTTGTATCATGAATGGCTCCACCTTTTCTGCTTGTCTTTGACAACTATCCAGCCTTCAGATAATATAGAACTCCTCAGACTTATATCTCCTACTACCTACCATAAAGACACTGCCAGCCCCTCTCCACAACACCAATCAAGATGCTTTTGTACCAGACGTGATCCAATTCTCATCTCAAGCTTTTATAATTCTCTCATCGAATGGCCTGAGTGACATTTCTTGGCCTTTCTCTTGGCTTCTTCCTTCAAAGAACTACGGCAAGGTCGCAAACACTCCTCCTCCTCCTCCTCCTCTGCCAACATCATATTCGAATGCATCTATATCATCTTCACATAACTGCTACTTGCTACTTACTGCTTGAGGCAACCACTTCCCAAAAATTGCGCTTTGAACGTTAAAAGAAGTGCATCTACAAACTATAGCGCGTGGTCTGCAAACATGGATGGAAACTACAAAGGAGGTCGAGGACCACAACCTACGTATAGATCAATAAATACCAAATCACAGCGGACAGAAGATCCTTTTGATGATTCGCACCATTTGAAGTCGCCTCATTTAAAATCGTCAAATGCGCATTCTAAGGACGTTGATCCAGAGAGACCATCTACTGCGCGCAATAGTCGAGTAAGTCACAACTTAACAATACCTACTACAAAAGCTTGAGAGTTGAGTCTGCTAACACTTCTTAAGTCTAACAGTCGATCGATAATGATGGCTCGGGGAGCGTTTTCCAAAAGTCTTAGTGTTTTTAAGGAGAAAGAATTGACACAAGTGAATCAGAGTTCATCAAATGGAGATTTATTTGAATATCTGATTGCACCTAAGGATAAAGGTGGACAATTGAACACCTCCGCTGGTTCTCCAATGGAGAAAGATTCACCTATATTCACGGACAATCAGGGGGCCTCTGCATTTTCTCAGCATGCATTTGACAGTACTAGGAATAAGCTTCATGACAATCATTCTCGCGGCCTTAGCGGATCTATAAATGATATGGATTCTTTTGAAATAGAAAGCACATATGATGATGGGTTTTATACGGCGAATGAGATTGAATCAATGCAGCATCGTCGCGAAGGCACTCCTCTGAGCGGCTCGGTTCCGTATAATGAGTACCACCAGTCACCGTCCTATTCGATGCGCCACGATACTCGCATAGTCGGTCCGGCTTCAGTACAAAAGTCTTCTGCAGATCAACAAGTCCAATCGTATAAGACTCATCAGGCTCCTGTGTTGGTTGCAAAAGGTCCTGGAGATAATGCAACTTCGAGATTTAGAGGATCGAGCACATTATCATTCACCAACACCGTACCATACAATGCAATGACTGCTCCGGAGAGCAACATGGATCAGGTAGATGTTCTCACCGGCGACAAAGATTCGACATCAAATAAGAGCAAGGAGAAGAAGGCTAAGAAAAGCAAGTTCTCCCCGAATTCCACGGCGGTTTCTGCCATCTCTGATAATCAACTCTACTCGGGACTAAGCGACATGCACACCGGTCTTTTTTTGTCGACGTATAACGGGAATCGTGCCTCAGCACCTCGTTCTAAGGATGCCAGATCGACAGGTTTTCCTACAGAGTTACCTCCGCGTCCTGTTCCCCGGCCGCCACTGCCTATCAGAGTGACCGCGGAGGCTAGAGCGCAATTTGCCGCCAGGAAACAGGACGAGAGATTAGCTCTAGAGCGACGCTTGGCAGAGCCTCATCTTGTCCGACGCACTGTTTCTACCAATAATAATTGGGGTTTTAGCTTCTTCCAAGGTCTTACCTCTAATTGCTGGGCTGCGTTCGCCGTCACACAATTTGGATTTTTATCAACGGGAGTTAGCGTGGGTGTCGTCGTTACAATTAAGAGCACAGCCAGTCAGTCATCCACTAGTAATATCAGTGTAGTGGTTATCTGGTGGTTGGTGCTTAGTTTGATCCTTCTGTGTGTTGGAGGTACAACCTTTGGCTTCATGATCTGCCGCGAAAGTGCATATCATCCTCGCGGCGGATTTAGACAACATGCTGGCAGCCGAGAGATTGTGGATGGAATTATTGGAAGTAGGGATCTGGAAAGCGGCCATCACGGACAACGATCTTTCGAAATGGCTCCTAGAGCTAATGCTATTCGTCGGGAGGCCTTGTCGACTTTCGATGCTCCTCAACGAGTCCAAAATTCCCATACTGAGGTTCTTCGGCCTAATATGGAGATATATCAAAGAGGACCAACTAACCACCATGGATTCGAACAGGTTCCTACGTATGGCGCTGGAGAAGGACCACATTATGGGCCTTACCGTTTAGACAGTCCAGAAGTTGAAAATTATGACTATATGTTAGCGAATCCAACGACGCCCCTAATGACGCCCCTAACGCCGTTACCACAAGCTGTCTTAAAGCCAGTAACTTCTCGGAACATCAAAGATTTCCCAGTTCACCATCATACTCCCAGTAAACTAAGTGGATCTCATTCAGCGAACCCTTCTTTGCCCGATGAGGCTTACGGTACAATGGGTGTTCCTAGTTGGACATCGACCAGGAGTAGGGATAGTTTGGTAGCAGCTGCACCACATCGAAACTTGGCGATGAAGAACCTCCTTGGAGAAACAGCAGCTCCCGAGGTAAGTCCAAGTTGCTTTATTCAAGCTTTATTTCATAGTATTCAGTGGGACTCGTACTAACTTTCATTTCTCGCAGAACTCACTTAACACTACGAATACTCTGAACAGAGACCGAGGCACCATAGAGTCCGTAGCACCATCCCAGACATCTGTATATTCATACATGCCATCAGCCCACCCCTTACATCGTACACCCGCGGAACTGCAGCAGCGACAGGCAGTGGATACTTTCGTACCCAGTAGTCCCAACGCATCTTGTATGAGTTCAAGAATCGACTTGGACAAGGCAATGCCACCTACCCTCAAACGGGTCGAGACTGAGGGGCCGCTAGAGAAATTGGAGAAAAGTTTCACTCAGCAGAGTGAGAAAATCGTTTTCGGACAACAGTTTTCCCCTCCACTTGACCTTGGTGACAGACCTTTGGTGGTCTGTCACAAGCGTGTCGTGAATGGAAGACTTAGACAATACGGATCGCGTGAAGACAATCTCGAAGCTGCACCTGCCGTTGCAAGCATCAGTAGTAGCAATAATCCTCGTCGCAGACCGGAGGCCCTTGACCATTGTACAACACCGCAGGCTACTAATGGTGGTATACTTTCCAGATTAAATACCGGGGACAGCTCTACATTAGATAATACCAACCAGACTGACTCTACCTTCGCCTCACGAAACCCCTACCGCGATAGCATGAATGATAATTGTGATAACAGTCCTTGCAACATGGAAACTTTACCAGCTACGTTCTACACAGGCAGTGGGAAGGGGAAGGGTTCAGCATACGAATGATTCGGCCTCATTCTTCACTCCGGATTTAGAAGCTATTAGTTCTCATCTCAACGGGGAACAGTCATCTGAATTTCAGTACTCTTACAATAATTTGCAACTTCTACTACCCTTACAACCTATTCCAATTTTTCACTTCGTTTTACAACTCATTCAACCTACTCCCATTCCGTTAAGAAACAGGAGTAATGGTCAAAAGTTAAATTTGCATTTATTTAAATTTTCCTCACCATCATCTCATTCGAGCTCCAAATATAAATCTCCCATCTCCATCTTTCATCAGAACCCATGCTAAGGTCCCGGCGAAAAGACAAGGAAGGAATTTTCTTGGACAATCGATTCCACTGTTTGAATACACAACACTCTGTACAAGTACAACCTAGCATCTGCGACATTTCCACATTCGGAGTTTATACACGAGATTATTTCCCCCTAAAACCTAATATTACACTGACATAAGGATTCGGAGTCGCTACTAGGTGACTAGCTGGTCCGTTGGACATTTTCTTTCTTCGTCACAACACAAAATATACGCAATACGATAGGATACCTACGATACGAATAATCTTCTACGATTTGATATCGTGGCCGGAATGAATAATTGGACTCGGATAGCGAATACCAGATCGGTCATAGGCTGGACACATTCATTTGGATTATACCTGGTCTGGATACTCTCGATACTATGCGAATTGAATACGATATAGTGCATTTTGCATGATTCGACTGAATACCTCGAGAGGACTCAAGATACAGCGGCTCTTTAATACACCCATTGGGGAGAACTTTGTCGTTGCGAAGCATCAAGAGACAGCAGCTCATCCACCACCCAAAAACTAAACTCAGTAGTTTGCGACTTGTACAACCGTCCCTACTGATTTGAAAATGGCCGAAACATAATCTTACATACATACAATAATTTCACCGCACACCCGCACACACACGTACACATATAAAAACAAAGCAAACAAAATTCAAAACCAAGGAATCAAAGAGAACAGGAAACCCCCAAAAACACACAAAAACGTTACTCATAATAAATACGGCGAAGGAAGGATAGGACAACTAGCTGCTTAGTACAAGACGAGTAAATTCTAATTTTCTAATTTTCTAATTTGAGATCTACCAGTCTTGCGACAAAAAAAAAAAAAAGATGCATTTATGTGCAAAAAAAGCAGAAAAAGAATAAATATAAATGAGGAAATGAGGAATTGAGGAAGCGAGAGGATGGACTGAGTTTCTTTCTCTTTCTATTTCTATTTCTATGGCAAGGAAAGGAAAGGAAAGGAAAGGAGGTTCAACTAACTACCTACCTATCTACTTGTTTTCTGTTTAACTTTCGCTGGCTGGATTTGAAGAGAATCGAAGATGTTCTTTGGGTCGGTTTCTCCTATTTTGCTGTGATGTGCTGTGAGTGGATGCTGATATGTTGTGATTGAAGCCTTTTTACCACGACGTTAATGATGATATGAGGATGATTAAATATGGTATTTTACTAAGAACTTAGGTATATGGAAGCTAACAAGATGAGAGATTGAAAAGCCAACAAGTTCATTCATTGTGCGAGGTATCCAAGCAAAGAGATTCATCCATGACTAAATAAATGCATAGTAAATAGAAAATTAAACACGACTCCTCTTTTTGTTCTCTCTGTGCCTTTGCTCTTTAGCAACAGTCTTTCTTCGCTTCTTCCACCCTCTCGTATTCTCCCCTCTGTGCTCATAAAACCATTTCTGAAAATCATTTTCAGGCGCCTCTTCTGATTCCTTTTCCTTAAATATGAGTTTTCCACCTACCGACTCTTTCGGGGTTGGAGAATTACCGTCATCACCGACATCATCCTCGTTTCCACCTGGCCACACAAATCTCTTATTGACGTAAGCGGTGTCAGGAGTCGGTGCTGCGCTTCGTATGCCTCGATAATCGAAATCACGTTGACTAAAAGGCGTCAAAGGAATTTGATTGGGTTCCTCGCCAATATCGGAATCTTCGTCGTCAGCACCAAAGAAACTAAAGGAGTTTGATTTTGTTTCGGGTTTGGGCTCATTAGAGATAGAGTCAGAATTAGGTTTGGGGCGTTTGTAAAGAGCTTCGAGAGGATGGACCTCTGTGGGAATAAGGGTTGAATGAGGTATAGGGGAGGGTATCTTGATACTCAAGCCAGAGGATGACTGAGGTCTGACTGATTTGGTTTCCGGAGTCATGGTTGAGATGGGTGGTGGCATGGTTGATGGTTTGGACGCGGAGGGGCTCCGGGGAGAGGCTGCAATAGACGGTAAATCTTCGTCTTCCGAGCCGTCGTCAGAGGAATCCGATGACTCAGAATCTGAGGATGTGTCCGAGCCTGATGATGATCCATCATCCTTCGATTCAGCTTCAACTTCAGCTCTAGCTTTAGAGACTTTTGGCTTGGCCGAATTGACATGCGCATCTTTTTCCTCTGACGAGCTTTCACTATCTGAAGAACTCTCCGCCTCAATTGGAGGCTCGATAGCATCGGTTGCTGTCGCTTTCTCGGAGTCTTTAGATATTGATTGTGGTTTGATATACTCATCTTCATCGGCGGAACTCTCCGAGTCTGATGAGCTGCTACTTTCGACTTCTGCTGCCCGTTTCACTTTCTTCATTACTCGCTCCTCGAAATTAGATTCATCTTCTGAAGATTTGTCTTGATCCGAAGCACTACCACCATCACTACCACTACCCTGGTTTTCCATTTCTTCTTCCTGAATGGGCTTCTCCTTTTGTGGTTCCTGATTCTTCCGCACCTTTCTCACTACTTCCTCCACTACATTACCATCCTCGTCTACCCATCCCTTACCATCCACAAACTCCACTGCAGTTTTCACCTTTGTACCTCCGGTGGTACTTCTTAAGAAGGTAGCATATTTCGTACTTTTGGCAAACTCGTGTACAATAACACCTCTACCTTTCTTACTCCTCCTACTCGATTTCTCACCACTCGTAGCCTTTGTATGTGCCGCAACATTTGGCGGTAATACTGTCTTGAACAAGCACTCCTCATTTGTAGTATATTTCGACTTGACAACATTCTTCAGTTCCTTTGATTGCTTTTTGGTTTTGCTGATATCCGCAGCTGTTGTAGTCCAACCCCTTTTAACTTTCCTATCTCCAATTACTGCAGCAGGTATAGTCTCCTCTCCACGTTTGCGCTTTTTGCTTGGATCTTTCCTTTCTCTTTGTCGTTTGGGCGCTTCTTCTGGCTCGTTTACTGGGCTTAGATCTTTCGCTGGCCTGGCAGTTTCGATACGGATTTTTGAACCTTTTAATATGGAACCATGAAGCTTCTTTTTTAATTTCTCAGCGTCCATGGTAGGAAGGTCAACGAAGCCGTAAGCTTTATCCTGGAAAGTTTCGAGAGTATGGTAGGAGATGTTCTTTGCATTGGGGAGGATTGACGGAGGTATTATGGTAGTGAGGAGGTTGGGGTTGAGTGGGGTTATGTGTAACCTTGTGTATTCGGGAGTTGGGGACATATCTATGGTAGTATCTGAATTCGACTCGATACCCTAAGATTTACTGGCAATGAATCTCTATACGTGAAGGTATGTATCAATGATCTTTTAAAAAAATTAGGGAATCGGAGAAATTCATTGATAGCTAGAAGGCGCTAAGATAAGAAAGAAAGGTCTGAGTTACTAGGCAAAACATGTGACCATATGCGGTGAGCCTCATTATTTACCGATTCAATTGTATAATTTGCACTTTATCAAATCTCTTAAACTAGAATCGAACGGATTCGCAGCGATCAGTAGTTCCAAACTTATCAATACACCTCTTATGACATTCTTAGTACCAATTAGTCTAATCATCGGTCAAAACACATCGATCGTAGCGGAACTAAAGAAACCTATCTGATAAATGTATGACTAATCCACACAACTAGTCCGTGCACTAATCAAATCCAACCAAGCAGGAATTTCTGCGCTGTATAAATCTCTAATTGTTCAACTATTCACAACAAGTAAAATGGGGATCTGGTTTAGGGGTATAACATTCCTTTCGCACTATGTGTCCATCACAGTAGTAGACTAGGAAAGGTCTTGGGTTCGATTCCCAAGTTCTCCATCCTTTTGCCTTTTTGTGTTTTTTTTTTCGCACTGTATTTTGGCAGCTGTTTTGTCCTAAAATTATAAAATTGAGCATCATGGTGGTTTTTGTAAGATACAAGTTTTTGGTTCGATTTCTGCGGTGGTTGTTAAGCGAGGTAACAATGTCGATGCTAACTTAGGAATCCACTTAATTTTAGTTGAAAGTACACCAGGACAACACAAGACTTGTTTCCCGGTCCACTTCATATAATTGTGAGTGCGAAAGAAAAGTTATAACAACGTTATTCAGTTATAAAGCGGGTATTTTCCACTAATCCGTTGAAAATGGAGTTAAGGCTCGAACAGTCCAAGCACCTATCCATATATATACTGTTCCGAATATGGCATGAAATGAGATTTAAATTTGACCCGTTGATATTTTCTTACCTATGCGCATTTCTATAGATGTTTCCGTTGTTTTAGGTTTATGATCAGATCGAGTGTATTTCATTGGATTTCATAAAATCAACATGTTTAATAGGAGCGCAAGGTTATCTAGAAATGTACAAATATACTTTGGGTTTTGGCATCGGAAAGTTGTGTCTGGAGAGTCAACGGGACAGGTAGACCTTGGGAGTTTGAGAGAACGGAGCTTGGAATAATCGGGCGTTACATTATGTTAATTGCGGAAAACGAGATCTTGAAACTTCGAAGAATCTCGGAACAAACTGAACATCATTCATAGAGCTATATAATTGTATACGCAGCTTAAAAATAATAGAGTACAGTATATGTGATTTATCTGCAAACCCATCCCATCTCTACACGTTTTACCGTAAAATATGATCCCCAAACCTCAATCTCTACCAACCTTCTCTAACCTTAACCTTAACATACAAACCCTTCGCCGGTTTAGCCGTTACACCCCCTTTAATATCCAAATTCTTCTCATCCATCATCTTCTTATCCCTCAACTCAAACTCAAACCTCCCAATCCAGGTCGCCAACAAAATAGCAAACTCGGCTTTCGCAAATGCTTGTCCAATGCAACTTCTTGGCCCATGCAAAAAAGTAAGAAATGCATAATTACTTGAGCTTCCTCCGCTCGTATTATGAGAGTCACCATTCTCGGGCAACCATCGATCAGGGTTGAATTTTCGCGCAGAAGGACCCCACATCTTTTCGTCTTTGTTGATGGCCCATGGAATAAGCATTACACGTGTGCCCTTGGGAATCCGATGACCAGAAATAATCGTATCAACAGCTGCTTCACGAAGAGTGAGAGGAACGGGTGGAAAGTAGCGGAGGATTTCGTTACATACAGCGTTTAAATAAGGCATGTAATCGATATCCTGGTTTGTGACAGTGGCAGTTGAGTCTGGACTGGGAAGTTTTGCACGGACTTCCTCCCGAAGACGAGATTGGACTTCTGGGTATGCGCAGAGTAGATAGATTGCCCAAGCCATTGCACTCGCAGTGGTCTCGTGGCCAGCTGCTAGGAAAGTCATAAGTTGATCAATGAGGTTTTCATCGGGAAAGCCTCCACTTTCCAGTGCGACACTTAAAATATCCACATCGGTCAGCTCCTTTTTCTCTAGCTTCGCTTTTTTCTCACGAATGAGATCTCTACAAACGGATCTAATAGTTTCTGCAGCTTCCTCGATCTCCCCATTTCTCTTGATGGGTATCCTTTTCACGAACCATCCAGGTAGGAAAAGTTGGAGGAATCCAAGAATCTGCGCGGAGCGTGTTGGCTTGAAAACAGTCCTATAAGTCCTATTGAGTAATGTATTAGGGTCTTGGATGGCACCAAAATCTTTGCCTAGGCCAGCCGTTCCGATTATGTCCAGTGTCATTCTACTTGCCCACTGCATGGCTTCTATGATTGCCACACCCTTTCCTGGTTGGTCAATATTTCCATCATTTCCATTCTTTTCCCCGATCATATCAT